TATTAAGGCACTAAAACATTAGCCTTTTAGCGAGTTGTCCTTATTACTAATCCCTTATAAGCTATTTGTAGAGCTTATAATAGACTTTATTATAGGCCTTCTACCTGCTAAACGTAGGGGTAGCAAGGACATCTTCGATGCTATCCTTATTATAGTAGATCGGTTTACTAAAGGCGCTCGATATATCCCGGCACGGAAGGATTAGACTGCTATCGACATAGTAGAGGCTCTGTAGAGCAACATCTTCTATACCTATTAGGGGACCCCTAAGGGGATAGTCTCTAACCGGGGTACGACATTTACATCCTATTATTAGAGCGAGATATGCCTATAGCTAAGACTAAAGCATCGGCTATTAACAGCCTTCTATCTATAGACTAACGGTTAAACAGAGAGGCAGAATGCTACCCTATAGCAGTACCTGCGTAGCTACATTAATAAGAACCCTAATAACTAGGTCAATCTCCTATAACTAGCCGAATTCGTATATAACAACAGTGTCTACTTATCTACTAAGGTGTTACCTTATTTCGCTATAATAGGAAGCAACCCTGCGCTACTATAAGACCCATTTACCTCGCTCGAGGCCGAGCGCAAGGAAAGGGAAGCGTATTAAGTACTAACACCTAAGACACTAGCGGCTATTAAGAGAGTTTAAAAGATGCGAGAGATTTACGCTAAGATAGCTAACAAACTAGCAAAAGCCTAGGCCTATTAGAAGGCCTATTACGACAAACACTATATACCGATAACCTTTAAGCAAGGCGATATAGTTATGCTAAGCACTAAGAACCTCCGTATCCGCAAGCACCTATTACCTAACGGCAAAACAAGGCCTAAGCTCGCACTAAGATACATTAGTCTATTCCGTATTCGAGAAGTTAAGGGCTCCTCCGTATAGGCCTATTAGTTATAGCTTCCTCCTTATTATACTATCTATAACACCTTCTATGTATCCCTCCTTAAGCTATATTACCTACGCGAGGGGGATGAAGCCCCTACTAAACACGAAGACATACTAGCGGATAGTAAAGAGCTATAGTCTATAGAACGTATCCTGCAGCACCGGACTAGGAAAGGTAAGAAGGAATACCTATTAAGATAGTAAGGCTATTTACTAGAATAGGACTTATAGGAAGCTAAAGATTCCTTTAAGGATATAGCTAAGTTGTTAAACGAGTATTAGACTAGCGTAAAGAATAAGAAGAAGGCTAAAAGCTCGTAATATTACTAAGGCTTAGGAATAATGCTACCCCCGGGGTACTATTAGATAACTAATTAGAGGCCGGCAAACTAGGACAATAAGACTATACTACTATAGTAAACGCGTACCGAGTGTTAACAAGCGCGCTACGACGCGTTAACTAATTGCCTACTCTTTTAAGGACTCTATCTCTTTACTAACGCGCCCTATAGGTCCCCCTCTTATTCCCTTATTCTATCGAAGCCTCGAGGCCTAAGCGATCGGCGAAGGCGCGCGCGTAGCGGATAGTGCCGGCGGTGTGTTAGAAGAAACGGTATACGCCTATATTAGTAACGGTATTACGGAGTGTGTTACCGTTTAAGAAAGGAAGGACATAGCTATATTAGTAACGGTATTACTAAGTTGTTATAGGTTAAAGAAGGAAATTAGAAGAAGGTAAAGTTAGCGCTAAGACGACTAGCGCCGCTATTGTTAACATTACCTAGTCGCTACTAATGTTAACCTTACCTATATCAAAACTTTAAGGCCGAGTTAAAACTTTAAGCCGCTTAAAAGATTAAGTAGCTTAATAGACTAACTAACTAAGGGCAAAACTATAGAGCTAAGCTAGCCGGGGTCGATCTTGCGGACAATAGGTTACTCCTCGATCTATCTAACCCTTTAAGCGAGGCGAACCTCTACTACTATACTTATAATAGCCTTTACTTATAGAAACTAGACGAGCTGTATTTTTTAAAAGATAAGATAAGATTGACAATTAAAGGCTACCAAACCTAACTAATTAGGGCTAGCGAAACTACGAACAATAATAGCCCTCGTAATAACAAGAACAATCCCTTAGAACGGACAACCCTCGGAAGCGGACATTTCTAGGTCTTTTAAGAGTAGACGCAGAGAACTCGGTACGATATTACTTAGAACGGGGGCAGTGCTATAATACCCCGTATACCTACCTATTATAGTAGGGAAGGTACGCTCGTATTATAATTAGTCGATAGTCCTTAATTCTTGTAGCTTTATGTCCCTTTACTTTATTATATATAAGGATAGCGCAGTTAGAGTTAGACATTGTATTAGAAGGTAAGGTTTGACATAGTTATATAATCGGTAGTTGCGTATTTAATTTAGCGCGGATTAAGCAGCTTATTAGGCCTGCTAAGTTAGTAGCGATAGAGATTAGAATAAGACCGGCTACGAGGGCGCGGCCTTTAGAAGGGAAGCGTATGTTAGGGCTAAAGAGGCTATACGTAATTGGCATGTAACTAGGCCGAGTGAAGCTAGGGTCTTAATGCCTTAGGCAGGGCTTGGCGCTTAGCGTTAGGCCAACTCTCCTACCTTCCTCCCTCTCCTCCTAGATCCTTATCGAATACTACACTAATTTACTACTACCCTATCTACCTACTAACATAACCCTTCTTATACTAAGCGATCGATAAGGGCGATGCGCGCGCGCGTACGAATAACGGTAATAAAGATAATAGCGTCGCGCTACGAGCTAGCGAAGGACGGCGCGGCTAGCGCGGCTATATTAGTAATAGTATTGCAAAGTATATTGCTATTTAAGAAAGGAAGGATATAGCTATATTAGTAACGGTATTGCCGAGTTATTATTAGTTAAAGAAGGAAATTAGAAGAAGGTAAAGTTAGCGCTAAGACGACTAGCGCTACTATTATTAATATTACTTGCTATTGTTACTACGCCTATAGATACAACCTTACCTATACTACGAGCCTAAGGCACCCTTAATTAAAACTTAATCAAAACTTTAAGGCTAAGTCAAAACTTTAAGCCGCTTAAAAGATTAAGTAGACTAATAGACTAACTAACTAAGGGCAAAACTATAGAGCTAAGCTAGCCGGGGTCGATCTTACGGACAATAGGTTACTCCTCGATCTTTCCGACCCTTTAAGCGAGGCGAACCTCTACTACTACACTTATAATAGCCTTTACCTATAGAAACTAGAAGAACTAAGTTTTTTAAAAAGATATAATTAGTTGACACTTAAAGGCTGCTAAACCTAACTAATTAGGGCTAGCGAAACTACGATAGTAAATAATAGCCCTCGTAATAATAAGAATAAACCCTCGGAAGCAGACAACCCTCGGAAGCGGACATTACTAGGTCTTTTAAGAGTAGACGCAAAGAACTCGATATAACATTACTTAGAACGGAGGCAGTACTATAATACCTCGTACGTCTACCTATTATAGTAGGGAAGACGCGCTCGTATTGTAATTAGTCGAAGGCCCTTAATTCTTATAGATATATATTACTTTATAGTTTATTATATATAGGGATAGCGTAGTTAGAGTTAGACATTATACTATATTAGAGGTAAGGTTTAATATAGTTACATAATCGGTGGTTATGCGTTCAATTTAGCGCGGACTAAGCGGCCTATTAGACCTACTAAGTTAGTAGTAATAGAGGTTAAGACTAGAATAAAGACCGGCTACGAGGGCGCGGCCTTTAGAAGGGAAGCGTATATTAGGACTAAAGAGGTTACACGTAATTGGTATATAACCGGGCTCGAGTAAAGCTAGGGTCTTAATGCCTTAGGCAGGGCTTAGCGCTTAGCAATAGGCTAACTTACCTGCCTTCCTCCCTCTCCTCCTAGCTCCTTATCGAATACTACCTATACCTACTACTACCCTATCTACCTACTAATATACCCTTCTTATACTCTACTAATAGCTTTATTAAAATTAATAGTACTATTAGTAGTCTTACTAATATTTTCGCTATAGGGACCTTTATACTAGTCGATAGGCTTCGTATTTAGTAGAATATAGCTATATCTAGGTCTTTAGTCTACGTTAAGCTCCTACTAAATTTTTATTAGCGTTTTACGCTTATATCCGGGTTTCGTTAAGCGCTTTCGATTTACGTTCTACGCTAAAATCTAGAATAAGTTAAACTTCCCTTTAATCTTTAATTAAATATTACTTCTACTAAAATTCTTAGCTAATTATTTCGGTCTTAGCGGACAACTTAGATTTTCGTAGGCGGTAGGCGCGGTATCTAGATTAGTAGCTACGATACTAATTATTTCGGTATTAGCGGACAACTTAGATTTTAATACTAGCTAATACTAGCTAATAGTCCGAGCTAATACTAGCTAACACTAGCTAATACTAGCTAATACTAGCTAGCTAACACTAGCTAATACCTACGCTAAAATCCGGGGCAAGTCAAATTTCCCTTTAATATTTGTTTCGATTGACGTTCTACGCTGAAATCCGGGGTAAGTCAAATTTCCCTTCAATCTTTGATTAAATATTACTTCTGCGAAATTTCTCAGCCAATCATTTCGGTCTTAGCGGACAACTTAGATTTTCGCGGGCGGTAGCCGCGGTGTCTAGATTGGCAGCTGCGCTGCCAATAATGTGATGGTACCTTTATGTAGCAGTCTGTCATTGCGCTGATGCAATGCAACGGCTGCATCATTCTGGCCGTGACATCATTCATCACAGACTCGAGCACTCGTCTAGAATAGGCTCCGGTCCGGAGTATGTTTTCCAGTTGCCATTTCGAGAACCAGGTCATGAGCGCTCGCGTCCTCGGGAGGTCGCCGCTGTGCTTTGTCTTATTCGACCTTTGCTTCCAAGCATAGTTCCGCTCAAAAAAGCTCTCAAGCAAAGCTTGCGAGAAAGCCTTGTTGGATCGCTGCAGTGACTGTTTGGAGCATACTCAGAATCAAGTCCGTACTCAACGCCATTTCCAACCCGTTCGCAGGTCGCTGATGAGCAATTGACTCTTTGCTGTACCTTCCCTGGAGGTCCATATCATGACATTCACCCAATCATACTCTTCTTCCTCCCTCTCATTCTAACATCTTCCAACTTCTTCAGTGTCTTCTTTGCACCCTTGAAAGATCCCTCATAACCATTCAAGACCTCGTCGAAAAGTCTCTCTTCCTTGGGATGCGTACTCCCAAAAGCTCTTTCCAGAACATATAAATCCACAGCTCGATCCTCTTCCATCGTAGCATTTTGAACCGCGAGCCCGAAATCAATCAACACAACTTCTTCCGTCTCGTCCGGTCCATCGTCGCTCGTCGCTCGTAACATCATATTACTAGTCGTCAGATCCCCATGCACAACTCCAATGTCATGTAACTTGCCCACTGCAGCACCAATCCTCCTCAGCAATGACCTCAACTCATCCTCTCCAGCTTCCCATCCTCTAATAACCGCCTTGACCGTTCCCGGTCCCTCAATCCACTCAGAGACCATCCAACCCTGTTCCCAATCCAGCGCATAGATTTGTGGCACTTTAACACCTTCTCTTAGACATTTTACCAGGACCCTGGCTTCCGCGAGGATTCTCTGGCGCGTGAGTCTTCGGTCTAAAGTTGGATGTCTCCATGGCTTTTTTGGCCGGACTTTCAAGGCTGCGGATTGGGTGGGTGTGAGGAACTGAGTTTTGTAGAGAAGGGCTTCGGCGCCTTGGGCTATGAGTTGGAAGGCTGAGAGTGGAGAATTGTTGAAGGGTGGTGGGAGGGAGCGAGGTGGATGGGACGCGAGGTCAGTGTTGGTATCGGTTGTCATGGTGTGGTTAATGTCAGAAATGAAGAAGAGGTAGCGTCATTGTCGAGCTCGAGGTTCGCGAAAAGTTGGACTTGGCATGAAGCTGTTCGGCGATATCGGCAGAGTGCAACGTGCAAGCTCCATCTTGTGCAAAAGCAGAAACGTGAAAGTAAAGGTCGAGGATCAGAGAGCTTGAAAGACTGCTAGGCTTTCATGATCTAATAAGAAGCCTGCGCTATGGACATAACTGCGCTCGCTACATAAGGCGGCGTGGGTATCGTGACGTGCACACTCAATCGCAAAAATCCTTCTCGCTCCTAAAACGCCTCGGAGGTTGCCCTACCAGTTCTCAAATCATCAATTTCCATAGTTCATTGAAGTCATGCCAAAAGTCCTTCAATCTCAGCCCCCTCTCCTATTTTATCTTCTTCAATCCTCCCAAATCGTCTCTAGGTCCAAGTCTGCCCTCCTCTCACCTCCGCAGACCGACCAGCGTTTCCTCTCCCGGTTGCCTCCCCTGCTGAACCCGAAGCCTCTCGGGGCGTCGAGACTGCCTCGCCGTCGTGGATTGTCATCGGGATCCTCACCGCGCTCTGCTCGTTCTGCTCTCTCAGCTGCCAGCTTCAGTCTCTCGATGCGCTCTGCCTCGATTGCCATGCTCTCCAAATCTGGATCATCCTCGATCGTTTCCAGGGATGTTATTGAAGGTGATCGCGATCGTTGCGAAGTTGGTGTGGAAGGAATGCTGCTGAATGATGAAGAGCTTGCATAATGATGGAGTGGTGGATACGCTTCATTGAATCGTTGAGGGCCCAGCGAAGGCGAGTTGGAGCCGGAAGATGCAGTAGATAAGTTGCTCGTATGGTCGATGTTGCTTCCAGGGTAAGATGTAGGTGCATTCGCATTAGTTACTGTATGCAAAGGTGAAGCCGGACGTCGTCGCAGTGACGACGACCGCAAGAACGGCATCGCTGCTGGAACAGGCAGTGGCTGACGCGGAGTGATGTCCAGCTCACTGTCTTCCTGAATCGACTCAATCCCGCTTCCTCCCACAGGTGACTCGTACCAGCTCGGTGACCTTGGCGGTGGGTTATAGCTGCTGCTCTCATTTTCCGCTCGCAGGGGAGATCTCTGTCGAGCAGGAGATCGCATGGGGGAACTGGGCGAGAGCGAGGCATTTGAGGGCATGCTCAATTCGAAGGAGCGCGAGGCTGAATGCACGGCTGGGCTGGAATGTGCTCTGGTCATGGCCGGCGCGCTCAGTGCCGCTCCACTCGAACGCGAGCGAAGGTGGCTTCTCGAGTAGGGAGATCGGTTGCGGTGACTGCTCGTCGGTCGAGGTTGGTTGAAGTGGCTTTGCAGCAGTGCCGCTGGGGAAGGGTCTGTTGAAGTGCGAGCGGCTTCTGGTCGCAGCTTGAGGGGTCGAGGAAGTGGATGTGCTAGACCAAGTGAAAGGGTCGCTTCCACGTCTGAGTCTGCTGGATTGAAACGATCGACGGGCGATTCGGGCTCGAGGTCCTCATCGTCGTGCTGGCTAGCCTGGCGAAGGGTGTTGATCCCCACGGGCCCGGGGGCACTCATCATGCTGTCGGACGGCGGAGGGGGGATCAAGGTTTAAGTGCTCGCTATGAATCGGATCGAGCGAGGGGTTTCGGGTGTGCGTAACACCCTGGCCCTGGTAGACAAGTCCCCAAGTTGCACTCCCGTCACAGTTTGCGACAGAGAGCGATGTTCGACAGAGAGTGGTGTTCAGCAGAGAGTGATGCAGTCTAGGAGTTCGGAAGGTTGGCAATCACTACTGCCAAATAGCCGGCTGTGGGAGGGAGGGCCAGAGCAAGCCTGTCTCAAGACTCGACGCAGGGACTGTGATGCTAGAGAAGCCGGCGACGTATGTTATTGCTCCACCCTACCTAATTGTTCACCAACGGTGACGATCAGGGCCGCCTGCACTCCACGGTTCCTTATAACGGCCGCCTGGGCGTGAACGCTCCTTCACCACTGACTCGAACTGTCATACCGGTTGCCCAGCTGACGTGTAACTTACTATGAATAAAGCCGCCATCTCTGAGCTTTAATCATCAAGGGACATAACGACGTTTCACATGCAATAACTAAAAGTCAGCAGGCCAACGACAGGGCGGCGGCGGCCTGGACGGAGAACAGCGGTCCGTCCGGTTCTGCAAGTCGTGTGCCCAGCGCAGCAACAATAATTGAAGCGTAACTTATGGCCAGGCCAGCACCCGTGCATGCAACTCGGCTGCATCTTTATGCATATTGTTGCCCTACTCCCGTTCGTCGTCTCTGATGATGATTTCCCATGCCCTCATATACAGCAACGACACCCTTTCATGCCGGTGATCCGCGAGGGGAAGGACGAGACGAAATTCTAGCGCCCCAAAAAGGGACACACTTTTATAGAAGCCGGCCACGGAGAACATGGAAGAACCTTATAAGTCGCAGGTGACGCTCAGACTGCGTACAGTCTTGGCACGCGCTGTATGCAGAAGAGCCTGACAGAACGCCGTTTGGGGCATCGCTATTCGTCGATCTGTGGATGCGACGTGTGGGAGACACAGGAGAAAGTGGAGAAAGCCGACAAAATGGAGGATTGAGTTCCATCCGGCAACAGCTTCTTCCCTTCTCCACTGCTCTCTTCAGCAGGCTACTTTGCTTGGTAAATGTCATCTATCGACATGGAATCAATTTAACCGCCGAGACCAGCATCAGGCAGCACGCGTGACACTTCAGGTCTCACCATTACCCGAAGCAGGCACTTCCTCCTCGCTGCCGCTGTCATCATCTGCGCCATCGGTGGATGGTCTCTTCTTGCGTTTCCTCATCGAGCCATTGACGGCGCGCTCCACAACTCTGTTCCCATGCTCCTGTGCCATGGCTTCTGACTTCTCCACAATTCCTTTCTTGGGTGGCGATGGTGGGAGAAGTTGATTGCCATTCACGATCTGCCATTTAGTGATCCGTAGCTCCTTCCATTTCTGCGCGACTTTCACTCGAACCAGATCTCCCGTGGCAATGGCATCTTCGAGAGAATCATGCCCACGCTCACCACCATTCTGAATGCTCCGATGCAGATATCTCTCGCTGAGATTCTTCAGCCCAAAGCGCATAGGCAGACCGCGTGGATGCGGGAATAGGAGAACTGTATCGACGATCGTCGGGTGGCACAGTCTGACAGTGTTCAGATCGTTATCAATTGCGTGGCCCATCAATGGCGTTTTGGGAGTGAGGTAGTTGCAGAGGAGTTCGCGAGCTTTTGCTGGACCTTCCACCAGCGGTAGACGTGCTCGTTCGTTCTCCGTTGGTGCTGGAGGAGTATAATCTGCCCACTTATCGTAGGGTATGGATCGAGTGTAGTCATCGGGAAAGATGCCAGAGAAGCGACTATTGAGGTCAATGATCGCACCCACAGGTCGGACGAGGACATCAACGAGCTGCTCGTTGTACGGCCAGGACACGGCAGTCAGCCGGATCAACTCCAACCCTTTCGTCGTATAGCCCATCTCACAATCAAACGTCACTGCCTGGACCGCTCGTCCGCGTGAATCCTTTCGAGGCGATTCATTTTCTGGAGTGTTTTCGAACGGAAGAACGGCCGCAAGTCGCGCCGGGCTACTGGTCTTGAAGACATGATGTTCATGTCTGGTGCATCCGGGTGCGCCAACCAGGTTGCTGCAACATGGAAAGTAAGGCTCCCTTGGGCCAGTCTCTCTATCGGTCTTCAGTCGTTGCCGGAAGACTTTTCGATTTGGATGGAAATAACACGGCCCGTTGGCAGTAAGTTGACCATCTTCGTTGCGATCAGGGAAGACTTGAAAGCGCGAGGAGCAGCGATCGCACACTTCCCAATTTTCACTTGCTACAACAGCCGCAGCGGCTTCAGCGGCTTGCTCTGCTGTTGGAGGTACAGGGATATATCCGTGTGCCGCAAGCGGCTTCTGGTCGGCTACCAGGTGCGGCAGGATCAAATGTTCCTGACTGAGTAACAATCCGGTCTCGATGGGCCTCTCGGTCTTCTTGACAGGCTCCGGCTGTCCTTTGCCAAAGGTGATCTTCACTTCCTTGACCCATTCCTCAAGAGGCATCTTCCTCAAAGCGGCGATTCGTTGCTTGATGACATTTGAATAGACCTGTGGATTGTCGCGCGCCACTTTCTCCTCCCCATCGAGTGCGAACTTGATGAGCTCTTGCTCATCCAACCGAAGGAGGTGTTTCTGCTCCAGACCTGGGGCTTCACATAGCATTGTGTTGAGGCGCACCATCTCCATATGCAAGTGCTTGAGAAAGTTTTGTCTCTTAGGGTGTCCGACTGGATCATTTGTGATCAGTCGAGGGTTGAGGGTTTCGATCTTGCCATTGCCCAGCGTTCCTGGTTGTTTGGGGGGTGGTACGGCCTTGTTTGCTAATGCTCCTGAGACACTCGGGCCGCCGATTGTCGTGGCTTTGTCGTTTGTGGGCGGAGGAGTTGTGGGCTTGCTGAGGCTGACTGGAGGCTGTGACTTCAAATTTGGCGATGAACTCTGACTTGGTGCAGCATACGATTGGGAAAGTGGCGATTTCTTGACAGCGGCCAGTTGCTTGCGAATGATGTCGGCTCTGCTCGGCGGCTTGTCCGCGAGAGTGTCGTAGGTGACTTTGCGACGCTTGCTCGCTGGCTCGGGGAAATCATCTTCTGGAGATGGTTGTTGAGGCGTGGTTGCTGTCTTCGAGACATTTGGTATTGATGTGGTTTGCGCGCCGGGTGTCTCGGCCGACGGCTTCTTTTCATGAGAATAGATGCAGCTGGTCAAGTTGCACTTTTCTCCCGCCGGACAGGCTATGTTCTTGAATAGCGTTGTCGTTGAGAACACCATCTTTGACTGCTGTCTGCAAGCATCTCACGAGGCGAGTGGTGTGATGAAGGGCGTTCTTAATGTGAGTTGAGAGTCGCGCGCATGTGAAGCTAGCTACGCGATGTGAGCAGTCTGGCGAGCGAAGTTCCACCAGGAGTGAATGGGATCGGCGTCTCACTTTGGATGTGAGTACTGACATTGGTTCTGTGACAGGGAAAGGCGAAGCCGGGAGAAGGCGTGAAAGCAATTCATGGCGCTCGCGTTTCGAATGGACCGGACAAACGTGTGCTTGGCTTACCTACCATTTGCGCCGTGGGCCACAGTTGAGTGCGCCCTGTCGACAATCGGGACTGGGCAAAGACACTGCTTGTGTATGGAGCGCAATGTTCGGCCGAAGCTGTTCTGCACATGTCAAAGAAGTTGAAAGAACCAGCAGCAGAAAGGGCTGCTGTGAACGGAATGTAGCCGGATCGGGATCGGGATTTGCGCTGACATTTTGTCCGATTTGACGACATCATCATGAACAGCGAATCGAGGCGAAGGCGTAATGATGGCTGCAGCGTGATTCCTGATCCATGGGCTATACAATAGAAGCCTATGAAGGCGTCGTAGGTCCAGCTGTCATTCGTTCTTGATCCCACAACTGTTTCCGCGCAATGTCTTCACCAGCAAAGAAAGCTGATCACTTGGCAGTGCTTGTGCATGGTACGAAAGCAGCCATTGTAAGGAGCCCAGGCAGCTACTGACATTCACTCCCTAGGTCTTTGGGGTCACCCCAAACACCTGGACTACCTGCGAGACACACTACAGAAACAATACCCTACCGATCGTCTACACGTGCTTGTTGCGACAACGCTCAGTGACAACAAAACATACGATGGAGCCGACGTGGGAGGCGAGCGAGTCGCAAACGAGATTGAAGAGGAGATTGCCAAGTTGAAGGAGGATGGCTACGACATTATGAAGATCAGCATGGTGGGCTACTCGTTCGGAGGATTGATTTCGAGATATGCGATCGGTTTGCTGTATAGCTCAGGCCTCTTCGAGCGAGTGAAGCCCATCAACTTCACAACATTCGCGACACCCCATCTAGGAGTGCGCACACCAAAGCGAGGATGGCGGTCGACCTTATTCAACTCGATGGGACCTCGTACCTTAAGCACGTCTGGACAGCAGATGTTTCTGGTCGATTCCTTCAGAGAAACCGGTCGCCCCCTACTCTCCGTCCTCTCCGACCCCAACAGCATATTCATGAAAGGCCTTGACACGTTCAAGAATAAATGGCTCTACGCCAACACAATCAACGACAGGAGTGTGCCCTGGTACACAGCAGCATGGTCAAGGACGGATCCTTTCGTCGAACTCGACAAAATCGAGCTTCACTACCTAGACCCACAACCACCTCCAGGAGAAGTCATCCTCAAACCAAATTCAGGCTTCGTAACACCGAAGAGGTCCCCTTACGAAAACATGACCTTTTTCGAACGCCTCAAAACCATCCCACACCGAGCCCTGAGCAACCTACCCTTCTACATCCTCCTCGCAACCCTCATGCCAATTTTCCTCCCAGCTTTCCTCCTGAACAGCGGCTACCAGACCTACCAATCCGCCCAGCGCATCGCAGCCCACAATTCCGGAAAAGTCTTCAAACCCGAGAAATACCGGGTAAAGTTCCTCGAAGACGCAGAAGCCGTGCAAGATAGGTTATACGAAAGATTCACAAATCGGCAACGAGAAGAATATCTACCCACACCACCACCAGAACGTGCAGAAGAGGACAAATCCAGTGCTGAGCAGTCGCCCGAAAGACCAGATCTGAGATTGAGCAGAAGAGAAAGTGCCAGGGAACGAGCTCACGATTTCAAGATTTTGGCTTTGACGGAAGAACAGTTTGATATGATTGAGAATTTGGATAAACTTGGCTTTGAGAAGTATCCTGTGCATATACAAAAGGTGCGTCGAACGAACCCAGAAAGTCCTAGATATGACGGAAGGATTCTACTGACGCAGACCAGGTACGGCACACGCATGCAGCAATTGTGGTTAGAATGCAGAAGGACAGTTTTGTTGAAGGCAAGGCTGTGGTTCAGCACTGGGCTGAGAAATTTGAACTTTAGCGGGCATAGAATAGATGTTCAATTGCATTATCGTGCTTTCTGTCGCGGTCCTGCACATGTTGGTTCCATTTCATCGGCCCAGGTTTCCTGCGCGCCTTGCTGTCCACTGCCCGCGGTGGTGATCATTTCGTAGACGCCTTGTTATTCACGCCCATCGAGAGAAAATGCGATGGACTTGGAGGAGCTAAGAGACGTATCACTGACAAAGGAAACAGTTACTTCGCGTATCTACAATGCTGCTCTAACTTCACCTCATTGCTCTCTCTCTCGTCTGATGTGGTACTTGAGCTGACAAGATCCTCTTGTCTTGCTAATTCGAACTCAAAGCTTGCCTTTTGTACTATACACGACCCGGCTCCGGGACAAGTCTAGAAATTCTACGAGAAGCTCTTGGTGAAGTTAACGACAACATCCTTCAGCTTGCCTTCAAGATCCTTGCTCAATGATCCCTCCTTGTCGATCTGCTCGAGAAGAGCGCTCTCGTTGCTCTTCAGGTGGTTGAGGAAGTCTGCTTCCCACTGGAGGATCTTGTTGACTGGAACGCTGTCAAGATGACCGTTGACACCGGCGAAGATAAGTGGGACCATCTCGTTGACAGCCATTGGCGAGTATTGCTTCTGCTTGAGGAGCTCGGTGAGACGTTCACCACGGCTGAGGGTCTGCTTGGTGGCGGCATCAAGATCGGAACCGAACTGGGCGAAGGCAGCGACCTCGCGGTATTGGGCCAAGAAAAGCTTGAGCGAACCAGCGACTTGCTTCATGGACTTGAGCTGAGCGGCGGAACCGACACGGGACACGGAAAGACCGACGTTGATGGCTGGACGGATACCCTTGTAGAAAAGTTCGGACTCCAAGAAGATCTGGCCGTCGGTGATGGAAATGACGTTGGTTGGAATGTAGGCAGACACGTCACCACCCTGGGTCTCAATGACTGGGAGAGCAGTGAGGGATCCCTCGCCAAAGTTCTTGTTCATCTTGGCGGCACGCTCGAGCAGACGGGAGTGGAGGTAGAAGACGCTGAAAAACATTAGACGTGGTAAAATGCTCAGGCGCGTGGGAAGACTCACTCTCCTGGGTAGGCCTCACGACCTGGTGGGCGACGGAGCAACAGGGACATTTGACGGTAGGCGACGGCTTGCTTGCTGGAAGGGTAAGGTCAGTGGATGCTGCAGATATGAAAGGAAGAAGTCGTGTACCTCAGGTCATCGTAGACTGGAACATGGTTAGCAATTGAACATCTCAACTTCGAGACGACACTAGAACTTACTGATGACGGCGTGGCGGCCTGTTCCAGTGAAGAATCTAAAGTCAGCAAATGTCCCCAAAGCATTAGCATGGATGGTATGCAATTACCGTTATCTAAAATACAGTCAGTAAGAACTCAATTAATTGAATGGACTTGTTAGTTCCGTACCTCTGAACCATTCTCCCATGGAGCAAGCAGAGAAAGGAGCCTGGTGGGTTATTAGTACAATGGTCTCCTCGCCAAGAGCTTGATCGGGTCCAACTCACCAAGAACTGAAGGGGTGCGGCCTCAGAAGCAGTGGCGGCAACAACACAGCAGTACTTCATTGCGTCGTTCTCCTCAAGGGTCTGGACGAGCTGAGCGACGGTAGAACGCTTCTGACCGACGGCAACGTAGATACAGTAGAGCTTCTTCGTCTCGTCGTTGGAGTTGTTCCATCGCTTCTGGTTCAACATGGTGTCGAGAGCGACGGCAGTCTTTCCGGTTTGACGGTCACCAATGATCAGCTCACGCTGTCCACGTCCAATTGGCACCATGGCGTCGATGGACTTGAGACCGGTCTGCACTGGCTGGTTGACAGACTTGCGAGGAAGGATACCTGGGGCCTTCATCTGGGCACGACGACGTTCCTTGGTCTTGATTGGGCCCTTGCCGTCAATTGGGTTACCAAGAGCGTCGACGACACGTCCAAGAAGCTCTGGGCCAACTGGGACGTCGACCTGTGAGTGACGGCATTAGCGCCAATGGTATAGCTTGGCACGTGGTTGCTGCAGATACTCACAATCTGTCCAGTACGCTTGACAGTCTCGCCTTCCTTGACCAATCTGTCGGAACCGAAGAGCACAACACCGACCTGGCCGGCCTCGAGGTTCATGCACATGCCGGTGACACCGGAGGCGAACCTTTGATGCTTGTTAGCCGATCTGTCCGCCCGGTGCGGAAGCAATTCTCAACGTACTCGACCAGCTCCTCAGCCTGGACATTGTTCATGCCGTAGACACGAGCAATACCGTCACTTGTAGTTCGTCAGCCTCTGTCCGTTTTTTGATCTTCTGCCCTTCTCTGCCATACCCGACAGTCAGAACACGGCCAGTCTCGGCGAGACCTGCCTCCTCCTGCACGCCACGGATTCTCTGCTCGAGGATGGACGACACCTCAGTGGGTGCGGCCTTGGTGTCGGCGGCATAGCCACGGGTGATGTTGACGGCGGCTGGGGCGGATCGCTGCTGTAGATGAGAAGTGATGTTAGCGCGCTGCTCTGTGTGTAGCATCGGACATGCCAGGCAGGTCTCCGATCATCCAACGGAGCTCTCAATGCGCCTCAAAATGCCACCCGGTGTATTTCTCGAGCCCATTGAGCTCATCGATGGTGATTTCGCGAGGCATTGGAGCTTCGTTGTCGGCGCGGGAGGGTGGACCTACGACTGCAAATCTGCTGCTAGCGGAGAGCGCACCGGCCGCGCGGGCGCTCGTCCTGAGCGCGGTTCTGAACATTGTGACGTTGCCTTGGAAGCTGTTCAGTTATAGTACCGCTCCCACAGCGGTTGAAGTGATGTCTTTGGAGAGGGGAGAGGTGTGGTGTTGATGGTGAAGTGGTGCTCCCTGCTGGAGCAAAAGGTCTGCGGGAGCCGCTTCAAATCCCACAGGTTTCGAACGCGGTACGTTCCGGAAAGCAGCTCGACCTGGTCTCACACTGCGGCTTACTTTCGATCTCCTATATTTCTATCTCACTCCTTCGGATTACTTCCTTTTAATCGACTTGACGAAAGCGCTGCAGCGTCACAGGCCTCGCTGAATCACTATCAACCCTCAGACACGACATCCGCACTCCCGATCGGGATCCTCGGCTAGAATGGCTCTCAACTTGGAGAAGCAGTTACTCTTCGTATGGCAGCCGCGAAGCACAAACATGACATGAATGCTGATTTCACTTTCAGTATGGCTCATACCATCACGATCCTGTACGAATACCAACTTTCTTCACTCATTAGGACATCAAACTAACAGTGCCAAGGTCAACGTCGGCATCCATATCATATTTGTGCCCATGCTGCTCTTGACGGGATTTCTCTTCGTATGTCATGGTGAACGCATATACTCTCTGACTCTGGTCTGATCAATATACAGGGCACCAATACGCCAGCTTTGCCAGTGCCAGAATGGCTCGAGGTCCCCTACTTGCCACCTAATCTTGGCACGATAGCTTGCTGTCTCTATTCGTCCTTATACATCTTGATGGAGCCAGTAGCTGGAGCGATGCTGGCACCACTCCTCCTCGCTGGAACAGCATATTCCAACCACCTCACTTCGACTTACGGTATGCAGGCAAACTACATTGCGATCGGAGTACACATCTTCTCTTGGCTGGTGCAGTTCTTTGGTCACGGGGTCTTTGAAGGTCGAGCTCCAGCACTCCTCGACAACCTGGTACAAGCGATCTTCTTGGCACCATTCTTCGTCTGGCTTGAGATCCTGTTCGCATTTGGCTACAGACCAGAACTCAAGTCGAGACTTGACGTTGCCATTGAGCAGGAGATTTCGAAATTCAAAGCCAAGAAGGCCGCGAAGAAAGCCAACGGGCAGGTGAAAGCTAACGGAGGTGCAAACGGGCATGCGAAATGATCGATAGTCCGTACGACTCTATTGTGCATGTTTAATGTGTGATGTGTGACGGCTGTAGCCAGCGAGCAGAGCAGAGTAAATACGCTCTGAAGTCTGACGAGCATTAATCCGTCCTCATGCACTCAAAGGTAGATTGGAGAATGGAGCAGCGTACTTCAGCAGCAGTCTTTTAACCAATGGAAAGGATGTAAATTCTATCTGCAGGCACCCCTTTGAAGCAAGATCTGGCGTTTGTGCCAAGGGGGGACTTGTTTTGCTTCATCTTGTCAACATATCCACTACGATATTGAGTGCTGGAGCGAAGTGCTTCGGTAATGTCTTTCATGATCTGCATATCTTACCTGCCTTTTCCATGTCGTCAACCTCGAACTATGGCGATGACAAGTCCCGTTGGCCTGACCTTGATTTCCCCTGATTCCATGGTGTTCGCGGTGCGTTTTGATTGGTGAACGCTGCTCGCTGACATGAGACCAGACCATCCATTCACCACGGTATATATCGTGCGCCTCAGCAAGGACATGAATCTCTCTACGGACCCTCTCATGAGCTCTTCAAAAGATGCCTGCATGCCCTGGCATTAGAAATCGTGAGTCGGAAATTCCCTTGTCCTCTGCCCACCACTAGTCAAGTTCTCCGCCCGTGTCATCCAGTATCTCCTTCAACCCCCCAACCCACTGCTGTCCCTTAACTTTTTTATCCTCTTCTTCAAATCCCCCTCACTCCTCTGCATATAATTAATCTTCGTATCCCTCGCCATCTTCCCATAATCTTCCCCATACTTCTCCACCAACTCCCGAAGAAACCTGACCTCGCCCTCAGGCTGTCGTCTCTTATGCTTCGCCGCAGGCCTCCTCGCCGCAGCTTCCAAAGCTTTGACAGTCTCGGTCTGAGCACCAACCTCGCCAATTTGCGATTCGAGATGTTGTGAATTTGGAATACCGTTCCATTCCTCTTCCTCGTCGTCAGATTCTAGATCGTTCAGAGGATCGTTCAGAGGATTCGGTTTCGCCAGCTTCTCGTCGACAACTCGTATGATCTTTCCCGTTTCCGGATCGCGCTCGATTTTCGCTTCGCTGACATCTATCTGCTCTTTCTTGCGTTTCGAAGCGGTGGTGATATTTAGTGGATCGACGTCCTCTTCCACATCATTCAAGATATCTGAGACCTTCTTTTCTGTGCCTCCAGTAGACTTGTTGAGTTTCACAGTAAGCCCGAGCCTCTTGTAATTCTGAGCCAGCGTCTCATTCTTATTCCAACTTTGTGCGATGATGGGATTTGTTTGGATGCGCTTTTTGGATTTCGGTTTCTGTCGGACTTTCGATATGCTCGAGCGATTTTTGCGTTTTTGAATTTCGCGGCCCATGTTTGCAAGTCGCGCTCTGTTGTCGCAGTGTCGTGTCGATTATCACATGCAACAACAAATTTCTGGAGTCGAGATCAGAGAGGTCGGCATCGGCACTCGGCGACTGCTCTCGCTTGCCCCTGTCGAAGCTTATATGTATCTAATCAGATCGAGCCAGATTGTACCGCAACGAAAGAGCCTCCTCGATTTCCTGATAGCTGGCAGAGACACACATAGTAATGATGATGCCGTCGAGAGGTTATCGAAACGCTGCCCTCGTGGTATTGGCGCTCATCGTATACACGGCGTTCGCACAAGAAAGCAAGTCCAAATTCACAGGAGTCGATGTAGCCACAGATGTCGGATCCCTGAGCACACAGGAGATTGAGGAGCAACTCCAGGTCAGCATTGTCCATGTTCCCAGCAAACCATAAAGCTACGACACCTAGATGGGTTCACTACTATATTTCTAGACTCGATGAAGCTAACCAAGATCTCGTAAACAGCAATGTCCCATAATCGAAGCACTCGCCGCACACAAGACACTCCACGAACCAGTTACCTCATCATGGCTTCAACAATCCTTCAAAGTGCTCTTCCCATTCGCCTCGCCCGCTCTCAATGCCTTGATGGGTACATTGTACATCTCTGGCCCTCCGAATTTCCTGCTTGCGCTATGCCCTCCAAATATTGATCCAGCGAGTCTGAACATCATGGTCGCGTTCGCGGTAGGAGGATTGCTCGGAGACACACTCTTCCACTTACTGCCTGAGATCTTCTTAGGAGAAGTGCCCGAAGGCGAAGTCAGAGCTGTTCTCGTCGAGCCGAATAAGAACCTGCTGCTGGGAGTTGCGATCATGGTCGGCTTCGTGACATTCGTGGCCATGGATAAAGGCTTGCGGATTGCGACTGGTGGCGAAGGACATACGCATGATCATGGCAGTAGCCAGTCAAATGGACATGCGATTGGCGAGAGTACTGCTGTCTCAGGGAAGGAGAGTGGTCCGCTTAAGCAGAGGAAGAAGGAGATCAAGGATGTGGTAAAAGTTGCTGAGCAGGAACAGCCGAAGAAGGAGGTCAAGCTTTCAGCGTACTTGAACATCATTGCTGACTTCACGCACAACATCACAGATGGTTTGGCGATGTCTTCGTCGTTCTACGCCAGTCCGACGATCGGTGCGACGACAACTTTGGCTGTATTCTGTCATGAGATTCCTCATGAGGTTGGCGATTTCGCCCTACTGATCCAGGGAGGTATGAGCAAGAAGATGGCAATGGGTCTTCAATTCGTCACGGCGCTGGGTGCTGTGCTGGGGACGATCATTGGTATTGCTGTACAGGAGCTTGGCGGAAACAGTGCTTCCGTGGTGTCTGAGGCTGCCATTGGCAACACTGGCATTTTTGGTACTAGTCTACAGGGGGGAGATATGCTCTTGCCATTCACAGCAGGCACGTTCCTCTATGTAGGTACCGTTGGTGTCATTCCTGAGATTCTGGAGACAGGTCCGAATAGGATGAAGGAGCTGAAGAGTACGGCGTTGCAATTCCTCGCCATGGCGGCGGGTGCTGGTATTATGCTTGGGTATGTTTGATCGCCTTCGATGAAGTATCCGTGGTTTGGGCGTAAAGCTGACGGTGCGATTGCAGTATTTCCTGGTCATGATTGTTGCATCCAAAATGGTGCAAAGTCTTCGATGTGCGGATGCTGATGCCTCAATCTTGCTGCTGATGTGCTTGGCGGCGCGGTGGAATGTCAACGAGTCTGACTGTGCCTGCTGGTATTACCACGGCCAACTGCGCTTCCTAGAGACACCTTGTCAGCAAGCCAGCCTTCATGATCTTGGCATTTTCGCTCTCACCTCAATCACTGCAGATTCCCAGTCGTAGTTGCTCGAATTGATCGAGCCTCGGCTGTCTGCGCTGTGCTCGCTTCCCGCATCTGAGCAACGTCGGCAGTGTCGTGGTGAGACAAAGGTGCTGGGTTCCTCGAAGTTTGGCGCGCTCGGCTCTCGTGTGAAGGCGCTGACGGCATCGGCAGCCTGTTCTTGGTGTGGCGCGCTCTGTACTGGTCCATCTTCTGGCCGCTCTGTAGCCTCAATAGCAAGATCATCCAACTGCTCAGCGACGGCGTGTTCGTCTTCTTGCTGTCGTTGACGTCCGCTTCCGACGCGCTTCTTGATCCGCGCAATCAGATCGCCAGCCTTCATCTTGATAGTGCTATCCTTTCTAGAGCGACGCACATCCGTACCAACATCAGGCGCCTTCGCGCGTCTCTTCGGGGGTACAGGAGGTCGATGACTGGCAGCCTTGTTCTTCTCCCATGGCGACACGTTAATGAATCCGCCGCGCTCAGTCGGCTCATTGTCGTCCAGAGGGTTCTTGTTGCGGTGATGCTGCATGTCGTACCTGAAAAGAAGTAAGTACCACAGCAGCAGCAAAAGGGGCGAAGCAACTCACACGAAGCCTCCCTGGTACTCCTGAATGACACGGCCCCCGGCTTCAGCCACGAGTTGCTCGCATTCTTCTATGGCGTTGATGAAGTCGCTGCCGTCGGTGCCGTAGACGTCGCAGCGGAAAGTGGTGCGTGGTGGTGGTGGTGGTGTCGCGGCGATGGCCCCTCCGACCACTGAAGAGCATTAGCAAGTGTCGTAAAGATCAAGAGGCACTCTACCAGCACATGCTGGGATCAGACCACTGTTTCTGATGTCGAGGCCGTCGCAAGTCTCGCTTGGCTGAGTTGTGCCTTGCAAAGAAGTGAGGATGTACTTACTCATGGCGCCGAGATTGGCGGACGAGCCTGTTGATGGCTCGAAAAAACGAGATGTCCGAAGACGCTGCAGAAGGGAGCGTGGTTGCGGTGCTGTTGTTAGAGGCGAGAGTGAGTCGAACGAAACTTGCTCACTTTGGATGCTGCCACGTGAAATCTGGCACGATACGATAACATCACGGTCACAGGACTATCGCTGCCGCTGCCGTTGCCGCAAGTGCATAGATGGGTGATGGGGTGTGTGCTTACCTCGCTTTCTCTCGCCCAGGAGGCTCATTGCCGTGCCTGGCCTGGCCGCCATCCTGGTTGCTTGGTCGGTGTGGTGTTGACGAGCAACGTGAAAAGAGTAGGGGAGGGCAAGTGTGCGGTGAGTTTGGGCGATTGCATGGTTGCCTAGGTGAATTTGCGTACTTTTAACGGTTTTACAGAAAACGGCAAGTTGCTGCTGCTGTCGAGACGTTAGAGATGCCGACACTGATGAATGGAGACTGGATGATAGGACACTAATTCAAGAACTCGACGCACGTCGTCGTAGATTGGCATCTGGTGCATTTTTGGAATCTGTTGTGTTGGTAGATGGACGTGCATTTACGGTGATGATCTTTTCATGTGCTTGCCAAGCCTTCATATTCGGGAAGGTACAGAGATGCGACCTTTTCCACTAGGTAATTCCGACTGCTTGGCTCGATCATAGTCATTGCAGCTCGAAGACGTGTCCTAATGTTCTTTTTTCACTCCGTTTCCCGCCAGAACCGACAGCTGAAACTGGCCAACGTGTGCAAAAGGGTTGTGAATCATTCGTAAGGTTTGATCATGGCATCTATTCAATGACTGGATTTTGGGAAACAAAATAGGCAAAAACAATCGCCCATGGCGAGATGTGTGCAATCACTCAGTGGGGGCCAGGCCACATCTTTCGATGTACGCTCATCGGCCCAAGACGTGACAGATCGATGACCATGCGCTTCCAGGAGAAGCGGCTTTCCGGTTAAGCCCCCACGCCGTGAATGATTGTTGGCGTGCGTATTCGAAATTTCCTTTCTCCTGCAAGAATGATCGAGTGGTGAGTACTTTCTGTCCAGTGAATATGACCTGAATCGCTCTCTTGCTCAGCTAGAGAAGCATTGATACCTCAGGGCCAAGATGATGCACTTTAAGAGAGACTCAGGAATGCATGTAATTCGAACTCATAAGCTGATCTTCGTGTCGTCTTGCCCCGATTGCTGGAAGAAACTATTGTATTTGCTGTCCCAGAGCAGCTTTCCATCAGGCTGTGACAAGTGTGTGGTTGCCAGGTCGACATGTAAAACTTGATTCGAGCCATGATATTGCATTTGCTTCGTTAAATGTCGGTGCTAGTCCACAATGCGTCTCCACTTGTATCCATCAACATCCCGACGTGACTGACGCATCAGGATACGCTGGACAGAAATTCTGTCGAGCAAAGGAGAAAATTCATCGTCGATGCCCAAGCATTTGGCAATCGCGCAGAGCTTAGTGAGTGCATTGCGGCCGATCAGCGCCGCCCTGATTGAAGCTCGAGGTCGCATGGTCTGTCGTTTGAAGTGGCGTTCGAGGATGTTCTGTTTCCCCGGCGTCACCTTCACCATTCGAGAATTGGAGCCTTTTCGTCTCGGATTTTCCAACTCCTACAATGTTATTCGTCGGCCATGCTGCTCTCGAGCATGGCTCGTGTCCAGCTACATCCATCGAGCTTCTTGTGCAGACTGCTGCAAGCATTACATTTTGATATTAAGTGCTCACGTCGATGAGAACATATGCTTGAACTTCTCAATTTTCGTCGAAATGTATTTTTCAACTTCCGGACTCGTGAATCCCTTCTCTCCTTTCGTTTGCCAAGCCAAAGGAATCATGGGCACGCGCTCGACGACGCGGACTTCTCGGTGTGGCCCTTCCACAGCCCTGACCTTTTCAGGATTGTTTGTAAGCAGCTTGATTCCGCGCTCGCCGTCAAGGCCTAAATCGATCAAAATCGCAGTCGCGAGGCCGTAAGATCTAGCGTCTCCTGGATGTCGGAGAAGAATGTTGGCTTCCATTGTATCATGACCCAGATCCTGTAAATTATACGCCTTTAATTTGCTTAGAAGTCCAATGCCTCGCCCTTCTTGTCGCAAGTACACAATCACACCCCCAGAAGATTGCAATCGTGATTGCGGGTGCTCAGAATCTGGCGTTCCTGCAGGCGTAGCCACAGGCAAAGACATCAGTCGCGCAGCTTCGTCCAACTGCTCACCACAATCACAACGCGCAGACCACACTGTCTCGCCCGTATAGCATTCCGAATGTATCCGCACCAGGGGTGGTCCGAGCTCGGGTGGATATGAGGAGTGCGTGGAGCTTATTGACTCCGCATCTGAAGAAGTCCGTTCTGGCGATTCACTGTGCGAAGGAGCGCCATTGGTATGTGGTGACTGAGGCCGCGCAGAGACACCAGCGTCTGAACGTATTTGCTCGAGTCTGCTGTGCATCCGACCAGGATATAGTGTACCAGTGTAAGCACCTCGAATCATGCGGTCTCGCTCCGTTTCGCCGGGCCTCGGGGCATCTAAACTCTTGCTGCGAATATGTGGTCCAAATACGATCGCCATATGTTCCTTGTTGTCTACATTATTATGGTAGAGGTGTAACCACATTTCTTGTCCAGTAGTCGTGGGTATTCTCGCCCGTACCTCACAGGTTACGTGAGGCAGTTCCTCCAGCAGCTTCGGCTGCGAATCTTCCGTAGATGCATCGTGTGCCTCGGTTGGTATGCTTTTGGCCAATCTATCAGGTCGCTGTCCGTCCACAAGGGGAGATCGCGGCGGTGTGAAGGCAGGACTAATCAGCGGCGGAGCTGTGTTCGTGGAGAAGTCGTTGTCGAGTTGCAGTTCCGAGACATTATTTTGTTCGTGTCGCTCGGCTTTTGGCGATGCTATAGGCGAGAATGCCGGCGACGCCAGCGACGGAAAATCAGGCATATCTGTACAGTCTATCGTAAGGAAGGCGGCATCGGTACAGGATCGAAGCGCACTCAAGAAGACAACAACAATAATGGCTGCAGAGTGAGATCACGGACAAATGATTTACAAGCCTCGGGCCGGAACCGCAAGAAGCACGACATGGCGTCAAGGGTATCTGTGGGTACGAACTTAAGCGGTCCTTTGAGGCTTTGCCGACACCGACGATACATCGTTACCAAGGAACAGCGTCATGGCATCGGGAGCACGAGTCAGCAAAAGATTCCGTGCTGTGCAACAGTCCAGAACGTAACACAACACAACATCTGAAGACGTACAACGACATGTTGCGTTTCTCTTTGTTGGACATTTCAATATCTCTGTTTCTCCGCTTAAACTATGCAGTACTGGCCTAGCAACAGGCCTTTTCAAATCTCCAAAGTGCAAAGACCCAGCCGTGTGGCCAGCCAGGTACCACGTGCAGGTCTTGGAACATCTGGACGCCATTGGTACCATGACCAGGACTCGAGAGCCTAGCCTCGATCACAACATGAAGCGTGCCATTACTATGCACGCTCATGTCTCGATGCCGAAGACTCGCTGCAACAGAAACTCTCCAAATGGCTGCTGCCCGCTCGTCTGAGGGCTTCCGATGCATCGGTCAAGACGATTCCCACTTTTCACGCTCAACCACTTGCCATGGTCACTACCAGCCTCTGGATCCCCTTCTTCGAGCTTCTTACGTGTCCGGCGATCAATAACGTACATCCCGCGAGTCCATTGACCAGAAGTCTCGACTCGCAAGTCTTCATCCTTACTAATCTGCCAGCCTATGTTTTCAGAAATTGTTAGTTGGGATCCGAGGTATGAGCTTTGAAACAAGATTGATGTGGACTTACCTGTAAGAGTGGTCGCCATGCAGTACCAAATAGTCAGTGGATCATGCAATTGCAATCCAACCGCATCTCCAGAGAGGTTCTGCTGTAGCGACTCAACCTTGTGGAATGTGGCAGTCAAGAATGCAGCAGCCCAGTCAGCAAGAGGACTTCCAGCGGCAACCTGAGGTTCAAGGAACTTCCTGAAAGTTCCTCTTGAGAGGATGTGTTGCTCGGTTATGTCGAGCGGAAAGAGAGTTACTTTCAACCGCCGCGAAAGGTTCTCTGGGTATGGCGCCAAATAAGGTGGAGGATGTTGTCCTTCTGGCTGACCTGCAGGCGCTGGAGGGGCAGGCGGCATGGTAGAGCTCGGGTTTGGGGAGGTGAGTGCATACAAGCGAGCCGCAGCGTACGAATCCGCAAATGTGTTGAACTCGGCGCAAGGAGTAATCTGGTTTCGAAGATTTAGCATGTCTCGTATTGGCCCGGGTGCTTGCTTTAGCAGACGGAAGGGAGGCTCTGAGACGAGGCGTGCCTGCTGATCGGAAAGAACAGGTACAGAACCTACATTGCCGTGCTCGAATATCGTTCCACCCATGACAACTATCTCTTTCGCTCTGAGAAAGGTTTCCGTATCCTTTGCAGCCGCAAGCGCGAGGTTCGTCAATGGTCCAATAGCGACAATCGTTATCGTGTCTGGCTCATTATCGCGGAGAAGCCGAAGAATCTCTTCGTCTGCTGGTGCTTGAGATGGAGTGAACATTGCGTTTGCATTTTGCAATTCGGTCGAAATGATACGGTCAGCAGGGCTTTGGCTGCTCCCGGCTTGCGTGAACAATTGCTTCCAAGTCTCTGCAGGTGTAAAGCGTGGGTGCTGTACTAGTCAGTCTTGAACTTTCGAGAACGATCCCTGCAGGTGAAATACAGACCGTTTCGTGGATTCCCCCAAGCCCATCGGTGCCATGGAAGAAGTCAGCCATCAATAGCTGATCAGCAAGAGGATGTTCTGGTCCAATGGCAACAAGAGGCTTCTGCTTTCGAAGTCCATCGAAGCCTAATGTCTTTCCTTGTGACTTGCGCCATTCGATTTCTTTCTCAATGTGGAAGAATAGGGACCTGTCAGCATGGACTGTCAGCAATATGTCCAGCTTCCGAGCAGTGGTCTCTTGATCGAACAGCTGAAAATCAAGACGACTCTTTTTTTCGACGCCTGATTTTCAACATAGCCCCCATCTGATATCGAGTTCACTTACACCACATTCCGAAGACAATTTTGCACATCAATGTTGCCGTATGTCACAGACAGCAACAAGACCTCAAGCTCTTCTGGCAAAGCGGAAAACGCCAGGAGCATAGCAACAACATCGTCGACACCCTATGTCGAGCGTCAGCTCCGATGTCACAGATATAGGGACACATTCACTTACAGGGTCCGTATCTATAATAACCCTCCTGGGGGCCATGGTGCTATCGAGAATTGCCTCTTCCGGCTTCGTCGCGTGGAAAGATGGGGTGAGCGAAGATATTATGTATGTGCTCGTGTCTGAATACAACAATGGCTTTCCAAGACAGATCCAAGCCAGAAGCAGTCACCGAATAGTATTCCGTATCGACTGAAAGAATATCGGATGTCGCCTGTTCCTTCCACGCAATCGCAACGAGCAATTTTGACACACGGCCCCGCACACATTTGTCCTCCGTGACAAAACGATTAGCCGAGCAGTATTCTATCAATTTCTTTTGACGCCGCAGCTTCGCGGCTCTTCTTTTCTTCTTTTCAACAATGTCTTTACAGGCCACCATTAGAGTCTCGGTACGAACGTTCAGTGTTAGTACAGGTCCATGAGGCCTCCTTGCGTGCTCCGGTGACCTAAGATCGAGCGCATCTGCTGGAAACTTGCCAGATTCCGAGTTGAGGGGATTTTGGTATCTACTGGGTGTGACATTCATCTCAACAAGCTACATATATCCAGGCCGGTGTCCCGTCTGTCAACAGGCGACTATGGTCTATTTGACGCCCTCCGATCGCTGCTTCATCTTCAGCCTGCGATACACGTCAGCTTCTGCGAGCGACGTTACCCAGGAACCGAACTTGCGCACCGCAAGAGATTGGCCTTTGGACAGCTCACTGTGCTGGCTTCGTCGCCTTCCTTTTTGTAGAATAAGTTACAGCACTCGTACAGAGCATCGATCTGGAAGGAGCGTGAGCACTGGCTCGCGTACGCCGGCGTGTTACTGATACCTGTCTCTGGCACTTGTCCTCCTTGTAGTTGTTCTTCTGTATGCAGTCTAGCATTCATTAGCGCCTCGAATCATGACAGTAATACATATATGGACTCACCTTGTATCGCGCACGCTTGGGGATGGCATGGAGGCTCGCTCTTCAGGCCATCCTCAGGACTCGTCTTCTGCCCATGTCAGAGATGCAGGGTGGCAGAACCGCATGGCATCATGCAAGCTCACCATTATTTGCACTTCACTTCGACCCAACTGTGTGTCACAAGATGCGCCGAAATACAATCAAAGCCGCGCTGCAGTGAGTTCTGTCGTGATCTGTGGCATTATTCGAGTTCACGTCGTCGTTGGCGCTCGTGACCTCAGCGCATGTGTCTTGGCAAGAGAACCGACCCCACCGTTCGCGTCACTTCTCTCATACAACAGCCTTTTGCCGCAGACAAGACGGTGACTTTGCTGTAGCAATCGCATACTTTAACTGACCGTAGTCAAAAGGTAAGCACCAGCTCGACCTCACCGAGCCGAGTCGTGCCTTCTGCTTCGACACCGCACCTTCCGCAACCGCTCACTTCTAACCCTTCACAGCGCGCTTCTGTTACAGGCATCATCGTCCATACCAGAAGTTCACCTTGTCCGTTCACACGCGTCTTAGTCATCTAAGACGAGAGTATAAAAGCTCGATCGCCTTCGAATTTGCACCTCACCCTTTTGCTCCACATTCAAAGCAACCCACATCGCCAAAAAGACCACCTCGATCCACCTGCCCAACTCTACAATAGCCTTAAGCCATGGCTGAGAACAACGGCACACCACCTGCTGATCAGCAGGAGCAGCCACAACAGAGCGAGCATCTCAACATCAAGGTCACCGATGGCAACAACGAGGTCTTCTTCAAGATCAAGCGCACCACGCAACTCAAGAAGCTCATGGATGCTTTCTGCGAACGCCAAGGCAAGAGCCCGCAAAGCGTACGGTTCCTGTTTGACGGACAGCGCGTAAATCCCACCGACTCGCCAGACATTGTACGTGCATGAGTGTTGGGCAGAGGGATGAAAGCGATGACTGACCTGGATACAGCTTGACATGGTTGACGGCGACTCGCTCGAAGTCCATCAGGAACAGATTGGTGGCTGGTGATGGATGGAACGAGAAGAAGCATACACGAACTCAGGCAGGCGGCTTCTTTCCCCATCTCTCGAAGAGCGCCTGTCTCTGCTTGCGACACCAAATTCCGACACGAGAGCAATTTGACAGGGACACAAGGGCAAGCGAGGGGTGGTTTGCAGCATTTGAGCGAGGCTATAAGACTCGTGACACGATATCTACGGGAGACGAATGGTTTCGTTTCTGGTGTTACATGGAGTGAGCGAGCGAGGAGCATGATCTATACGGGTGGTGATTATGCTTGCAGAGAGGACTGGTCTAAATCAAATTGTCTTCCTTGAATTCGATTGACATGCCCAATACTGCTTTCTGTGTTCTCGATCTCGATGCTTCGGATCCTCGATGCAGTCAAAAGCTCCTTCCGATGTCTTTCCTCCGGTCTTGATGAGCACCTTCCTTGCCCGGAAGAAAACTATATCGTTATCGTCGCAAGAAGAGGAGGTCGCCGCCATCTCAAAACGTCGTTCTCATTACTCTTGATGTCATGAAATCTACGTGTATCACCACCTTACATTACACAATCATACTCATACTCATACAAAGCTCCCCCGACTCCCACTTCTCCCATCAGAACTGGTTTCCGACTCTGAGCTCGGCCTTCTCTTCGTCTTCTTCTTCTGAAGCCTCCGTCCACTCCCGGCACTACTCGATCTGGGCCGAGACGTATTCGCCGTGCGCACACTATTATGAAGACTGATCGGTGGCGCTTGAGGCTGTGATTTATGCAGCTTCTCTGGTATGTATTCTGCAGGACCTGTCGGCGTGCCGAACGTTCCTGGTTTCAGGATTTCGAAGCCAGTTCCGTGCCCACGAACGACGGATGAGGCTTTCTTTTCAAATGACGGTCGCCTTGGTTGGGTTGGCTCCGGTGCTGGCGTCTCTTTAGGCTGCGTGCTAGGCTCTGGAGGCGCTGTGCTTTCGACTGCGCTTGACGATGCTGACATGTATACTGACAGCGAATCGCCCACGATTTGCATTGCTGATTTGCTGGACGCGACACTTCCGGCACTTGCGGGTCTGTAGTTGTCTCGCATTGGTGATGATGGCGCTGTCTGGCAGAACTCGGTAAAGGAGGCTACATTTGGCCCTGGTGAACTTGCGCGGCGGACTGCTGGCGGCAGGGTGTCAATCTTCGGCGGCACGAAAGTTCTGGCGGAGGAAGCCCAAGTGCCCGCCAAATAGCTCTTGTCGGGAGACTGAGATCTCGATCTTGCCCTGGCGAAGTAATCGCTGGGCTCAGCTGTGATTGTCATTGGCGTGTTTGCAAAGCTTGCCCATTCGCCACTAAGACCCGGCCTGCGAATGCGTGGTGTCAACTGCCCCGTCTCAGCCGCTTGGGACATGCGATGGCTGTGCATGAGATCGAGATCGGTCGAGTGCTGTCTCTGCTTGGTCTGATGGTTGAGAAGGCCCGGTGCTGCGGCAGCGATAGGCTCGCTATCTGTGCTATCATCGGTGGACTGCGCTGACGCGCCGCTCTCAAAGCTCTCTCCTGCTGCGTCGTGGTTCGGATGAAAGTGGCCTGAAGCCTTGTGAATTGCATCGAGGCCCTCCATTGTGCTTACGCCAGAGACCTGTCGTAACGCGGGGTTTCCAGTGTATTTAGAAAAAGAGGCTGGTGGGGGTTCCTGGGGCCTTGCGGTCGGTGGTCTCGCGATGATGGCCATATCAGAACTGTGACGACTGGCGTAAGACCCAGAGCCCGAAACTTGAGACGTTTTACGATCATGCGAGCCGGGGTGCTGCGCATTTCCTGTCGTAGGAATGGATGCAGACCTGTCGTGGCTGATCGTTGTCAGCCCCTTTTCGAGGTCGACGCTGTAATGCGTGGTGGGCACATGATCCCGAAGTGACGATTTGTTAGTATCGCGAGTAGTTGGCGGCTCTGGTGTGTTACTTCTCGAGATCCACACGCCTTCAACCTCAATCCCGCTTTCGATAGCTCTGATGCCGAACGGCACATCTACGTCGTGGCTGGCCTCTGGCTTCCGCCGTTGGCTCATTTGACGCGCCACGGCTTGCTCCTTCTTCTCCTGCTCGGCGACTGCACTGTATCTTCGAAGTTTGCGATGGGCATAGGCAAGCTTCCCACAGCCTAGAAGGACGGTGACAACAATAGCACACTGCATTCCTGTCAGCATGCCGGTTTCCTCATTTGTCGGCCATATTACCACTTTGGGCGATGCTATACTTACTCCCAGTAAAAACACCAGCTTTTCCCATGTCGCCCATGCCGAAAAGAACTTGCCCATTGTGGCTCAGTATTCGATGTGAAATGCCAACCAGGGCAAGTATCAGCTGCGGAATGCGGATGATGCGTAAGGATCCGGCGGGCGACTTGTGCATTGGGGTTCATGAGGGCGGCATTGGAAAATTGGCGTGTGTGTCTGTCGAGGTGGTGCTTCTGAAAAGGGTCTGTGGTCCAGGAATTGCGGTCGATGCGCTGGAGCTGGAGATGTCACCACACCAAAATCCAAGTTAAACGAATGTGCGCCACCGATGGCGTAGCGGTGAAAGACGTCCCGATGGCAAGAATGAAGAACAACGAGCGAAAGGGTGGTAAGTCGGCGGGCGGAGCAGCGAATGGCTAGGAAGAATGTAGCAATGTCAGTGCAGTCGGAGAATGGAGATGGCGACAGGAGAGCGTCGCGGAAGCGCATCATGGCGAACGAGGACGAGGAGGTAGAGGTGGAGGTGGAGCCAGCACTGTGGTTGCAACAGCTGCATGGGCAGACCCGGAAGTGTTTGTGACACACTGCTCAAGCGTCTTCTGTGGTATTTTTCGCACTCCATGCAAGCGAGCACTCGCACATATGCTTTGGTGAAACGATCGGCCCTACTCGGCGTTTCGAAGATTCAAGATGCACCATCCGTAGGCCCTGGCACTCGCGACGATTTTCGTACGGCAAGCAATAATAAATCTGATTAAAAGTGTGCTCCATGTTGTGCCACGCCGCGCCATGCAGTGTCTTGCTTGCGGATGCCATGTGCGCGACCGCAAATTCCGATGCCGATGCCGATGCCGATGCCGATGCCGATGCCTTTGCCTTGGAACGTGACGTCGTGAGCGGCTCTCTTCCGACCAAACAACCAACCAAGAAGGCGCAATGACCAATTTGGGACGGGTATACGCAAACTCAATGTCCCTTGCGGGCAGCGCGTCTCAATGCGTCCTCTACACTACTTCGGACTGCCTCCATCGAACCCTGACGCGTCCCTCGGTCATTGCGGGCCTCGCGATCCGGATCGGCGAATCCGATAATCCGGTGATGCGACGTAGCAGCCAGCTCTTACGATTTTGTTACTCAGACCAGCCGCCGGCCCACGATAAGCCTCTCCGCCAAACCTACACCTACACCTCGACGACAGCTCTCACGACATTGCTTGCTTGCTTTTCCACCGCTCCGCTCCGCTCCGCTCCGAGGCTGCACGGCTGATGTCAAGCTTTGGAAATGCACGTCTCGGTGACTAAACCATCGCATTCTTGGGCGCCGTGAAGTGGCGAATGGCTGCCCGTGACCTGCACCCTCGGCCATGTTACGTCTTCCCTGCTGCTCTCAAGCGATGCAGTCCACAGCCATGTGGGCACGGCACAGCACACATCCTTCACAGTGGATATGGGAACACAGTGGAGATGGGACTCCGTTCGCTGGCATCGTATGTTCTGTGAACTTTTCTTTACTGCTCCGTGGCCTGCTTTCCGCTTCTTGGATTTCACATTTCCTAGCATTCCTATCTTGGATCTTTGCCCCCTAGCATCATTGACATGATGGAGAGTCAAGACACGGTCAAGAGTGCTGTGTCATGCTTGCCGAACATTCTCAGGACCTCCAAACAGGATCCACGCTGCGCAAGCTCGAGCACTCCGGACGAAACGACTTCACTGTTATCAAAACCGGACGGTGAACATGACCCCTCATTATTTGATGCTGATGGGCAAACGAAAGTCGAGAGGATAGCTTCGGAGTTTTGGATATTGTTGAAAGGATCGATACCCGTCATTCTGGCCTACACCCTTCAAAATTCATTGCAGACCATATCAGTCTTGATCGTTGGCCGGCTCACTCCCGAATCGCTCGCTGTAGCAGCTTTCAGCTACATGTTTGCCATGGCCTCCGCCTGGCTCATTGGCATGGGAGGAACGACTGCCATTGATACCCTGGCCTCCGCATCCTTCACTGGAAGCAAGAACAAGCACGATCTGGGCATTATTCTTCAGCGCGCTCTATTCGTCCTCACACTTTTCTACATTCCCGTTGCGATCCTATGGCTCTGCTCCGAGCCCGTATTCAAACTTCTGGCACAAGAAGACTACATTGCGCGAGACTCGTCCAAATTTCTCGGCATTCTTATCCCAGGTGGTCTGGGCTACATCTATTTCGAATGTATGAAGAAGTACCTGCAAGCGCAGGAAATCATGAGGCCAGGAACATATGTTTTGTTGATCACATCTCCCATCAACGCCGCTCTCAACTACCTCTTGATCCACACCTTCGGACTTGGATTATTCGGAGCGCCCATTGCAACTGGCATCTCCTACTGGCTGTCATTTATCCTCCTGCTGCTCTACACACGATTTGTGGCGGGCTACGAGTGCTGGGGCGGCTTCGATCGCAAATGTCTTAAGAACATCGGCAGTTTCGCGAGCATCGCAGCACTCGGCGTGGTGCATGTGGGAACCGAGTGGTGGGCATTTGAGATCGTTGCTATCGTTGCCGGGCAACTTGGCACCATTCCTCTTGCGGCGCAGTCAGTCATCAGTATGTGATGGAAAGCCCCTGCCCCATCTTTGCCGCGGTATTGCACATTAGCTTACCACTTCGCGCCTTCTTTAGTGACGGCTGATCAGGTCATGAACACGATACCTTGTAAGCCCACCGGCCAAAACGTATCTATAGACCCTGCTGATAATGCGTTCTAGTCGGAGTCGGCGTGGCAACATCATCACGAATCGGCAATCTACTCGGGGCGCGCAATGCAAGAGGAGCTGCCTTATCAGCGAATACTGCAGCATGGTTATCAATGTTGCTAGGCGCTCTTGTGCTTGCGATTTTGATGGCCACAAAGGACAACTTCGCGCGGTTATTCAACGACGACGATGAAGTTGTGAAGCTCACAGCCAAAGTACTGCCGTATGTCGCGCTGTTCCAGATCGCCGATGGTCTCAATGGATCATGCGGCGGAGCCTTGAGAGGTATGGGGAGACAGCATGTAGGTGCTGCGGTCAACATCGCCTCTTACTACTGCGGCGCTCTGCCGTTGGGCATCTATCTCGCCTTCCATGGCTGGGGTCTTTCAGGCCTGTGGGTGGGTCAGTGCATTGCGCTATACCTTGTCGGCATTCTGGAGTGGGCTATCGTTGCTTTCAGCAACTGGAACCAGCAGGTCGAGAATGCCTTGAAACGATTAGATCCCGAGGATGTGGCTGAACAAGGCCACGGCAGCGTCGTATGACGATAGCCACGATGGTTACGACATGACTCTTGAGGTAGATCGTATCAGAGCAGACGAAAATTGGCCAGGCTATCGGTTCAGTCATGGTCTTCTTCCGCCCAGATAAATCGTACGGCCCTTCCAAATCCGTCAAGTGGATCCCGGCACTAAAATCGCATCTCGGGGACAAAGATTCACTCAACGTCACGGACGCCTCACTGGAAGCTCGAGCTCCCCACTTCTTATCTTTTTACACAGCTTCACAAACAGGCTTTGACTGCGTCTCATCTTGACAGAGGCCATTGACTAAGACGATACCGCCTCGCATGTCAACGCCCGCCGGTCATGCAGCTGCAAGCATGCGAGATGCTTGCCGAGCGTACACCGCATGCATCTACACGTAAGAGCAACGCCCCTCCAGCTCGCCGACGCTGCTACCGGAGGCTTCAACTTCTGCCTATCTCCAGCAACAAGGAAAGAGCCACGCAGTCGTCGGCCGCCTGACGACATGATACTGCCGTCATGTAGCTAGGGGCCGCCGGACGCACGCGAGAGTCGATATCCGTTAGGTAAACTGAATCAACGCGACGCGCCGTGTTTACGATGGAGCTGGTCTATATTTGCGTGATGTGCAGCACCTTGATGGCAAGAGCTGTTCATTTTTTCAGCAGCCATTGGCAGTCAAGATGTTGAATTTCTTTGGCGCAATTGCTGCTCTTACCTTGAGTGTACTCGCCCTCAGTGCTGAAGCCCATGGAGACCATGATCACGACCAAGAGCCATTGAATGGACCTCACGAGAAGCTGTGGTATAACGTTCTACCAGGCGATGGAGGAACACAGGTAAGCATTCTACATAAATCGACGGCCATGAAGCTCACACAATACAGGCCGACTCCGTCTTCTCAGGCATCTCGACTTTCGGTCGAATCCAATACCACCCTTGTCTCGCCTCCGATTCCGTGAAGTACGATATTGCCTTTATTGGCGCTCCGTTCGACACCGGCACTTCCTACAGACCAGGTGCTCGCTTCGGTCCATCTGGTATCCGGCAAGGTAGCCGTCGATTGAATCTATAGTATGTACAACAAGCTTACTCGAGACATTGGAATTGAGGCTCACGCAAAGTGCGCTTTAGTGGTGAGTGTGCACGACATGACTTGCTCGCTGAGGGCGTCATCGATTGTCACTTCAGACATGGCGGTCCTACGTCAGCAGTCTAGTTCAAGAATACCCAGAATTCAGGGCAGCTGCTAATCCTTGAAAGGCGGCTACAACGTTCCATTGGACGCGAACCCATTCAACAGCTGGGCGAAAGTCATCGATTGTGGGGACATTCCCGTGACTTCGTGAGTGCCAGTAGCATCATCATCATCATCATCAACAAACTCACGAAATCTCTGGCTGATTTACTTATAGATATGACAACACCTGGGCATTGCACCAGATCGAAGAAGGCCACAACAGCATTTTGATGCGTGCACCAGCAACCTCTGCGAGCGAGCCTGGCATCTCCAAGCACGGCAAGACTCTTCCTCGTGTGATTACCCTCGGCGGTGACCACACCATTACACTTCCATTGCTGAGAAGCATGAACAAAGCATACGGTCCGGTAAGTGGGTTACTTTTGAAGACACGAGACCACCTGAGCCGGTAAGGGTAGCTGACTCTTCCGTCCATAAACATAGATCACCGTGATCCACTTCGACTCTCATCTAGACACATGGAGACCCAAAGTCTTCGGAGGATCTCCCAGCAAAGTCGCCAGCGTCAACCACGGAACCTACTTCTACCACGCCTCACAGGAAGGACTTCTCAGAAACGACACCAACATCCACGCCGGGATCCGCACGACGCTCAGTGGAACGTCGGACTACGAGAATGACGGATACTGCGGCTTCCACATCGTCGAAGCGCGCGAGATCGACACCATCGGCACCGAGGGCATCATCAAGAAAATTCATGAAAGAGTCGGCCACAAGAACCCTGTGTACCTCTCGATTGATATCGATACGCTTGACCCGGCATTCGCTCCGGCGACTGGAACTCCCGAGACAGGTGGATGGTCAACTCGAGAGCTTAGGACGATTATTCGAGGTTTGAAGGGCATCAATCTCGTGGCTGCGGATATCGTCGAGGTGGCTCCTGCGTATGATACGAATGCGGAGCTCACGACCATGGCCGCAGCCGATACGCTGTACGAGGTTATGAGTCTCATGGTCATCAACGGACCGTTGAGGGTTGCGCAAAGTGTTGAGGGCAAGGAGGATCTCTAGACAATGCGCGCGCGCGCGCAAGCGGCACAACGAATTTCATTGCGGTGCTCATATGCTAATGAAAAACGACTTCTCTCCCTCCTGCGCTCTCACTTCTGCTCGCTGTAGAATTGGGTCCGCGCAACTGACGCGTATGCGTTCTACCGTTGCAGGACTCACAAGGCTGAGAACCTCTTCCTTCCCGTACTGCTTTCGCGCAGCTTTAAGAGCATCACGAATGGCAAAGAACACCGCCGATCCCATGAACAGCGGTGGCTCTCCCACACCTCGCGATCGCTGTATGGTCCGCAAATTCTCCCATTGCACATCCTTGAGCAACTTGACGTTGAATTCCTGCGGTATATCTCTGAATCCGGGAATCTTATATGCGCCTGGCCCACGTGTGAAGATCTGGCCACTCGCACGATGCCACAGCGATTCTTCCATGGTGAAAAGACCCATACCCTGGACGAAAGCGCCCTCGATCTGGCCGTAGTCGATGGCGGGATTTATAGACCTGCCAACGTCCATCTTGATGTCTGCCCTTCGGCAAGTCCAGTCGCCAGTCAATGTGTCGACCTCAACTTCAGCTGCTGAAACACCCTGCGTAAAGTAGAAGAACATTTGGCCGGTATTCGGTCCCCATACGTAGCCAATGTCAGGTGTCTTGTAAAACCCATTTGCGGACAAGTTTACCCTGTCAAAGTACGCCGCGTGGGCGATTTCCTTCATCGTAGCTTCTTTACCCAGCTTCTCCCGATATGGTGCCAGTCGCTCATTGATCTGCTGGCAGGCATTCCAAATAGCATAGCCATTTAGATCCGACGATGCAGATGCGGCTGTCGAGGATGTGTTCGCCACTGTGTTTGTTGCCGTTTCGCTAATGAACACGCTCGACTGCGGAACTCCTAGAGCCTCTGCTGCTATGGCCGACATCTTCGTGTGAAGGCCCTGGCCCATCTCTGTGCCGCCGTGTGCGACCAGTACACTGCCATCATGATAGATGTGGACTAGAGCACCGGCTTGGTTCAAGAAAAGAGCAGTGAAGGAGATACCAAACTTGGTCGGAATGATCGACAACCCGCGCTTCTTCCACTTGCTCTTCGCATTGAATTCGGCGACCTCCTGCTTTCGCCGCTCCCAAGCCGACTCCTCTTGCACTTGCTTCCACATGAGAGGAACATACCAATCTTTGAGCTCTTGACGAAAATGTGTCTGCTCGCCAGACTTGTACATATTAACCTCTCGCAGCTTCTCCACCGGCATTCCCAGATGGTCGGCAACCTCTTCCATGAAGCTCTCGCAGATAAACATTCCTTGTGGACCACCAAAGCCTCGAAAGGCTGTGTTCGAGACAGTGTTAGTCTTGCAAATCCTTCCTCGCACCGACACATTGGGGATATTGTAGCAGCCATCGACGTGACTGAGTGCTCTGTCGACAACAGCAGCGCTGAGGTCTTGTGACCAGCCGCCGTTGTTATAAACGTCCGCGTCTAGTGCTTGAAGCTTGCCGTCTTTATTGACTGCGACTTTCCAATGGCCAAGGAACGGATGTCGTTGTCCCGATGTCATAATATCTTCGTCACGATTCAGCATGGCTCGCACCGGTCGCTGCGTCTTCTTCGCTGCGATCGCACAGATGCCTGCAAGCTGGATCGAGCGCGTTTCCTTCCCACCGAAGCCACCGCCGAGTCGTTTCACTCTGCTGACGATCTTGTTGGCGGACACGCCAGTGACTTGTGCGACGTAGGCTTGCGTCTCAGTTGGGTTCTGCGTCGAGCTGAAGATTTCCATCTCGCCGTCTTCCGGCTTTGGTACCGCTACGCAGGCATTAGTCTCCAAATAGAAATGTTCCTGCCCACCCATGCGTGCCACGCCACTGAAGACGTGGTCAGCGTTGGCGAAAGCCTCCTCGACATCGCCGTTGTTGATGTAATGGTAATGCGGAAAGAAGCTATTCGCAGCTATGGCTTCTTCCATGGTAAATATAGCAGGCAGATCTTCGTACTCGATCTTCACGGCTCGAGCGCCTGCTTCAGCACGTTTTGGCGAGGTAGCAAGTACTAGGCCAATAGGCTGGCCAGCACAGAAGACCTCGTCAACAGCAAAGAAAGTCTCATCGCAATTGGGGGCTCCCCAGAAGTTGGCCTGGGCATTTGGAAGATCGCGGTGATCTACGTAGTCGTACACGCCAGGTAATTCCAGTGCTGGTGCGGCATCGACGCTCAGAATCTTCGCGTGAGCCTTGGTACTGAGCACCATGCATCCAAACCTAAGAGCAATCAGGGTCATCAGTCAGTGTCTCGAAAAATGCTCACTCGGCGCGAGAGTGCTGATACGGTACTGCCGCCTCCGACACAGCTGGCTCAGCAGCACTTGTCTGGCTGGAGTCATGTCTCGCATAAGAATATACTCACAGTTCGTTTTTCTGCACAGGAATGTCGTCCGTGTATTGAGCTTCTCCCGTGCATTGCTTCAGTGCCGCAACATGTGGCGTTTCCTTCCCGAGAATCTTTTTTTCATAAGCTTGACCAACAGTATGATCCTTGTGACCCTTGGAAATTTCTCGCTCGATCTCATTCAGGCAGTCCTGATCAACTTCCGTTCCTTCGGGATTGAGCGCAGACAATACTTCATGGTAGAACTTATAAAAGAATCCGAGCGCCAGAGATTTTCTATACGTTGCCATGCCGCCGGGAACACCAAATCTCAGATCGAAATCTTCCTCGAGAGCATTCATGACACCCTCCAGTGTCGCTGGATTGGTGAATTTCTTGCCGGCGAGGTAAGACATTGCCTTCTTTGCTCCAATAGTGACAGGTGCCATACCACCATACACGAGACTTGAGTCCTTCACGACGTTACCTTCATCCAGATGTACTCGCAAAGCTGCGTTAACGATAGCAATGTCATCATCCTTTCGTTTCGCTTGTTTGTATGCTCGCATATACTCGCCCTTCTTAGCAAATACGGGAATTCGGATGCTGGCAATGATAGCGTCTGGCGGCATTGCAGTCACTCGATAAGCTTTGAAAAACTCGGTCACTAGAAGCAAAGGGTATAGAGGTCAGCAAATGTCTCAGAACGGCGCCGCTCCATGGCGGAAGCTGAGACCAGACTGCTATATTTGACGCGGCGAGCCTAGCGAGTCTCGCTGGCAGGAGTCATGATGTACTCACTGGGAATTTCAATGGTGTTGTCCAGCGACCTTGCGACGATCGTCGCATTGGTTGCCAGAAATACAGGATTCAAGTCTGAAATAGGTGAGGCAGTCGCAAGGTTACCTGCTGGGGTGCCGGCATTTCTGATCTGACGTCCTGCAAAGTATCTAATCTGTTTGTTGATGGCGGTGAATGGCTGTCCTCTCTCGGAGCCATAGTGCTCAGCAGCCTCAAGGGAGAGATATTCTAGGTCAGTCAGAGTTACGTTGCCACCTATCTCAATGTGGTCTTCTTCGAATTTATATTGTCGTAACTCTGGAATGTCGCCGACGAAGACCGAGACTGTATACTGCATGGCCTTGAACTTGACCTCGATTTGCGTTTCTGTCGATCCTCCGATAATTTTGGCAGAAGGGTACACGCTTTTGATCTCGAGGAGTTGCTGGAGCGTGACAGGTCTATACCATCGTTTTCGTTTGTTCCCGAATGCCAAAGGCTTGTACTCGTGTCTTCTGAGCGCAGGTGGAAAGATAAGCTCTGTCTCTGGATTGTATTCGATGAACCCTGGCGGCGTGAAGCGCTTTATGGGCTGGTCGTCCTTGGCACCATTCTGACAGCAGTCACTTTTGCCATTTGCGTCGCTCTTCTCCATACAGCATCCAGACCCGCCGTTGGTCCTGGCCTTCGCGCATCCCTTGTTCGCGCTGAATGACTGTGCTGCGTCCAAAATGGGTCTGTATCCCGTGCATCTGCACAAATTTCCATCAAACGCCTCTTCAACTTCATGTTCGGATGGGCTGTCGTTGTTCCTCAGGAGCGCATACAGACTCATTACGATGCCAGGCGTGCAAAAGCCACATTGACTGCCATTGCCTTTGGCTATGCGTTCCTGAGCAGGATGAGGCTTCTTGACATTGCCGATGCCTTCAACAGTTATAACGTGCTTGCCATCGACTGACACCAATGGAGCAATGCATGCATTGATCGATGCATGATATATCTTCTTCGTGGTCGGGTTGTACTGCGAGACAACCACAGTGCAGGCTCCACAACCACCTTCTGCACAGCCAAGCTTCGTCCCCGTTAGACCTACGCCTCTTAGATATTCTAGAAGGGTAACTTCGGGATCGGCTTCGTCGAGGACCACTTTGGTCCCGTTCAGGTAGAATCGCAAGCAGTCATCGTATCGCTGTGTCACCGAGGACAGTGAGTGTTGCTGGGCAGGTTCAACAGCCGGTTGAGGCTCAATCAGCCCAGGAGCCATGACTTCTGTTGTTAGTGTCGCTGTGAGTGAATCAAAGCCGAATTTCGCGTATCACTCCATCTGCTGGAGCCAAATATAGGACGAGAGCTCGGTATCAACTGGCCCACTCGCAATTCTGGAAAGGACAAAGACCAAGAAACAAGCGAGCAGTGGCAGCCCAAATGCAATGTGGCGAGAAGAAGCAAGTTGGGAAACAGAGGCTTTAGTGTATCGCTTATCGACGTCCTCAAGGCCACTCTTCTTGTAGGAGCTCGCCGTAGGAAGCAACTGCCATGAGAATCCAGGTGGAGCAAGTGCGTTTCGATTGATAAGATGCGAAGTGATTGGTAAAGGGTAGAAAAGACTTCTTGATCTGATCTCGCCTATGTCTACAACACTGCACTAGAAACGTGAATTGGTAGACGCACAGAGACTTGCACATTGCGAATCTTTAGCACTCTAATAACCCGATAAGCTCTAGTACGACCTTGTGAGATTTCGCTCGGCCTATTTAAAGATACTCTAAGAAGTTCTTTATAGAGTTTATCTAGTAGGATTTTATTAGGTTAGAATTAGGTAAGTATCTATTAGATAGTAAAATTATAGCAAAGCTCTACTAGAATTAGAGCTTAATTCTAAGTAGATTTTATATCCCTTTCGCCGCCTCCTAGGTTAAGTCCGAAGAACTGCTATATAAGATCTAAGCGGTCTAGTTAGTTAGACCCGCTTTATATAAATCCGCTTTATACTTATATAAGAAGTAGACTATAATCCTAGTTCTACCTATAAACGCCGAGTAGTAATAGATTAGCTAGGGGAATAGGGGCTTAGTAGATTCTTCTAGTAATACGATATAATTTGTTAACAGTTATAGATTAGTTTTAGGATTAGCTATAGAAATTTAAAAAAAAATTAAATTAGAATTTTTTTAAAAGAATTATTACTATTATTAAAATTTTCTAGAAATTTAAAAAATTCTTCGAGTATTCTAGTAAGAAAAAAAATTCTAACTCTTTTTAAAAAAGAGATTCTAAAAAAGACTTATATTAGCGACTATAAGAAGGGTTGTGTTAGTAGGTAGATAGGGTAGTAGTAGATATAGTAGTATTCGATAAGGATCTAGGAGGAGAGGGAGGAAGGTAGGAGAGTTAGCCTAACGCTAAGCGCTAAGACCTGCCTAAGGCATTAAGACCCTAGCTTTACTCGGCCTAGTTATATGCTAATTACGTGTAGCCTCTTTAGCCCTAATAGCGACCTACTATCGTGTAACTAGACCTTTTGTGTAATACTCTGCCTCTCTTTAGGCTCGTAGTTGTGAAGAATTAAGCTACGTAAAGGTAAATAGGGATTATATTACGACCGAGTATACGTAATATACTAGCGCTAAACTAGATATATCCTAGTTTACTTAGCGGAGAGATAATGCAAGAATAGTACAGATAGAAGGTAGAAGGTAGAATGTAGAAGGTAGAAGGTAGAAGGTAGAAGGTAGAAGGTAGAAGGTAGAAGGTAGAAGGTCCATGCAAGCCTACAAAGCGGGGCGCCTGAATGGAGGTAGACAATATTCTACTATGTAAGTGGGTTTCGCTGTCCGATGGCGAGCCAGCCCGTTCGAGTTGCTGCAGAGCATGTCGGAGGGCGCCGCTCAAGCACAAGCACCGGCAAGCATGGCATGACCGATGTTTCTGACTTGAGAACTTGGATCGTTTGTGGGCGCATGCGCGACAAGCGACGACCTGAACAAACGTACCTAGTAGCAGCAATCAACGCGATGAAGTTTCATGGACTCTCGGAGCCTTGGCCTCTCCGCCAATGCCAAGGCTCACCGCCAGATCCTCTGCTTTTTGTTCTATCCTATGGCATAATTGCAGTGGAAGCACTGGATGCAATCAACATCTTTCCTACTGCTGTTGCACAGGAACATCCATTGCTCGCTGCTCTGGCCTGCGCAAACATTCCGAGACATTTGCTCGACTGTCAGGTGAGCGATGAACTCCGCTAACTACTGCAGGTACGGGCGAACACGTCAGACGCAGGCAAGCTTCGAGTCTTCTGGCCATATGAGCGTGCTGCGCTACTACCCTACCTTCCGTACCGTCAACCAAATGCTGGTACCATGGCTCCCGAGCCACTGAGCACTCGTGCTCGACCACCAACCGTCCGGACCGCTGCGTTAGAGGCCTTGAGGGTCAGCTCTGTTGTATGACCAACGAAGTCGGACCAAGCTATCAGGCTCCACTGCCGGCCAGGAGGGGTATAGGACGATGCGCCTTTGGCTCCAGCATTTTGTGACTTTCGTGTTGTCGACTCGCAGCAGCTTGATCTTCGTTGTCATCAACAGGCCAACCAAGCGGCCCTGCCTTTCTTCCACGAGCAATCGAAGTCATGACATCGACGTCATCATCTCTCTCTTCCACGGCGGTGGCAAGTGACAGCTCGAGAGTTCAAGAAGAGGCCCGAGCTGCGGTTCTTGCGTCTCTGGAGTCCGCGGGATCGAACTATGACACTCAATTTCAACGCCGCGCGAAGGACATCCATGCGAACGCCAGCAATATCGCGAAACAAGAAGCCGAGGTGAAGAAACAGGCTGCTACGCTTGCCAAAGAAAGTGCGAAGTGGCAGAAGGAACTCGATCAGGCTACGAAAGGAGTGAAAGAATTTGGGGACGTCCAGAACTGGGCAGAGATGATGGAACGGGACCTGCTTGTCTTGGAAGAGACATTACGACTGGCCGAAGGTGGCGATAGCATCGAAAGTGCCAGCGGTGGGAGTTCGTGGACCATGCATTAAATCGTTGCAGCAGCGCGATCTCGGGAATTGTCGATGCGAAAGATGTCCCGTTTTGAAAGTCCGGCGGGTGTTCGTATGCTGAATGTCAAGACCAGGTCAGGACTGGACCCAATTGATCATCTCCGAGCAAGCGAAAGGTGGCTAGAGAGGTCATTTGACCGATAGCAGCTACGAAATTCTGCATCATCAATGGACGGAACACAGCTAGCCTTGCCAGTGCCAAAAGCCGTAAAATCATGCCGTGAGCATAGCTTGCGATGCTTTGCCTCAATCTAGATTCACCATAGCAAGTTTGTAGGCCTTGAGCGTCGAGCAGCCCGGCATTTTATTCTTGGCGATAAAAGAGATCCCAACAGTCTCCAGCGCTGTGGTTATGCATCATGCATTGTTCCGTTTGTGGCAATCGCCGTCTAACGCAGGTATTGCGCGAGAGATTTAAGTTAGGTGTGCAATCTTGCCACCAAACTTACTAATTATCTTCATCAGGACAGCGGCTGGCTCAGTGAAAGGATCTACTTCCATGCCTCCAATGCAATCCCCGAACTTTGTCATGTGATAATTATTAAGTGTCCTGCGCGGCAGCAGTGGCGATCCATTTTGGTCTCCTGGATGCCGTTCCAGAGATGACTGGCTCAGTAGTAGTGGGCTAAGCTCTGTCTATCATAGTCAGGCCAGGTTGCTGACTCTCCTGCATGACAAGTGAGAAGAAGTATGGGCTTGGCTGAGACTCCACGAGCGCTACAAAACGCTGGATTCATCCTCAAACGAAGCAAAGCAGTGTATCAATAGCTAGTTACTGGCATCTACGCTGTCATGATGCCGGAGCTGTGCAAGGGCAGGAGATGAGTGATGCAGCAACTCTAATAGATGCGGCGCAAGGCCAGCAGGCCCGCTTCATCTCAGACTCAGAGGATCTTGGAGACCTTCGCGATTGAACAGCAGCGAATCAAAAGGCGCTCTTGCTTGTCGATAGCCGCCACTCCGTCATTTGTGGTGCAGTAGGTGTTGTTGTACGCGATTGTCCGTCCGAAAGCGCGCTTCGCAGCTTGGTGAGGTAAGTAGAATAGGTTGAAAAGTGGTGTCAGACGCTTTCCGAAGGAGGAGGGATGATAGTTCCTCACACAACGATGCCCAAATCGCGCGTGCATCTTGCGTGGAGATATAATGTGGTTTGCGCAATCGCAATCGCAGACGGATGTGGAAGGGGTTCCAAGCATGCATCGATCCTGTCGCCATCCTCACCACTAGCTGCCAATAGTACAGTACACATAGCCCTTGCTGCATTGGGAGAGCTCGTTAGTCATGCATGGCGGGTGGCCGTGTGCGTGTCGAGTTGCAGAGGGCGATTGACGCAGGAACAAAGCTTGCGCACGCCTGCGTCCTGACACTATCCAGTCTCCATTATTATTATTCCCATGCACCCAGTGATGCAGCGCGGCTCACCCCCGTCTCTTCCCCGAGCCCCAGCTACCCACCCGAGCCCTAGCATAACCCGAGATTTCGAATCGGCTGTTCCATACAAAATCGCGTATAGAAGCGATAATCGCGTCCCTGCAGGCCCCGCTAGCCGGGCAACTAAGCATAAAGCTAAATATTATTAGCAAAATAGTAGTATAGTAAAAAGTAAGGTATTATTAACGCTATTAGTACTCTATCTACTAGTTTCTAAGCGGATTACAACCTGCCGCCTTGTAACTACGTAATATAGTATATACTAGCTTATACTAGTCTCTTAGCTACTAACTACCTAGCTATTATATATAGTACTACTATTGCTATTAAGTAAACTAATAGTACTATTACTATAGGATATTATAATATAGAGGGCTAACTACCTACTATAATAGCTATATAGGCGATAGCTGCTAGCGGTAGTACTATTACTAAGTAGCCTACTATTATTATTACTTATAGAACGCCGCCTACTAGTAGTTATATTTAGTATACTACCTTACCTACTATTCTTCTAACTATAGACGTTAGTTCTTACGTACTCGGAGGTCCTTAATCTCTTAGCGAAGTTAATCTAGCTTAGAAGGTAGCTACGGAGCGGTTAGAAGTAAAGACTCGACTCGTAGACTATAGTACTCGAAGCCGCTTAGATAGTAAGTAGAGCTATAGGCTCGATTAGCCTTCTAGTAAGGATACTATTAAGTGTAGTATTAGCTCTTTACGTACTTATAGTACTTAATAGTCGTCCTTAACTAAGTAAGCGATACGCTAGGCTCGAGTATAAATTTAGCGGTACTTACTATCGCTATCTTCTACTTCTTTATAATAGTACTAGTATTTTACTTAAAGTCGTCTAACTCTCGAGCTATTAAGGCGCGCTTTACAATATATAGAGTAGCGCCGCTAGTAAATAGCTTCTAGTTACTATATATAATCTCTAGCTCTTAAAGATAGATAGTCCTACGGAAGTCGATAAGCTAGTAAGTATAGAAGTAGCTTAGTAATAGTATAGTACGGCTTCCGCCTATTTTAAGAAGCTTTATAATATCGTATAGATACGGATAACTATAAGTCTTACTAAGATAGTCGTTATAGCAGTACTACGGATAGCTATATAAGAAGGCTAAGTATTTAATCTTATTACTATTCTTATTAGTCGTAGTCTTTAGAAGGATAATAGCTCGTATATAAAGAGCCTTTACTTCTCGAAGGTAATAGTCGCTTATAATACGAGATATACTCGCCTAGAAGGGACTAATAAGTGCCTTATTATACCGCTTTAGGTTCTTAGCAAGCTAAACACGCCGCTAGTTATAATCTTCTATCTACTAGTTCGTAGGACTCTCGAAGAGGGTAAAGATATCGTAGCGACTACTATAGTTAAGCTATTACTTAATACGTACGTACGTGCCTTTTAAGTTAACTTATAGTATAGCCTTCGTTTTAAAATAAAGTACTTCGGTAGTCTAGTAGTCGATAATACTACGTTTAAACCGCTACTAATTAGTATATAGATAGATCTTAAATATCGGATATATATTATCGAGCTTCTTTTCGTTATTATTAAACTCGTCCTCGGTTTAACTATAGATTATATAAGTAAACAGCTTTAAGAACTTGTTAGTTACTAGACTATTAGTCTAGCAACTAATTAGCCTTAATCTAACTAAACTAGCCTCCTTGTTTACGGACTCGAGCGAGTATATCTTATTATAGGTACTATTCGTAGTATATATACTTAGCTTCTAGAATAATATCCGTAATAGTATATATTAGTAACTCCTTACGATTTGTTGCTATAACTATACGAAATCGGCTTTATTAGGCTTCGGTCTAATAAGGCTAATACAGAGCTTAATCGTATCGTTTAGAGGACCTACGGCGACAATATCTAAGAGCTCGAGATTATAGATATTAGTAGAATAGGTACTATCGATATAAACAGTTTATAGCGTATATTTTAAGACTTCTAGCGACCGAGGGTAGAGCGCGACTATTAAGCGAATTAACCTATTCTTAGGTTTAGTTTAAATCTTATAGTAGAAGATACTATTCTTATCTAGTAAATTAATTATTCGCTCTACCTAGTTACGCTTACGGCGTACGTTGCTATTACGAGCCTATATAATATTATATAAGTCTTATAGCTTAAGAATAATACTACGACCGCGGAAATAGGCTATAATCTTCGAGGTTAGAAGCCGAGCATACTATAGTCGCTCTAATTCTTCGAGAAATTAGACGGTTCTCGAGCGAGTCTAGTATATAGTAAGGGTAATAATATTGTCCTTCTTATAGTTATAATAGTAGTAACTATCCTTACTAGGATAGCGGATTTGCTACTAACTATTAGGTTAGATTAGATTAATAGCAACCGTATAGAAGTAGAACTAATAACCTATCTTCTTTAACTAAGACTTCTTTTTAATTAACTCGTTACCGTTTTTCTAGGTATACTTATCTAGCTATTCGTAATAACTATAGATTTATAAATAGTAGTATTTAATACTATTCTTATTCTTCTATAGCTTATACTACTTAAACTCGTATCCGCTAGTCTTACTAAAGGTATTAATATAGTCTACTAGCGCCTAGTAAAACCTAAAATTAGACTTAAGTAGTATAGGTCTATAGCGGCGCGCCTTCTTTAAAAATAGGTACTTCTAAGGCTATAGCGATACTAACCTATTATTAGATAAAGCGGTACGCTCGCGAGGTAGGTTTAGTAAGCGACTATGTATTTCTAAGACTAATTAGACCTCTTCTTACGACTTAATATCTACCGCTGCCGAAAGCGCGCCTTTTACTACTATTTCTACGCCCTTTATATCTTTTATATTTTCTACTACTACTATCGCCGCTACGCTATTACCGCTATTACTATCGCTACTACTAGTAATAAGATTATTAAGGAACTCGTCGTATAATAGAGATTTAGCTATTTTCGATAGTTACTAGGTAATCTATATAAAAGAGGAAAGAAATACGAATTTTAGGTTTACGATAGAATCCGAGGCGCGACTTCCTAGGTAACGCGCTACGCGCCTATTAATAGCACTAACTAAGAATGGAAACAGCCTATATTAGGCGTAATTTGATATAGAGGCGATTCTGTAATAGTGCTAGCACCGGGTTATGCTAGGGCTCGGGTAGGTAGCTAGGGCTCGGGGAAGAGACGGGGGCGGCTTACTACTACCTTTTACATAATTAGCGATAGGTGGCTATATAGATTTTCAAACTTATATAGCGGTACGCCGTATAGATGGCAGCGGACTATATATAGGCGTAGGTATAACGTAGATTACTAATTATATAAGATTTTGTATATAGAAGGTAAAGAACAGCATATCCGTTCCTATTATAAGTCCTATATAGTTAAACTAGGGTAAATGAGCGTTAAGAAGGTAATATAAAGCGTATATAACAGTACGCGCTATTCGAGCTCGTCAATCTCGTCGTTAAGACTACTATCGGTACTAAGATAGTTATTATTCTACCTATACTTTAACCGGAGGTTCTAGAAGAGGTATACGAGCTTGTTAATAGTACAGTAAGATAGGCGGTTGCGGCGGAGGTTGTAAATAAAGTTATAAGCCGACTAGTTGCGCTTAGTAACACTAGTTGTTAGAGCTAGCGAGAGCGACAGTATATATAGTATAGACAGGTCTACTATCTCGTCTAGCTAGTAGGTTTACTACTACTAAAGGACAGTAAGCGACTTATAGCTATTCTACTTAATAGTATCGCCGAAGGGGCCTTCGCGTTGCTTAAGGAGTAAGAGCTAAGCTAGAAGCATCGAAACTCGGTCGTTATCGCTATAGCAATAATCGTATAGAAGCTACTCTTAAAGAGCTATTAACTCGTCGTTCTTAATCCTAATCGGTCGGCTCTCGCGTTGCTAAGGGTTAGAGAGATAGGCAATAAGCATTAGCGGATAGTATACCTTGTCGAAGCGGTCTAATATAGTGTCTTAGATCTCGGCGGCTAGAGCGAGCTAATTGTCGTACGTCTTCTCTATTAGCTACTTGTAGTTAGCGAAGACGTAACTAAGCTTAACCTTGTCGCTCTCGAGCGCAATAGTAACCTAAAGGAAGGGCTTAAGGAAGTCGCGAAGGTAAATAGCGCTCTACTAGAAGGAAGGGTTACAAAATAAGGATTTAATCTTATACTACGCCTTACGTTCTATAGGCGCCGCTCTATAAGCGAGGACTTTCTCGTCGCTAAAGGTAATGCGCTAACAGACCGGTATATTATAGATAAGTCCGTTAACTATATTGAACTTGCCTTGCTAGCGAGTCTTACCTAGTAGCTTCTAGCTTACGAATTCGAGTCTAGAGACTTCTACGAGTTTAACGAGCTACTAAGTGAAGTTTCCGTAGTCTTTAGCGTATTTAACGCATGCAAGGACATCGCCGTATATCTCTCGAATAGCTACTAGCGCGTACTTACTAGTTATAAGGCGATTAATAAGGAGGTATATATAGTAAGAACCGTAGCCGAGATTAATTAAATGCGGGTAATAGTTTCGCAACTACCCGATTTGTATTAGCTCTAGCTAGATTAGGCCTAGCGGCTAGGTAGAAGGCTTCTAGAAGCCCGATAAGAGCTAATAGAAGGCGGCCCTTACCGTTCCCGCTACGCTAAGCTAGGCTAATCTAAAGATTAGTAACTACTTACTAAATTTCTTATACTAACTATATTCGAAGCATTGTTAGTTGTTACCCTAATAACGTTCTTAACACTAATATCGTCGAGCACTCGTATTATAGCGTCCGCTAGGTTCTCGGAGGTATATCGATTGTCCTCGAAATCCTCGGATTTAACGAAAGCGGCGCCTTTCGAAGTAATAGCAAGATAGTTAACAATCGACTCGCCGCGAGGATTAGTCTAGCCGTTAGTTACTAATGTAATACGACCGCCTCTCCTTAGCTAATCCTCGATCTTAGCCTTAAGGGTTTCGTACTTAGTATCGAGTAGGTCGCCTATTATTTCCTTCCGACTTAGTAGTATAAAAGCAGGAGCTAGTATCCGTATAAATTCTCGGAAAGCAGGGTAGTTAGTTATAGAGAGGGATAAACTAGCTAAATACACCTACTTAGCGTACGCCTTAATAGTAACTCGATAGTAAGCCGCTAACATCTACTAGATACCTAGTCCTTATATTGCTTAGATATGCAATAGACGAGGAGTTGCTATATAAGGAGGCTCGCTATTAAGACGATAAGGCTAGAAGGCCTTTATTAATCGTTAAGGCAACTTCTTATATACTCGAAGGTACTTTTTAACTCGCCGCTTCTTATTCGAGACCTATTAACTATTACAATGCTTATAAGTAATAATAGGGTGCCTCTAACTAAGAGTATTATACTTACGATTAACCTCTAGCTAATAAGCCGCTTCCTTAACCCTCCGCTTTAACCGCCTCGCTCTCGTCTTCTTCGATAGACTTCTAATAGAGCTACTACCTTAAGTCGAATTAGCTATTATAGAAGACAATAGTTAGATAATTAGGCGATAACTAAAGAGCTAGAATAGCGAGAATAGTAATAACTAAAGAGCTATAATCTATAGAAGAATAGGTCTATATTAATAGCTTCTATACGCCGAGAAACTAGCTTCCCTTACCGCTATAATTATCCTAATACCGGCGGTGTCCTTGTCTACCAATTTCTTCTATAATCTATACTTAAATATAGTCGTTCTATATACTAGAAGTATCCTTAGACCGCCTATTAATTAGGTACGTCGTTTACTAATCGCTAAGGGTTAGAAATTGCTAGATACTAAGGGAACCTCTTCGAATACTTACTAACCTCCGAGTATACTATATATTCGAGAGAGCCTAGTCAACTATACCGGAATAGGCATAGCGCCAGCTAAGAAGTAATGTCCATAGTGGAATCTCGAACACCCGCAGTGAACACGTAGATCCGTAAGTTTAATCAGTTTTGTGGCTCGTGGATGGACATCGCTACACATGATGGCTTCGCTGCGGCGCAGGCGTTCCCGTGCACGCAGCAGGCGGTTTGATTGCAGGCCAATCGCTTGGACTAGAATAAAAGATGGACTGCATGTCAGCCGGGCTAGATCCCGCAGCTTGAAACGGCACTTCCACCGCTGACCGTTCTGCCCACGTCGAGCTGCTGGACGGACCGCTGAGATGTCGAGGCGTCCTGAAGCTTGTTGTCTGCTGCAAGGGAGCAAGCAAACCAGACGGTCGGCGAACGCATGGCGGAGGCGGAGGCGGAGGCGGAGGCGGTGGCAGCGCGGACAACACCGCAACCTTTCTCTTGTCCGAAGCTTCATCAGCTGCCATGCCGCCTGCACTCTAACGCCCGCCCTCCCCTACACACCCTCCTCACGCCGCTGACCTGCTCCCACCGCCTCGGCCTGGCCAGGCATGATTTGCAGCTGCATGCCCGCCCAAACCCATCCTGGATCCACTCGGCTCACCCTGTACAGTACATGCTGATCTAGGACTCTGGAGCCACACTCCCCTCCCGTTTGGTCAGTCCGACCTGCTTCTCTCCGCCCATTCTGGAGAGACATGTGGCTTGCGAACAGAAGCCAGAATTGATCGTGGCAGTCGCCGTTCCGCCTTCATCTGGCGACGCCCTCGACATTCCTTTCGTACATGCCCACGCTCTTTTGTGCCAGTCTGTCCTTACCGGAACCCTAGAAACACACTCGTCCCCGGCTGCATGGATGACATACTACCACCCCATGGAGTCTTCAGCCGGCCGAGCGTTCATCACAACCACTATATCTGGAGGAGCAATGGCTGGCCGGCGGAGCTTTGAGACGGCACCATCGTCGGCCGCTCGTCTTCACAAGCAAAGATCCAACCATGGCATGCGATCGACCAGCCACGGCCAACCATTCTCTCTATCCAGTGCACCTGAAGCACCTCCCATCAGGAGCAGCGCTCTCGTCGCCGCGGGCTTTGGAGACGGAGCCAAAGCTCGCAAAGGTTCCATTCGGAATGCCGTTCGCAAGATATTCGGGCGACGATCCAGAGACTCCATCTCGCAAGTTACAGACGCCTCATCCTCTTCGACGCAAGCACCTTCGACACGGCACATCTGTCATAAGAGCGAGCCACCGGTGCTTCCAGCTCAACCTGAGCTTCCCGAACTACAACTCGAAGACGCTTCTGCGCGACGAGTCATGTCGGATCCTTATGCAGTGCAATCGCATACCCGGTCTACGAGCCTTTCAAGAACCGCTTCTCCTTACGCTGTTCAATTCCCCAACAGTGTGAGACTGAAACCTATGGATCTGGGTAATCCGTTCATGCAGGTTCCCAAGCTTCGACGACGAAAGACCCTCCCGAGCATGCTTATTGAGAAAGAAGAAGGAGCTGCGGCCATTGCTGGCAGCTCGCATGAAGCAGCTGATGAGCCGAGCACGTCCAACAACATTGAACCCGAACGAGAAGCACCAATGATACCGAAACGAACTCCGAATAGTGTCAAAAAGTCACGGAGAAAGTCACGAAGTGTCGATGATCTTCCATCGATTATTGCGCTGCAGCAACAAGGCACTCCGAGAAAGAGAAGCGAAGAGATAAAGTATTGGCGCGAAAGCTTTCAGCCGGACGTGCTACGAGCCAGCGGCTTCATTGCTCGGCCTAGCTCGAACAGAGACAATGCACAAGCGCCTCCATCAGGCACTTCTCGCAGAAGCAACAGGGAAGGGTCGATACAAGAGACAGGAGGTGAGAAGACGGCAAGATCATCAGGCCGTGGTGCATATGATGCTTCACTCGCTCTGAGGGACAGCACACTGAAAAGCAGTCCGCCCGGACAATACGGCCAGCCTCTTTCGGTGTACGAATCAGAGTATCGGCCATCCTCTGGGACCGAAATGTCTCGAGATCTGGAAGACCGGGTGGCAAAGTTGGAAGCTGGCTTGCACACTTTCCAGCGGTCTCTGCAGAAACTGACAGCTGACCGGAATCGACGGACTATAGTAATGGGAAGCAGCGTTGGAACAAGACGCTCCTCGGGAGATTTGCGGACACCTAGCTTGCTTGCAGATACGCTTGCAGATGCGCTTGATCAATCATTCCAGTACGAGTATGAATATGGACATACGTTGCGGCCGACCACTTCACCGCAGCCACCGCCACCTATACCGCCGCACGTCCAAGGGCTCGAGGATCCTTTCATTCACGAGACAGCACCGCCGCCGCCAAGTGAACCGCCGACCAGGCCTCCAAGACCGCCGTCTCCAGCTCAGCTGACACCGGAAGCGTTGGCCGCTGTAAATGCGGAGGCAAGAGGTTCGAAAGATCAGACGCCCCAGCCATGTACTTTCCGCTCCCTCTATCAAATGCTTGCAGACGAACGGTCAGCCCGGAGGAAACTCGAATCGCAATTGCAGAGCTTGCGCCGCGACATCTCCGAACTCCACAGCCAAGTCCACGTGTCCTCCAACGTTCAAAGCACGCGTAGCAGCTACATGCTAGCGGGTTCATCATCCCGATTACAGGACTTGTTGCGCGAGACAGGTGAAGCCAGCGGACCGGAAGAGTCACCACGCTCGTTAACTCTGCAGCGATTGTCTGGAGCATCAGCGAGTCAGCCCGTCGTCAGCAGATTCAGCGGATCTGAAAGCGATAATGTCCAAGTGGAGGAGACAGACTATGAGGAATATCTTACACCAAAGGAAGAACGAAGCAAAATCAGTCTGGCTGATAAGCTGGAAAGGGAGAGCGGGATGTTTTGATAACGAACTTGACTGACTGACATCTATCTGATTGATGACTACCTAGGCATACCCGGATTTTTGGTGGCTGAATTTTTTCCATTACATTTTTTGTCTGCTTTTACTGCAGGTGCTGTACTACTGATACCCAATCTTTTTTTCCCCTTTGTGTGTAATTATTCAATCTTTTGTACTTATATTGATTTTGATTGTCGCATGGTCTCCATCATCATCATCAATGAATCATGAATGCCATGTGCAAGCGTCATCATACCCTACGAGACATGGGCTTCTGGAAGCCTTATCCCTGGCGACAATGGAAGAGTGGCTTGTAGCGACGAGGATGAGGTGACGATGAAAATAGCTGATACAAGTGGATGGTGTTGGTGGCGCAGAGCTTTTCGCTCGCAGCAGATTCTGCGAATACTTTGATCGTTGTCTCGCGGCGAGGGGTCAAATGTAATAAGTTCACAATAGTGCGATTGTGTTTGAGTACTGTATCATCTCATTATTATCTGGAACGTGAGATCCTTCTTCGTCTATCTCAGATTGTGTCTTCATCCGGAAGACAGCAGTCGCGCATCGCCATGCGCAGCAGACCTCCAGCGCCAAGTTCATGCACATGCAAATGCCGTATGAAATCAAAGATCAAATGCGAAAGCATCCGCAAAATGTCCAGACCTACATGTCATCCTCGTCCTCTATTTCCGACTCCTCCACCATTTCCTCGGTGTTCTTGCGATGCTCTTCCTCCATCTCCTTATATGTGGCGTAGCTCAAGAGTAAGAAAGCAAAAATGATCAGACAGCCGCCCGCTATCGCCGCTCCTGTAAGCGGACTGTAAAGAGGAGGCGGTAGCATCTGGTCGCAAAGCGCAACCAAGAATATTGTAAGCAGCGCGGCGACAGAACTCAATACTGGTGAGGTGAGCGATATCAGAACCAGGAAAGATCCGCTGAAAGTAGCATTTGAAAGCACCGAGATCGCCAGCATCCATGCCGCCTCACCTCGGGGCAATTCAAATTTCTCGATTCCAGTCATGTGCAGAATCGGGAGAGGAATCCAGAGTACAAGAAGGGTGAAGGTCCCGATCATGGACCCGAAAGCATTGGCGAATAGCATGCCCCTGCCAGGTGAGCAGCCCTCAGGTGGGCATGCCACACGCTTGTACAAAACTTCGTAGAAGCCATAGAGTACGCTGCCCACGCCAATGACTAGATTCCCGAGAGCTCGATTGGATGCTTCGGAGCTATCGGGCGCAGACGGTCCTCCAGCTCCTCCGCCAGATTTGTTGCCGTGCTTCGGATGGCCGACATCGCCATAAGCTACCACGAGGACGCCGACGATAGCAATGCCCACTGACACGACCTTACCGATCCGCAACTTCTCGCCAAGGAGTGGAATGGCGAAGGCATAAGCAAAGAATGCAGAGCAGTTGTATATTGCTGTCAGGTCACTGGCGGTGGTCAAATCTACTGCGACATACCAGCTGCCTCCTGCCACTGTCAGAGCGCATGTGACGTAGGAAGTTGTCTTGATGAAATACGGCCAAGGCGACTTCTTCCGCAGGTGCGGTGGAACGTTCAGGGTCCTATGCTCGATCATCTGCGCGGTTGATCGTTGAATAGACATGTGTCGTCTCCAGAAAGCATCCCATGGCTGTGACCATTTCTGAAGCCTTAGGATGAGCAGTTGTACGAAGAACAGCAGGGACCAGGAGCCATGTGTGAAGTACAGCATACAGTAAGCTTTATTCCAATGCAAGTCATGCTGAATGTATACTGCTGTCTCTGTCTGCACAGCAAAGCTCACCAGACTGAGGAGTAGGAATGCCGCAGCATATGTGTATCTTGTTCGGGTGTCATTTTTGCTTTCCACAATGGGGGGATCTCTTTCGCGAAAATGTGTCGAATGCCGGGAGCCTAGAGTCGGCCTCCCATCGCCTTCATAACTCTGACTGTGACGCTTGTCTCCCCCTGATAATAGCGGCTGATGCTGATGGCTGTTGGGTCTATGCGCATCCTGACTCGGGCGCAAGTCAGAGGGCATAGTGGAGGAGGCTGGATTGGACGAGGGCCCGTCGCCGTCGCCGTCGCGCGCCCAACGTTCAAAGTCGCTATCCTCGTCTTCAGATGCGAAGTGATCGGGATGCGGCAGAGGGGTGAACGGACTCGGCTGGCGCGAATTTTCTCTGCTCAAGTGGACCAGACTGGACGAATCGCCAGTAGTGGAGGCAGAGTCTTGGTCGTGAGTATGGTGTTGGTCTGGAGGGAGAAGACTCGACGAAGGCAGCTCGTGCGCTTGGCCCGGCGATGAGGTGGAAGGCATGCCCTTACCGGTCAGGCATGGCACTAGCGGGGATGGTGTAGGCGGTGCATCGTGGGGCAGAATATAGAAGACACTTGTTCATGAGGAAGGATACAGTAGTGAAGTGGAATACTGAATATTGCCAGAACTATGGAGTGCTTGGCGAATGCAGCTTGCATGTGCTCCTGGTCCGTGATCCGCGGTCTCTGAGACATTCTGGGACTTGGGCCCCGGCTGATCTTCTCAGATTATTCACGAAGCGGGCGACAGTCTAGCACCTCCCGGAGCTTGCGAAGGTTAGGTGACTAGGCGGAGCCCGCTCGTGAGTTATGCTACGTCGATCGATTTCTTGGCGCTCTGTAATTGGTCGGTTTTCAAATGTTTCGTTATATAACTTTCGACAATACCTCCTACATTTATAGTATAGACGCCGCGCAACTAGTAGCTAAGCCTACGAAGTTAATACTAGTATATACCCTATAGAGTAAAAGGCCGAGCGTAGCGGAATAGGGGGTCTATAGGGGTTTCCCCTATAAACAGCTCGAAGGACAATAATATTATAACTATTATAAGTCTATATTTAGAATACAAAGACCTTAGCTTTTACTACTCTAACGATTATATATAGTCGGCCCTTTACTCGAAGTAGGCCGAAGTATAGTAAATAAACGTAAGAACGCGAGAAGGCGCGAAACGCAAGATATAAAACGAGATACGCGTAAGTATACTATTTGCTTAAATTCTATCTAACTTTTAATTTATATATCTACTTATCCTATTACACTTATAACTCGTACCCTTACGACTATAGCTACTATCGCTATAGGAGGCGCTAGAAGACCGCTAAACTAAGGCCTTTTTAAGACGATAGTGCCTACCTTACGAGTAATTATTCCTAGATAGCGCCCGTAGCTATGCTTAAAGTATAGTAAGAAGAAGGACTAGCAGGAGTTCTATACTAGGAAACTAGATAAGAATAGTATACCGAAGTATAATAATACTTGTAACTTATATAATCCGCGCTATAAGGAAGGCTAAATAGGTCCCGGCGCTAGTAGATCTTGCGCTAGTACTAGACGGAAGCCTATTATAGAAGACGATACCGCTAATAAAGGAATACGACGCGGCGGTATTAGATAAGGCGAAGATCGTAACGTAGTAATTACTCGCTAGTATAGTAACTACGTAGATCGCGCTTAGCGTCGTACTACTAGTAAAACCCGAGTACTACCTCGAATCTTCTTTACCTTCTTACCCGCTCTTAGTCTAACTTTAGTACTACATCGACGACCCGATACTACTACGAGTCGAGTATAGAAGCTACGAGAGCTTTAATAAGACAAATAATAGAGTAATAGCAACCTTCTAAATAACGATATTACAACCCTGCCCTACTTTAATTATACTAACTACTAGTATAACCGGGCTAATAGATAGAAGTGCGCTTAAGGCGACGATGTCTATACTTAGTATTATAATAGTACTATAGATATAGATCGGAGCGATAAGATAAAGTAGTATTATAAGGGTAGTTATAATTATACGTATACTAACTTTAACTAGAATAACTAGGAGCACGAGAAGGAGTATATTAGCTGTCGTAATATACTCGGCCTAATAGCTAGTTAAGTAAACCTTAGTAGTAGCCGTCCGCTAGTAGGACCTTCTACTAGAACTAATACTATAGATCGCCTACTTAATAACAAAGAGTATTCTTTAGAACCTGTCGACTACTTATACAAGGGTGCAGCTTTGCTAGACGCCGACAATGCTCTTATAATAAGCTTTAAGTAGGCTATTAACGCTCCGACGGAACAATTAGATACTTACAATATATACAATAAGAAGCGATTCGATACTAATAATCAGAATAGTATCTATAAGAAGTGCCGAGAGTCGCGAGACCTAGCTAGAAAGCGCGGTAATAGTCCTACCCTTATATTAGCCGATAACAATATAGATCCTAGACCTAGCTACGAGTATTACAACCTGCCTAAGCTTACACCTATCGAGGAGCTTCTTATCGCACGTACTTACTACACTATAGAAGTATACTAGGTCCGTAGTATTTAATACAAGTCTTGTAATTATATTGCGCACTTTCCTCGCGACTAGGACGAATTCTTTAAGCAGATTCCTCTCTTTCCGAGCGATGTAGATATTCTTATCCTAAAGCTAACTAATGCCGATAATAGAGCTATGCGACAATTCGAGAAGGAGTTTAGAGTCCGGAAGCGTAAAGTCACCTAGTAGTATAAGCATTTAATTGCGCGGCATCTAGCTTATAAGGGAGTTATACTAAACTCCGCCGCTATTAATGCACTTCCTAATAACGGCATTGTTCTCGATTAGTTGCTAATACAAACCTATTAGGAAGGAAGCATAACGGCCGCGAGTATATAAGATCTTTTAGACGCTACTAATACCGGCGATGTTTATATTAGTATTTAAGCTATAGATGTCTCTTAAACTAGTATCGAAGAGCTCCGAGAGCGTATAACCGGTACGAAGCAGAAGAAGACCGCTACTATCTTCTAGCCTAAGCGTAGCGACCGACCGCTCTCTAAGTATAATCGTGCTAAGCTTTTGCTTTCGAGTGCCTTCGTTACCCTATTCCCTATTAGTATAGCTAATCCGAATATACTAAGAGAAAGAGAGGTATTATTTAACGATGCTGTCGAGCACCTTATAAACTATAAAGACGATCGCTTCGCAAAGCACTATCGGTTAAATTCGCTATCTATAATATTAGTATGCGACGTAAAGTACGAGGTAGCTCGATATACTTTATAAATCGATACCGCGAACAAGCTGCTCTTACTAGCGATAAACTTCGGGCTGCATTTGCGAATAGTACGACTAAGTCTAAAGCCCTTCTATACTTAATCTCGCGTTAGGGTTAAAGCTTGCTAGGCACTCGATCTTTCTAGAATAGCATACGCGGAAACCTATCGGCTTACGTCTACGACCTCGGTGTACCGGATCTCTTCTTTACGTTAAGTACAGCCGATCTTTATTAGCCGTCTCTAATGCGCCTTCTTCTAAACTACGATAACTAGGTTGTAGGAGATACTAATACTAAGTTGCGTATCGGTCGTCGTAATTTACGCGACTATTTATACATCGTAGACGCCTACTTTATACGCCGCGTAAAGATCTTTATAGAAACAGTACTTAAGCCTAAATTCAGTATTAAGGACTTTTAGTATCGTTTCGAGTAGTAGGGCCGTAGTAGTGCCTATATATACGGCTTTCTTTAGTCTAATAGTATACCGAAGCAGGACCTTAATACGTAGTTAGGCCGCGAGCAGTTCTTAGAGTTCTAGGGACGACATATTATAGCCGTTAATTCTAATCTAACTCGCGAGAAGGCACTAGTAGACGAGAACAGTAGTATTTAGCTTAATACGTCTAATCTCGATAATATCTAATTGCAGCTCTCGAATATTCTTAATCGAGTAATGTATTATAATTACAATAATTATTATATATGTCGAAAGAAGGGTGCCTCTCTAAATTCTATAAAGGAATGCCGCTTTAGATATCCTTATAAAGAGCGCGAGGTAGCAACCTTAAACTTTAACCGGAATCTAAACTACTTAGGCTTTGCGCCTAAATGCAATAATCTATAGCTAAATTACTACTCGCGTATAGTCCTATACGCGTAGCGTGCGAATTGCGACCTAACCCCTTATACAACGATCGAGCAAGCCGTATAATACCTCCTAAAGTATACCTCTAAGGTAGAGGTACCTACTTAGTCTTTATAGGACTTAACTAAGCACCTACTTAGCACGATAAGACTAGAAGTGCAATATGCGCTACTGTCTCTAGTCTAGCGCTTCTATAATAAGCTAATCGGAGAGCGAGATATATCTACGTAGGAGGCTTGCTACCTAATTAATCGACTTCTACTCTAGGTTAGTTCTCGTACCGTACTTAGTATAGATTGCCGCCCGTATAACGACTAGTCTAGCACTATTAACATTGCCCCTAGAGGTAAGGTTAAGAAGGGGAAGTCCTTCTTAGAGAAGTATATAGAGCGGCTATAGACTACTGCTGCACTATTAGCTAAAGAAGGCTCTAATAACGACGATAAGGCGGAGTAGCCTTATCCTTTGTAAGACGTTATATACTATTAGTTCTTAACGAAGTACAACTTTAGCAATTTGAAGAAGATACACTCTCGGTAGGACAATACCCCGGACCGTATAATTAACTAGTTTCCTCGCTATAAGCCTAGAGATAAGTACGAGGACTAGTGCCGTATTAAGATTGTTAATTACTATCCCTTTACTATATACCCGAGTCTGCTATATCGGTTTCTAGGAGCGCTTAATACTAACCTATTATTTAAGTTATTCGCTAAGGCCTATACGCACTATTAGCTTGTATACGCTTATCTAGATAACTACTATATAGTTATTAGATCCCTAGAGGATGTATAGGAAGATCCTAACTAGACTAATAAAGGAGACGAGTTGTATTTCGCCGAGCTCTCTCGTAATAACAATGTTCGAGGCATTCGTATAGATAATAAAGACGCTCTTAGCCTACGTAACATAGATCGGACCTACGACTAGACTATATATATTAAGAAGTTCCCTTAGTCCGATATCTATTAATTACAACGTAACTAGTAGAAGCAGCAGAAGGAACTTTAGTCTATTAAAACTATAGTATAGTCTTAGTCGCAAGGTTAATACACCGTACTAAACAAAGAGTAGAAGATTCTGTACGATACTATAATCTAGCACTACTAACAGACCTTATATAGTATAAAGCTAGAGCCTCTACGTATTAATATCGATAGTCGACTAGGCACTAGAAAATCTTATATAATCGCTATTCTATTAGCTTACCTATAGCGCAATTAGGCGTAGCACGACTAAGAGTATTAGCGCACCAGCGGCAGTCCTGTTCTACGATCTATACCTACTAGCATTGCTGCAAATAGCATTAAAGGCAAGACCCTCTATTCTCTATTACTCCTACTAGTTTAGTCTACCTTTACTAATTTAACGACTAAGAAGTTGCTAGAGCTGCAATATACCTTTCGACATATTAAGTATGTTATCGTTAATAAGAAGTTAATAGTTAATCTAAAGATACTTAGCTACTTAGACCGCCGACTCCGCTAGATCGCTACAAAGAAGAACGAGTAGTATAGAGGTTTTAGCGTTCTCGTATTTAGCGACTTCTATTAACTCCTTCTAGTTAGTAGTAAGCTACTTTTTAGTAGCAAAGTCGAAAACAACGAAGAGAGACAAGGCCAGGTAGCGTACCTCGAGCTAAAGTATACTATCGAGTTAAAGATTATTTAGCGATAGACTAGTATAGATCGAAAGTCTTTAGCATTCAAATTAGTGCTCGAGAATATACGTAAGAACCGTATTACTAAAGAAGACTAGCGTTTCCTACTTACCCGCGTTCGGAATTAGCTCGATACGAATAGCTAGGCAGACTTTACGGATGCTTTACGGATCTACTCGAAGAAGAAGCCTATAAACCTATATAATTATATCCGGATGCGCGATAGTAGCAAGGTCGTTAAGTTGTTAAAGGCTAACTATACTAGAAGCGGAGCTAAGAAGGCGACATTCGAAGAAGGTAGCAATCTTTACGCTATGCTTCCTATTTCGTTTAGCTATCGCCTAATACTAACTAAGAATATCTAGACTAAACGTAGTCTTAATAACGGATCGATTAGCACTCTCGTCGATATTATCTAGTCTACTAATATAGACTCTACTATTAATCTCCCTCTTTACCTACTTATTGCCTTCGACAAATACGACTATCGGCTTATCGGAGGTAGACCGTCCTATAGCGAAGCTAAGGCTAAATACAACCCTCCGACTACTCTATCTAGAGGTAAATAGTAGAAGATTGTACCTATATTATAATATTCCTATCTCGGCGCGAGTTCGAGAGAGGCACGCGTACTTGTACCCGCGAGATGTTTCTAGTTACTATCGCCTATACTATTACTATCTATAAAGCCTAGGGCTTAATATTAGATCGCGTAGTACTAGATCTTACTAAGAAGGACTTTACTATAGGCTTAACTTACGTTACTTACTCTTATATTAAGCACTTAGATTACCTTATAATCGAAACACTATTCGATTATAATCGCTTTAGTATTCGCGTAACTAATATATATAAGATACGCCTCGCTAACTATAAGCGTCGTTAAACTTAGCACCTCCGTAGTACGAGCTACCGTGTTCTAACTCCCGCTATATAAGGCGCTAGTATGCCTCTAGCGCCTAGCCTCTTACCTATTAAGTCTTAGGGTAATATAGTATAAGATATAGAGTAATAGGAATTTAGCGATAACGATAACGACGTAATAGTAGAAGCTATTACTTAGTCTAAACTTTAAGTGTAGCTCGAACAGTTCTAACGCGAAGATATAGAGCAGATAGAACGTAAGCGACTTTAGCGAGAAGAGAATAATCGCCTCCTTACTATTATACTATAAGAGTTATTAGATATACGCTAGCTACTACTAGGTAAGATAGAAGACGAGCGCATTCTACGAGAGCGCGACGAGAGCCGTAAGGCTCGCCTCTATTAATAGGAAGTCGATAACCTATATATACGTCTAGAAGTAGCTCGGACATATACTAAGCTATTAAAGCCCTATAATTAGTAATAGAACTAGAGACGACTTCGCCCGAAGGGCGGCAAGCTCTACGTAGTAGCCCTCGGAGAGCCGCCGGAGGCTCTAATACGATCGATTAATATAAGAGAGTGCAAGAAGAATAAGGCTATAGAATAAGTAAGCGATATAAAGGCAAGCGGTTTTATAGGCCGCAAAAAAGTCCGGATATACGTAAGCAATATTAAAGGACTGCGGCCGAGACCGTAAAGCCGATCTTTAGTATAGATATTATATAGCATCCGAATACAGTTTAGCCTTATCGCGAGAAGGACACGTAGGTATAACTCACGAGCGGCCGCTTCGTGATACATGGATTGCTTGCGCAGCGATCCACAGCACATTTTTAACACGTGCAACTGCAACGACCACATCATTACATGTCCTAGACAAGCGAGAGTGCTGACCTGAGAGCCGTTTAGCAAAGACTAGTAACTGATGTCGAAATACATCCACAACCTAAAATGGACCGTAGCGTAGCTAGCCAGCCCTGCGACAGAATATCTCCCGTTATTCCACTCGCCATTTCCCCATCTATAACCGCCCGCAACACCCGCCTGTCACGAACGCTTCTTCTCACAGAACATTCATCTCAAGCACTGCAGCCAAGATGCCACTCATCAATGCAGGAAGTGGAAAGCCTCGCGTTATCCTGGGCACCATGACCTTCGGGCCGGATGAAGCCTCAGGTGCCAGGATAACTTCGCTGGACGACTACAAGTCCTGCCTTGATGCCTTCCAGTCGCGCGGCTATAACGAGATTGACACCGCTCGCATGTACATTGGAGGCAAGCAGGAGGCATGGACCCGAGACGCTGGCTGGAAAGATCGTGGACTCACATTGGCCACCAAATGGTACGTCTGGTCGACTTTGCTGTCTATCACGAGTATAGAAAGCTGAAGACGTCTATACAGGTATCCTCACAAGGCAGGAGCACATGCTGCAGAAGTAATTGAGGAAAAGCTCAATGAATCTCTGAAGGAACTTGGCACAGACACGGTCGATATCTTTTACCTTCACGCTCCCGACCGGAGCATCCCTTTCACAGAACCTCTGAAGAAGTTGAACGAATTGCACAAGCAAGGCAAATTCGTCCAACTCGGTCTTTCGAACTTCACGGCCGCGGAAGTGGCAGAGATCTGGCTGCATTGCAGGTACAACAACTGGGTGCGCCCGACCATCTACCAAGGAATGTACAATGCCATCCAACGTAACATCGAGCCCGAACTCATCGTCACCTGCAAGCGATTTGGCTTGGACATTGTGGTCTACAACCCACTTGCCGGCGGTCTCTTCTCAGGCAAGATCAAAACGCAAGATGTTCCTCAGCAAGGACGATTCAGTAATACAGCATCCGCAATGGGACAGCGATACCGGGAACGGTACTTCAAGGACGCCACTTTCGATGCGTTGAGGATCATTGAGCCAGTCGTGCAGAAGCACAATTTGACTCTGATTGAGGTCGCCTTTAGATGGCTGGTCCACCACTCGAAGCTGGACATTGGTGCAGGAAAGCCGGATGGAATCATAATCGGTGTATCAAGTGAACAGCAGATGGTGTCCAATCTCTCCCACATCGAGAAGGGACCCTTGCCGGACGAGGTGCTGAAGGTGTTGGACGAGGCGTGGCTGATTGCGAAGCCGACGGCGGCGAATTACTGGCATGGTGAAAACAAGTACACATACGACACGCAGAAGGCTTTACTAGCATAATTGCCAAGTCTTCGAGGAATTTTGCTGCGGAATTGAAAGTAATAAAGATCAGCGCTCAAGGCTCGCCAAGTCATGAGGTAATGATCAATCTGGATTCCACAGAGCACTGCACAATGGTATACTGCGTTACTCATAGCCAGCCAATCACTTGTCCATCCGCTGCAGTCATGATAAAACCCAAGATCTCGACGCCGCTATGCAGAGAGCAGGAGAATGAAAGTAGAACGCAGCAAGCATTCGCTAGATAGCTGTGCTCAAACGAACGAACTTCCCGAAGAATGACATGGGTGGTGGCTGGCGTCAACCCACTCTAACAGCACTTCTGCTCGACTCGCCGTTAACAAGCCCAGCGCCAGAATCCTCGTGTTTGCCTTTCCTCCTGTTGACAGCTTTCCTTCTCTGTGCCGCAACATCCCTTGACTCCAGTCCATGCTCGTCACCATTTCTGGCGTCCATATCTTGATCTTCTTGTTCACCCTGGTCTATTTCCTCGTTATCGTCCGCCATTTCACTGTCTGCAAAAGCAGGCATGGCATCTCCATCTCCTCCAGCATCACCTCCTGTCGTTGACATCATTGCTTCTTGGTTTTCCGCCCATACCCTACATTCATCAAGCTCGTTCACATCTTGTGGTCGACTTCGTAACCATTTCATTCGCGGACCAGTCTTTGCAATTTCACTGACGCGGAAGCCATAGATCCTCGGTTCATATATACTGCCCGGTCCTAGCCCTGGTGCGAGGTTCTTGGGAGCAATGCCGTTGATGCTTTCAGGTTGTTTCGGCAGTGCCGCCTCTACGGGAGGCGCAGGCATCTGCTGTGTAGCATTGCCCAGAGATGATGATAAAGAATTTCGACCCTTCTCTCGTGTTGCTTCAGAAACAGGCGAAGACGCATCGATTGGCGGCGGCCTTGTGCCACCGACGTCGAGTTCCGGGAATGTCATGAAGAATAGGCAGCCGAATGTCGTACCAAAGAATGCTCCATCCACGGTCTGAAAGCGGCTATTTGGCGGCGTGTAGACGTCCAGACAGCTCGGGCAAAACAGCTTCACGGTCTCTTGTCCTGGTATATCGGAGCATCCCACGGGTAGTACTTTTGCGCCCTGGCAGAATACTCGAGGGCAGTGTCCAAAGTGACCAAGCTCATATTTTTCCGCCATCTGCTGGATGCCTTGTCGACTCGTGATGAAACGCTGATGTATGAGTCCGTAAAGCATCTCCGCCGAGCTCTCGATCACACTCAAATCGCTGGCCATGCGCAGATGCCGTCTTTCGGCTGCTGCAGCTGCCGCATCTGCTGCTCTCCGGTAGCCTCCACGTCCTATTCCCAGCTCGCCGTCGTGCATCTCGTCTTCATCGTCGTCCTCGTCCTCTTCTTCCTCTTCTTCCTCCTCGCTGGCGTCTTCGGGTTCGACATCGAGGATCATTTCCAGCGCCTCCTTGTACATGGGTACTTGACTCTGTAGCCCGGTGAGATTGAAGTCATCTTCGATGAAGTCCTCGGAAACCTCTGCGAAATACTCGTGGCCGACCAGCGAGCAAAAGGCGGAGATCCAGCTCTCCGGCGCCTGACTGGAGGAGGACATGGTTTGGGAGAGGTCGTCCAGCGCGACGTGGTGAACGGTGCAAGCCTTCTCGAAAGCCGAGCTCAGGCTCAACCCGCGGTGATGCAAGTGCAGATCCGGACGCACAAGCGCTTCGTGGGCGTAGGTATTGACGTTGTTCTGGTCGCGCTGTGGCAGCAGTCCTCCTCCAGTGGTCGAAGGCGGGGGAGTATTTTGAGAATAGGTGGGCGGGGCGGCGTATATGCCAGAGGAGGTGTCGTCGCTGGTCAAGGCCGCGGTCCCTTCGATATCAACGGCGATCAAATCGGGCGCCAGCTTGCGCTCCCTCCGCGTTGGCCGCTGAGCGATCTGCCCACCGTTTGCTCCTGCTCCTGCTCCTTCTCAAACAATCGCCGCTTCCAAAAGCACTCGTCGTTCGGTCGTCTTCGGTCGTCGCGTCTCGCAGCCGGGCTCTGCTCTGCTTCTTTTCTCGCTGAATCACATGCACAAAGTCAAGCGCACTGCAGTCGCGCACATGTCCTGTCCATTCGAGGGCCGACGCTTGACGTGTCCAAGTGAAAGCCTGCTTCTGGGCGCGAGCAATGTTTCTGTGCACTGCAATTCTCGAGTTTGTATAGAGCAACTGAGTTGCACCCTGGCTCAAAGTCTCAAAGTCTAGGCGACGGCTCGAGCTCGGGCTCGCCCTGGCTTCTCTGCCTCTCTCTCAACCGCCACAAGCCACGGGATTGTTCACAGACGTCAGTTTCGGACGACCACGTCAGGAGTTGCCGTAAGCCTGCAATGTGCGTTGGTTTTGCAGAAAGTCCAGACTGCTTCGTGAGCTGCAACAATGAACGAGGGGCCGGGGCCGGCCTTGCTGCTTTGGTGCTTGGTGGGCTGCTGCGCGGCGTGCGCGGCACGAACTGAGCGCCGATGGAGATCTGACCACAGCCACTGCCACCGCATCGATAAGGTTCTTTGTCACGTGGGAATAAGATGTGATTGGTATGGGGAAAGGGTCGTAGGTACATGTAATATGGCATGCCTGGTTGCGCTCGTCTCTCGTCACACGTCTCCTATGTACAATGCACGTTGTGCTATCGCTTTCGAGTAATCTCCGCCAACACGCAATACCGCAACAGCAGAATGGACGTGATCAGCCACCCATCAAAAAAGTTCACTGAGGATATTCGACAGTCCATCTTCTCCAACACTGCCGAAGCCTTCTACACTGTCTGCAGCGTTTAGACCGTAGCCACCGTCGGCATTATGGTGACCGTTCAATTCCATTGCTTGGTAACCGCCGGCTGCTTCAAACAGGCTCGTCAGATCGTGAACCATATTCTCCGGGCTACTACTCGCTCCCGATTGAGCCGACCAGTGATGCTGCTGCGGTCCTCCATTGTACAAGGAGTTTTCATCGACATTGACACCAGCCAGCCCTGCCATGGCCACGGCGGCAGAGTGGCTTGCGTCCTCGTCCTTGCTGGAACTGTGCTGTTGGTTGTTCGATCCTTCTTTCATCATCAAGCCGAGCTTAGGGCCAACTTCTTTCAGAACGCGGATCGTCTTCCATAGCCGCCGACTCACCCAACTGCCTCTGCTAAATCCTCGAACGAGTTCAAGCGCCATGTAGAACTCCTCACGGACATTCTCGGCGAAAACGGCCGGAGTGTGGCTCACCGCGAGGAACAGCACGGCCAACGCCGACGTCAGGAAGGCATTGAACATGACCTGCTGAGTGCGATAAAGATCTGACGTCTGATTTATGTGAGTCAAAACTCTGATCGTGTCTTTGGCAACGTCCACAGCTGTCTGCGCTTGTTCTCGGTGCTGCATGATAGAGGTTGCGGAATGTAGGACGGGTCGATAGATGAGGATGCGCATCTGGTTTGCACGAAGGTAAAGCAAGATACGCAATCTGTGGCCTGCTCGCGATGGCGAGGGACCGATCGGAGTAGAAGGCACCTTGCCATTCTGAGACGGATGCTCGAAGCGGAGATGTGCAGGGATGTTTCTGTGCCACTGGATGACTTGATAGTCCAAGTAGTTCATCTCGTCGACATTGATCGGCGCCCCGCCTCTTGAAGGAGACATCGGAAGAGCGACGACCGACTTCCACACTTTGCTGCTGATGCCGGAATACTGGATCATAGCGCTAAGGTACGGTGAGCGGTCCTCCGGCTTAGGAAGCTGCGGATCTATATCAGTGTCCTGGACGGCAAAGGGCATACCAGTTCCGAAACTCCAGCGTCTGTCCAGCACATATATTGCCCAGAACAATAGCATCGTATCTGATCGTTCCGACTCGTCTTGAATAGCGTCGTAAGTCTCGCGACGATGAAGACCGAGCTCAATGCACAACCGTGCAGTCAGTCCTATTATCCTCCACGATGTGCCTTCGTTATCGCGATGAAATTCGTACATTGCCTAAAGTTCCATCAGCTCATTCATGCAGAAGTTGCAGCAAAGCTTACAGTCATGACCAGGAGCCGAATGGCCTTTACTCCTATAGCTCCCAATAGCATCGTGTCAATGGCAGGCTGCACGTATTCGAACATCCGCTGCCCCGTCTCGCTGCGTCCTGATGCTTCTACCGTCATTGCCGTGGCCATGACCACCTTGAGCAAATTTGTGTCTTCATCGTCAATGGCATCGGATCCCGGCAGGCCCTGTTGCATCAAGCCCGAGCGATGTGCCGCTTCCATGAATTTATAAAGCTTACCAGCATATGCAATGACTTTATTGATGTCCACAACAGGATACATCAAGCCCATTTCGTCCTCATAGACTCGACATAGTCTGATTGCTTCCTCTTGCGGTATTGTCCATATAGGATCCTTATCGCGATGGATGCTTTGCAACAGCTGACCTTTCAGTGCTGGGCTTCGCTGTGGTGTCGCATCTGCTGTGCCTGTCCCTGCATCACCACTCCCATTATTCTCCTCATCAGGCTGGCCCGTTATGCCCATTGATTCCAAGCTGTTCTTTGCGACACCCAAATTAAAGGCTACACTGGTCGGACCTCTAAAGCGTTGCTGCGATTGACTTGACGCACGAGGACGATGATGGCTCGGGGACAAAGCCGCGGCGCCTACGCCTGGCGAAGCGGTCCGCGCATTGAATGATCCTCGGTGAGAGCCATAAGTCTGCAGGGACGGATCGATAGGTGTGTTGCCGGTTTGTGAAGCCGGTGCCAGACCATGGCCGGTGACCTGTGAACGAAGCTGGTTCAGCTGATCGTACAGTACACTGACTTGGTCTTGCAAAAGCGATATCTGCTGCGACATATCCTTGAACTCTTGCGATTCCTTGAAGCCGGCGCAACAGTTCGGCGCATAAACGCATTCGAGGTTGAGGTTGCCGCATCTTTGGCAAGGAGTCTGGCCATTGCATTTGATCTTGCGTCGTTTGCATTCATTGCTGGTCCCCACTTATCAGCATCAATCTGTGCATTAGCCAGCCGTACATGTGCCTACCACGCGATCGATACATATCGGTTTCGTCTGGCGCGTTGCTGACCCTGGTTCCCGTGATCCTCGGCCTTGCGCTTCAGTCCATTTGCGTTGCTGTCACTATTTTCGTTCTGCTGCGGCTGCTGCTGCAGATCTCTTGCCATCTGCGCAATGTTCTGCGCATCGAGACTCATTATGCCTGACTAGAGAGTTGCATGGCCGAAGCGAAACGATTGGGTCGTGTGAATACGTGCGGGGGCGGAATAAGCTGCGAAAGCTTACCGATGACTGGCAGAGGCAGAGCCGCAGAGGATCACCAGACAACTTCGACTGAGCATGAGACTTGGCACAGACTTTACGGAGAGATGAAAGATACTCGGCATAATCTGTATCTTCTATTCATACAGCAGAGGCAGAGATCCCATGAGCCTTCAGTAGTCTGCCTTTGCTTGGATTCATCGCACTTTGGCGACGGAGAGCTTACCGACGCATCCGTGTATAAGTCCTGAGCGCATTCTCGGCCTTCCCTTGGCCCTGAGCGTTGCCTGCCAACGAAACGGGCAGTATGGAGCATTGCTCTCCAGGACGCGTAGGCTTCCTTACAAACGAAGCGTAGCAGGTTGTGCTTGCAGAGATGACCTGCAGCTCCATGAGCGCTGTGTCTGTGTGTTTCCAGACGTGGCACATTCGGATGCTCGCTCTGATTTCAGTTTGCCAGCTTGGGATATCGTGACAGTGACAGTGGCACCATGCTTTCATGCCGCACCTGCAGCGGCCTGGCCCTGCCCAGCGAGCATCTTCTGCCTGAGAACTTCTTCCACCACCCTCAGATTGTTTGCTTTGCTGTTGACAATGTTTTCCAAGTCCTTGATGTTCTTGCCTAGCTCCTCAATCTTGCCATCATAGAATTTCTGAGCATCGCTGGTAGATTTCTCGACAAAGAACCCAGTACCGACATCAACAAGTACAGTGTCAGTACCGGCTAGCGTGCCAGGCACATATAGCGAGGAAGTCAACGGAACGAGCAAAGCCTTATCTGGATCCGAGGTCAATATCATGCTTTCGATGGGAAATCACGTCGCATACCACTTGCGCTTTTGGCAACACCATGTTCGATACTTGTTTTGCATTCGCGGAACTTTTGTTGTGCAGTGCGAAGGTTCTGGTGCGATGTGCTCAGATGTTGGACTTCATCGTCGAGTTGCTTCTTGACTTGAGACAGCTGCTGCGGCGCGAGCTGTGCGAGATCGACTACGATGACAGTCAATGGCTGCTTGGAGGGTCCAATTCGGGCATGACTGACTTTGCTGAGCCTGTTGAGCGGACGCCATTGCGGTCAGTGTAATGGCATGCGTGAATGGTGGTCGTGCAATGCTTGCAGCAGCCTCACAAGCAGCACGACCCTTGCCGCTTATCGATAAGACAATTGAAGACAATGATTCTTGGCAAGCGCGCTAGCCGGGCCGGGAGTCTGTGCGGCGCATCGCCTCATCTCTTTCGACGCATTTTCCAACTCCTCATCTTTCGCATTCATCTTCAAGATGTTGCAATTCTTTTGGAAGCATGCCTGCTCACCTCAATCCTTGTTGGGCCACAGGAGCAGTGACTGCGGTATTGAGAAAGATTTCGTATCGATCGCTAACACCTGACCACGCAACGAGCAAACTGCAGCATTTCTCCTGCCCTGACTGCAGCGACTGAGCACGCTTTCCACTATCTGCGACCGCGGGGTGAAGTGTGACTGACGAAACCCCGGATACACATCCGGAAGATGGATGTACGTTTACTCGTCAGTAGTGTTGTCGACAACGGATCTGATGCCGATCTAATACATGCATAGTTAGATTCAACGAATCACGTCGCCTGGCCGAGCGACGTCCGAGATTTAGCATGCCTGCCCTCATTAACGCAGCTGCCAAATCGATCAATAGAGAGCAAGATGATGTCCAATCTATTCGTAAACTTGCCGAAGGTGGCTTCAACAGAGTCTTTGAGCTTACCTTGAACGATGGTCATCAAATCATTGCTCGTTTGCCTTATCCTTCAACACAGCCTGCGTCGTTAGCTGTGGCCAGCGAAGTCGCTACCATGGACTTCGTTCGCAGTCATGGTGTCCCAACGCCACGTATCCATGGCTATGCACTCGACTCTAACAACGATGTCGGAGCTGAATACATCGTGATGGAAAAGATTCATGCACAGCGTCTGGGTGATGTCTGGATCAATTTATCGGACAAGAATCGACTCAAAGTGCTTTCTGGAATCGTTGATCTGGAAGCTAGGCTGTTTAGCATTGATTTCCCTGCGACATGGCAAGCCGCGACTTCCTTTCGACCGGGTATGAAGGGAGATGTTCGATTATAAAAAGGTTCACTCAAACGACCACATCGCGAATCTCAAGGCCTTCGAGCGAGTCTCTCCGCACCTTATTCCAAATGAGACATGGCACCAACGGAGCATCCTCCGGCATCCAGATCTCAACTTGAACAACATATTCATCAACAGCGAATGTCAGATCGTGAGCGTCATCGACTGGCAGCACAGCAATATTTTACCTCTGTTTTTGCACGCGGGAATCCCCAATTCTCTTCAAAACTATGGTGACCCGGTCTCTGAGGAGTTGAGGAAGCCAGAGCTACCAGATGAGCTTTATCAGATGGACGAAGGCGATCGTGAGAAGAACCTTGATCTTTATCGGCGCCGGCGTACCCACTTCTACTACGTGGGACCTGCAGCTGAAAAGCTGGACATGCACTACAAAGCGTAAGTCTGAAGGAAACCTAATCTAGTGCAAGGCACAGCTATGTTGAGTTGGAAGAGATACACGGCTCGAGCCACACACTCCTCCATTCTCATGGCAGCAGTCTTGTTTGGGCCTTTGTTAGACCATCTGCTAACTTGCGAGCTCATCCTTCTAGGATGATGTCTGAAGCCAGCCTGCTTCGTAGAAGACTCTGTACTCACGCCTTGGCGCCCTGGGAGGGCAACAGCATTCCTATTAAAGCGGATCTTGTACAGGCAGTACGAGGCTGGGCTACTCTGGCTCCTGGTAGCACCTGTCCAATAATGTTCGATTCGAAAGAAGAAGAAGATACTCTGTAGAAATTGGCCAAGCAGGAAGATATCGACAGGAGAATGGACATCTTGCGCGATGTTATTGGCATCAGCACACACGGCTGGGTTCCACATGACGGGTACGAGGATGCTGTGGCGCAGGCGGCTGCGATGAAGACCCGTGCACTGGAAGTTGCGGGTGATGACTTGGAGCGTGAGATGACAGCGCGACACTGGCCATTCGATGATTTCGAGGAGGACGAATGAAACGCCGTGACCGAGACTAATGGGTCGTCATGATGAAGCAGAATCAAAATCCTCTGGGACATCTAACTTTGCGCGATTGTTTTGCATCGACACTGCTTTGTGCGAAACTATGGTTGTGATGGCGAACGTGAAGGCGAATTCCTTCAAATAATTGTACTCTGAGCGAGAACAGCCTTCAACATGCCTAGCAGGTACTGGATTGCTGGAGGTTAGGCCAGCGATGCAAGCAAACCAAAGAAAGGACACAAACCCCAATCGCACGTCAAGCGTATTGCAGTAATGTTCGCGCCCGCATCTACAAGCTGGTCGGTCAGTGCATTACGGTGGATCGAGACCAACTTTTTTCTGTCTCCGGAATCTCTGCAATGGTAAGTCACTTCCAAAATCACTCAAAGAATCGATGACTCCGCCAGCTTGGTGCGGCTCGAATTCTCGTTGTGAATCGTGCTAAGCCAGTTATTGCATGCCAGGTGCAGGTGCCTCCCGCAGATACGATGCGCTGGACGGAAAAATTGATGCAGCAAAGACGGATCTTGAAAATTCTACACAAGTCTGTCATGGCTAGTCCGACACAACCTGGAGCCATCGAGAAATGGGGCAGTCTTTCGGCACTGCTCATCCATCTCACCACTTGTCGAGCAATGCTGCGACATTGTAGAGAGTCACTTACGAAGCAAAATCTCAATTCAGAGGACTTCGAAGGCATACAGATACTTCCTGACGCACAAGTCATCATGAAAAGTCCTTTCGACGGAGCTTCCCTTCTTGCTACAGAGATCAGGAACGTGACCATGTTCTTGAACGACGCCCACACACCACAATGGAAGCTCTATCAGGGCATGAAGGTACCACCTCACATCGACACCAAGCTGGGAGAACTGAATGCCTCAGAGGATGTCCCATGGCCTGATACTAATCTCGATCCGCTCAAGACTGAGATTGTGGCTTACTGTGCAGAGCATGGTTGGGACGAGCGACTAGATCAGCTTCTGGACGCTTCAGACGGCAGCACTCAAGCTATGCTGCTCCGCGAACAGTTCTGGGCAGAGGCCCAAGATGATGTCCAAGAGACATAGAGTTACATGGAGTGATGAAGCCGTAGCGTTCTGAGATATTGGCAAGCTCTCATCATATCGAAAGATATAATAAAGCGAACCAAGAGCTTCGGCTGATTGTTCCACTTCACCATAATTCCGATCATCTCCTGTCATCTCAACTTCACCTCCCTCGCTCCGTCTTGACACCACATCGCACCGTCTGATCTCACACCTACGACACTCTGGAATGCTGCACAATGCGGAAGCATTACATTTCCTGACTTAGAGCCTGACCCATGCGCCACGCCAACATTGCGAGGAGTACGATAAGTCAGACTTGCCCTGAGAGCCGCCAGACTTGGTGTCCTGGCCGAGGGCATGTGATGTGCTTACTATCGCTTTCGATGTCCAACAGTCTTCGTGACTTGTTCGTGGTCCAATATTAAAGCGAGTCGATGTCTTCATCAAAGAGTCAAAGACGCTCGCGACACATTGTTGGAGGTAAAAATCGCAAAGCACCCCGGACACTTTGCATCAGGCAGACGCCAAGTCATCCGGCAACTTGTCCTTTCAGCAAACCGCGCCCTGTGGAATGCATTGAAGGATGCAAGGCGTCAGTTAACTTATGCAAGTTACGGTAACCCGCCGGGCGAAGCAACGATTTTGCTCCGCCGACGCTCAGTTCCAACGCCGCATTGGAACACCGCATTTGCGCACAGCCCGCTGCGGCCTCTGCGGCCTCTGCGGCCTCAGATTCTGTGGAGTCGCAGAGCGCTGTGCGGCCATTTCTCGTCGTGAGACCAAGCCGTAAATTCGGTGGGTGACTGTTGCGCATGGAGCACAGTACGCGGACCAGTTGAGGCGCAAAGCACGAGGGAAGGTGGTGTTGCAGTTCATCATGTTGGCGTTGCGCACTTCCGCCTTCGAAATTCAACTCACCGGCGCACTCTTAGCGCCAACCTTAATCCCAGTGACTCACGCGGAATCCGAAAGCGAATTCGCACAAAACCTCTCGTCAGCCCCGCGTCTGCCTGCTTTCTTCCCCATCCCACCAAGCGCACACCATACACAATCATCAGAGACAACCACGAAAATGGCTGCCTCTGCTTGATTCCAGACCTCGCCCACCATAATTAACTACTCAACCTACCATCTCAACTCCACTTTCGAAGCGTCTTCGGACCTTCACAACCACGCGCCCAGTCGTCAAGACCACGCCTCTGTGAAAACCTCCCCGCCGTCCACCACGGCTTCTACACAGCAAACATGGCCCCAACCACCAGCTGCACCAAGGCAATTGCCTCCCCAACCCGAGTTCTCGCAGGACTTCGAACTCTTCCATCAACCTCAGACCCGCGCTCTTCCGCCTTCTCGACGCGCTCCATCGCTCGATCCGACGCTGCTTCATTCGTTTAGCACTGCGACCGCAGCAGCGTGTCACGCGAACGGACATCTCAACTCATCTCAGAAGGAAATCAATACAACAGCTCACCGGTCTACTCGCCCACCTGTGCCTTTATTTCATTCCAACTCAACCGGTAATCTGGGTATTCAGCAAAATAATCAGTACATTCAGCAAGGAACAGATCCAACCTCTTTCGCAATGGGAGGCGGAGGTAATTCACTGCCGAACTCGTTCGTCCAGCGCGTTGGTCTAACCATGGACTCAGAAATCAACGTGGCCTACGACGGCACATTCGGCGATCTCCACGCCAGTGGAGACGTCGCACTCTTCGGCTTCGATGACAGCTTTGGCGGCGACTTCGAGCTCATCGGCTCGGCCGACAACAGCTTCACCGCTATCAATGACGGTGCCAACGCTGGCACCATCTCGCCCAAGGACCTGCTCAACGACTCAGTCCCGCCATCGACATCGTTCACCAATCTGACTACACCTGGTTCTACATACCTCGACACTCCGGATGACTACCAGACCTCACCACTCTTCACAGACAGCATGCAACATGACAAGACATGGTTCTCGCTCTTCCCTGAACAAGACACCGAGGCGCCAACTCCAGCACCACTGATGGAGCGCACCTCGTCCAACACTATCGTTGTTCACCCCGGAGGCGAAGGCAATGCTCGCAAGCGAAGCTCAACTTTCCAGACATCACCGACTCCATTCAGCCCAGCTGTGAAGCACTCTGATGTTGCTGGTGTTGCTGCTCGCAAGCGTGACAAGCCACTGCCACCAATTGTTGTCGACGAGAACGACCCTGTCGCCTTGAAGCGTGCGAGGAACACTGCCGCTGCTCGAAAGTCACGAGCAAAGAAGGTTCAGGAACGTGACGGCCTTGAGGGGCAGATTGCCGCCCTCAAAGCAGAAGTCGAGTTCTGGAAGCAGAAGGCGGTCTCTTTGGGCGCTGATGCTTCTGACAGCGAGTAGGACTCGCTGCTCAGGCGCAGAAAGCTCAAGCACTAAAGTTCAATCCTGCACTCGGAAAAAAATGGCGACTGCCTTGGACAGTCGCTGGTGGTGGAAAATTTTCTTATTTCATTCTGTTCATCATTGGAGGAGAGCGCAACGGGCGCTTCGTCGCCACTGGTCTCGACGACTACTCTCACATTTCCTTGGCGCGGCCTTACGGTCTGGACATCTTCACGATGATGGATGAAGGGCAAAATTGGCATGTGATCTTCATGGCCTACTGACGTCTCCTATCTTGAAGCATTATGCGTTGATAGTTGATTGACTCGTGGCACACTATTGCGTTGCTTCGTTGATTTTGGTTAGATTGACAGAAGCTTGCTAGCAGTTGACAAAAGTAAAGTCTTGACTACAATACAACACTGTTTCTTCCCATACGCCTTCTTTCCAACCATTCTCGTTGCTTGCGATGTCCACTCACGACTGTATGGCAAGGCAAATCATATAGGCAAGTAAGCCTCTGTCGCCATGTCATTGCAACGTAGCAGCGGTACAAAAGTTCTCAAGTACTCTGACTATTCATTTTACGACAGCGCTTATCGCAATGCCCTCTTTGAGTCCATACAGACTGGCATCCAGTTGGAGTTTCTGCGCAAATATCATTGATCTAGCCCAAGGCTCTTCGTTGCCGTCCGACAGGCGTGTTTTCACGGCATGTGACAAGGCTGGAGGAGTGAAAGGAAGACTTATAGACTCTGCATATCGCGCTCGGCTTCAGAGTTATGTGCGCCGGCAGGACGACAGTTCCATGACGGGCAAGCCTTCCAGCTCTTTGAAGTACGCTTCGGTCTCATGGCCGGCACCTGTGGTTGACGGCGACATGCATGTCTTGTAGCAGTGATCAAGATCCCTGGCTATGGTGAAGCACTCTCTGTCCGCACTATGTTGTGATGCAGACTTTGCTTGGGTTAGAGACACGCCGGAGCTCTCCTAGGTAGAAGTGCTTGCCTTCAGCGCGCCGACCGAGAATAAGAAGGGGCGGAAGCACACTGCAAGTTGAGAACGAACCTCGAGCGAACGCTGAAAATGAGGATGACACAGTGTCCAATAGCCCAAATACTTGGTGACTATAGTCATCTATTGCTTCCAGATAATGTTCATCGCTTTTCGTGTATATCTGTTATACTACATGCTTGACCTGTCGATATCACAGATTAGCCGAGGGCACCTCTGTTGAATGAAGGGCGCGAGCTATCTTTTACCTCAAAGAATCGCTTCAGCCACCACACCTGGAAGATGCCCTCGCCAACCAATACGCCGAGCTGGAAGATGCTCCACCACTTGACTCGAGCATTGGTGCTCTCAGCAGTGTTGCGATGCGTTCGTTCGCGGACGATGATGTACCCTTGCTCGTCCTTGACTTGCGCGATGAGCTCAGACATGGCGCGGACTGCTTGAGGTCAGCGATTTATTCACCTTGGTACGGAGAGTGAGCCTCCTTTCTACGCACCTTCTTTTTCGAGGGGATCTTGTGGAGCCTCGCTCTCAGGGACATAGACGATTCCATGTACGTTGAAGCTGACCTCCTTTGTGTTCGCGGACCAGTGCTCGTTGCTGAAGCAGTACGTGTATCTGCCGTCCTCTTTCGCATCGAAGGAATGGTCTCCAGCGCTGACAGTTCGTTCGTTGACCTGATATGCTCCGTTCGGTGATTGTATCTGGTAGGGTGCGGGTCAGCATATGTATGCTGCTTCATGCATCATCGTAGAGAGTGCTGCTATCCTGCCCCGACTCATGCCCCAGCGGTGCGCTGGGGGACGAATAATGGCATTGCGGTGTATGCGTACCGAAAAGTCAATGTCAAGATTCCCACTGCCTCCAAATTCCCTGTCGCCAACTTGAAAAGTGACGGTCATCTTGTCGTCCTTGTGCAATTCCTCGTGGAAGCACTCTCGTGAGTGAGCGCGCAGAAGAATGTTGTGTGCATTTCCCAGCGACACGAGCGCCAGTAAGGAGAGGAGGAGTTCGAGATGCAGCGCCATGTTGCCTGATTTGCACTCTCGGGGGTGAATGAGCAGGAGTGAAGAAGGGAAAAGTTGCTGATGGACGACGGAACTCCTGGAAACGCCTCCAGCTGTCAATCTGTACACGCGACTGCCATGAAAGTCTGGTACTCCGACCCTTGCCAAGCTTTCAGGGATCAGCATGACTTCCACTTCACTTCACTGCAATACTCTTCACATGAAATCAATTTTTGGCTTGGCAGCAATGCTCAGGATGTGGCCGTGCTCAAATCATGACGCCCAGGTGCGGACGCTGGCTTCGAAGGGTTCATGTGTTTCGATAATGATGCCTTGCAAATTCCCACCAGCTTGCACCAACTGTTTTGCGAGATGCACCTAGCAACCGTTACAGGTCGGAGCGCCTTCAGTTGAACCCCGCAGAAAGACGCGACACTTCTTCGGTGTCATACCAGCATAGTCTACGTGCAAGCATAGACTGCGCATCCGAATCAAGTACACCCACCGACTTCGATATGGGCCGACTCGCTACAGATTTCGCTGCTGCTGCGACGATGGCAGACAACCTGCCCCAGAACTTGCCCCGTGTGTCTATTTTGGATGCGCTCCTTCCACGAAAAATCACATCCCCACCTAAGGTAGGCACGATATCTCACTTAGAGTCTCCTTCACTTTACATTTCTCATTTGTCAATGTGCTCGACAATGGCAGCACCCAATCTCACTCACGCCTGGCGCGTTTCAAAGAGTCGAAGTACTCCTGCACGCCACCGCAAGATTTTCCACTGTCAGGATACTGTCTCGGCCCGACCGCTCAGGACTCGTCATCTACAAGCGCAACGACTGCATCATCATGATCGTGGCCTCTGCCTTCGGAATTGCTCTCGCGCGACCAAAAGTTTGGCTGACTGATCCTGACACTGGCCAGCCTTTAGGTACTTCGGACGAGAGCATTCGTCCAGGCGTCGGAGACCATGAGATCAGAAAGAACAAGCGAGGCAAGATGTTCATGGTCCACCACAAGGGCTCCACGAGTCGTCCTGGCAGTGCAGTCGAAATCGCGGGTGGCAAGAATGGCGAGAAAGTCAGCACTGAAGACGTTCGGAAGACCAAAGGTGGCGGAGATGAGAAGAAGGATCAAGCTAAGGCTGATGAGAAGAAGCCTGGATCCAAAGAGGATGAGAGCGGCTTCACCGAGGAGGAAGATGCTAAGCTAATCGAATTCAAGGCACCCGGCAAAGCCAGTAAGCCATGGAAGGAGATCGCTGAGGAGATGGGTCGGTCGCAGCAGGAACTGAAAGAACGCTGGAAAGTGATCAACCCAAATGCTCAAGGAGACGGCAAGGGCGGTCAAGAGGGACAAGGTAAAGGCGGAAAGAAGAATGATCAAGGAGGCAAGCAGAAACAGGATGGCGATGGCGGAGATCAGAAGACGGGCAACGAGAAGCAGAACAAGGGTGGCAACAACCAGCAAGGTGGTGGCAAAAAAGGCAAGGGCAAGAATAAGGAGTGGACTTCAGACGAGGACGCCAAGCTGAAGGAAATGTGGGCTGCTGAAAAGCCCTGGGGTGAGATGCAGAACGAGTTCCATTGTGGTCGGGACGTGATTCAGGCTCGTTGGGATGAGATTGGAGATGGCAAAGAACCGTCCAAGCAAGACAGTAACGACAAGAAACCAGGACCTAGCAGAGAGTTCACAGAAGACGACGACAAGCAATTGAGAGAGCTCATGAAATCCGGCGCCACCTTTAAGACCATTGCGAAGGCAATGCCAGGCAAATCCAAAGCAGACGTCGAAGACCGCTGGAAGGAGATTGACGATTCGAAAAAGCCTGAAGTCAAGCCAGTAGAGCCCCAGAAGGAGGAGGCGAAGAATGCCCCCAGTGCTAAAGCGGCAAGTGCGAAGGCTGCAAGTGTCGCCAGCAAAGCTCGGAGCCATCAAAGCGAAGTCAGATTCACCATGGGCGAGTGGATGACTCTCCAGGAGGACGAGTTATTCACTTTTCAGGAGCTGCAACTTCTCTCTCACATCATCATGCGCGACCCGAGCCAGAGCTGGCTGAGAGTGGCCAGTAGCTTCCACGACAAGACTGGACGCAGAGTACATCCGGACGATATCCGTGAGAAATTCGAGGCCATGGCTGCCATGGGATGAGGCAAAGGAGATCAGCTTACTGGTTCACGTCATTTCGCTGAATGCTGGATGACTTTTCCCGAAGTTGAAAGTCCATCCAGAAGGCCGCAAGACGGATTGCACTGTGAGACCTGCGGCAACGATTCAGAGATCCAGCGAGGTCAATATGGAGCCCTGGTCAAGCGCGACCGACATGCTGAGGGTCGCTGACTAAAGCGTGAAGATGGATTCAATCGCTGTGGTTGTGCTGCCTCATTTGTATCATTCATGCTACTACAGTAGGAGCTGGCATCCTCGTAACTCGTAGCCAAATGCAGTGTCACATTGTAGTAACCTCTTCCATATCCTTTGCGCCTTGCAACTCCATCTGATGCCGTACGGAACGCTGCAATTCATGATTAAGTCTCGGAGTCTTTGTCTACTTCTGCTTCAAGCTGGCAGTAATTGCGCGCTCTTTCTCGACCATCTCGAAGATGTCACCGAACCGATCTGAGGATCGTTAGCCCCTCCGTAGCAACGCGATTCGCCTTGCAGCTTCTGCGACTCACTGTTGACCATTGCTTCCTTGTGTGACAGCTGGTCCCATGCCCGTTTGTACTCATCCTGTGCCTTCTTGTTAAGCCAGGCATAGCCAGGCTCGTCCTCGACTCGAGAGAATTGGTATCCGCTCGCATGTGTCTTTACCACCTGATCAGCTCTGGCCTTACCATTCGCCATGGCTTGAAGTTCTATCGCCACCATCAGCCCCCGTTACTTTCATCTTGAAACTGCTCTTGCCAGTAATCTTAATATACCTTCCATATCGTCTGCTCCGTTAGAGATTGTCTGCAGCGGGCGTTTGCCGTTCGAGTTCGCAATGGAAGAGCCTGAAGCGGAGGTGGGCATGTTGCTGCTGCTGCGCGTTTCGCGTTGTTGTGAATCAGGCGGAGAGGGGACGTCTGCGATGTTTGCGGTCTGGTTGATTGGCGTGGTGGCTTCTTCGTCACTGTTCTCTGTTGAGGACAGCATCTGGTCTTCTTGAGTTGTTGACATGATAGGCGAAGCTTCACTATCTGTGATGTTCACATTCGTTAAGCCAATCACTTGCAGCTGAAGCAATCGGTGCCTGGTGATCAGGCAGGCAGAGAACACCGGTGGAGGAGCTTGATGTGAGAGCAGTGGGGCTGGAACTGGAACTCAAACACAACCAAACTATGTCTCACTGGGCAGCAGGCATGTGCAACCATGAGACCCAGTATTAAAAATTAAAGCATTTATGAGAATGATGCAATTGATAAATATGGACATTGTTCGCGCTGTACCAATGTTCTCTGGTCTGCGTTCCGCCATGGCTCATGTTGCGCTGCGCACCTGTTCAAGGTCTTGGAACGCACATTCTGAGACTATGTTTGCAATCCCATGGAGGCAGCACTTCCGACTCATCACGAAACAAATCAACCTCTACTCACTGGCCCATCACGCCTCGTGAAATGACAATCTTTCCAGTTGATGTTCAGAGCTACAATGAAGTGTTTTGATGTGCTGATGGTGTCTGGATGTCGCCGATTGAGTGGGCCTCACGTCTTCATTGTATCTTTCAGCTGACCTTGCTCAGACTAGAATATAGACGGTTCTTATGGGTCAAAGAATCTTGCGGAGTTCGGTCGGAGTTCATCTCATCCTGTCCTGCCATTGATCCTTCGGCGACTTTTCTGCTGACAAGTCGGCATACCACACTGTACCACATGTCTTGTATTAGATCATCATACCTCGTAGGCTTTGCCATTTGTCTACACAAGTTCTTCCGACTCTTGGCCCACCTCCCTTGAGGGCGAACGCTAGTCCCCGGTCATTGAACCTCATCTCGGGTAAGACCTCCTTTTGATGGATTTGAAAGCTGTTCAAATGCCGCGTTGGCTTCTTGCCGCGATACCCGCTAACAGATTTGCACAGGTATCTTCTCGCGACGGCGAGCAAGTCTTTAGCTGATTCTCGAAGGTGTTCCCATGGTCCGTTCCTGAAATGCCGACTTGACATCAGTTGTCACGCGAGCTCTATGCCGTCGATGAGCGCGATAGTGCCATGCCTGTGAATGCTTTGCTTGGCTTCACCAAGTCACGAGGAATTCTGTCAAATGCAAACCAGGGACTTGGAGCCTGTCTTGTCCATAATCCAATCTCTATATAATCCAAGCGATATTGAACTATAATCTATAAAATTGAATATTATCGATAGGATTATAAGGCGTGTCTTCTGTCCAACGGCCATTCAATAGCCCCTTTCTAAGTGCAATCTTCTTAATCGAATATAGACCTCCGCGGCCTCCGGAGTAGCGCTTTTAGCACTAAATAGGGCATATAGACACGGCTCGATAGCTATTCGATTGGATTAAGGACCGTGCGTTGCAATTAAGGCCGAGGGCAGCGTACGGAACGAAAATAGCGCAAGTCGACGCGTTTTCGGGCGTAGGAGGGCTTCGTACGGTATACGTTTCTCGGTAGTAGATAGTAGTCGAGGTTCTTACTATAATTGTTAGCAATAATGGACGCTCTCGACCGCTAGCAGATCGTTAAGCGCAACGTTGTCTTTACCTTCGGAATACTAGCGATACTATTATACTAAATGGCCGCTTCTTCGCGGCCTAGTATACGCACCCTATACCTAGAAGATAGCAAAGGCGAGGCCGTTACTGCTAGTCTATTAGTAGAAGATGCTATACGACGATTGTATAGGTATATACGCTTCTACCTAGACGCGTTTATATACCTCTTTTAGCTTATTTCGCTATACCTGCAGCGTAGAAGATATATTAGCAAAGAACAGAAGGTGCTAATGTTCTTATACGCTTTTACAACTAACAGCTATACTCGAGACCTAGCCGAAGACTTCTATTACTTAGTCGATAAGTATAGTCGTATAATCTATAAGGTTATAGCCGCTATATTAGAGGTGTATCTAGTAATCGTTACTCGAGCCGACAAAGACGACAGTTTAGCGGTAAAGGCAAAGGGTCGGAAATACTAGCCTTAGTTTAAGGACGCAGTTAGTGCGTTAGATGGCTCTTATATACTAGCATACGTACTAGTTGATTAATAAGCGGCCTTCCGTAGTCGTAAAGGAATACTATTATAGAATGTATTAGCGGTAGTAGACTATAATATAAGGTTCACTTTTATTCTAGCTAGATAGGAGGGCTCCGCCTACGATAGTCGTATACTTAATAACGCTCGCTCGCACTATAGATTTGATACGCTAGAAGGACGATATTATCTCGCGGATGCTAGCTATCTAAATAGCGCTCCTTATATAGTCCTATATAGAGGCGTACGATACTATTTGCGAGAGCAGTACCTAGCTGCAATGCGGCCGGCGGACTATAAGGAGTTGTTTAACCTTCGCTATAGTTCCCTTCGCAACGTTGTCGAGCGGACTTTTAGTATAATAAAGCGTCGCTTCCGCATATTCGAGAGTGCGCCGCAGTATAGTATTCGCGCTTAAATAGCTATAGTATACGTTGCTGCTGCCCTCTATAATGTCCTTTAAGAGATAGGCGCGAAGCCGATAGATACCTTCGAGCTAGAGGCTAACGAGACTAACGATAGGCCATTCGATAATGCCGCCGCCGCTACGGAAGAAGACAATAGTATTAAAGGACCGATAGATAGGCAAAGAGATGCTATTGCAATAGAGATGTAGCGGGTATACTAATAGTACCTATAGGATAAGGAAGATAAGGCAATATTGTCTTAGTTGTAAAAGTAGTAGATAGGCGGGGCTTCTTTGTTCGATAGAAATGTTAAGAATCTTGGTTGTTATTAGATTATAGCTGTTTTGTATAGGATTTCTTATATCGGTAGTGCAATGCTCGACTTCCTACTATCCTTAGAAAACTTATTTGCTATAACTTATAGCCAAGAAATATAGTTTTATATTGGAATCTTAGATACTGCTAAAACCGCACTAAAAGCTATCGATCTAAAGATATTAAAAAAAAGCTATATTCGAGAATAGCTAACCAATCTAACACTTCGGTATTCCAGCTTAGGATAACAATTCAAACTCCTCTAAATACTTATCTACTAACGCTATCGATATAGCCTGCTACGTATCTAGAGGTGCGCCGAGAAAGATATTAACTATATCACCGTCGTCCGCCGTCGTTATCTTGCGACACAATAGACGCTTTTGCCTTAAGGTTAGGTCCTAAAGCTCCTTATGTCCTACGACGAAGTCCGCCGAGAAAACTAGCCGCGATAACGCTCGTCCTACCGGTAGTAGCGTTGCTATTATCTCCGCCGTACGATACATTGCAGTAACAATATTGTCGACAGTCTGCTATATCCGATTCTGCGCCTCTAAACGACGCCGCTTTGCCTTAACATTGGCATTATAGATTACCCGCTTTCGAGCCTAGATATCGTCCTTCGGCTACGGTATTTCCGCCTTACTCTTAGTTGCTATAAGAGTTGGATTAAGAGCTGTTATAGGACTAGGAATCGGACTATTAAGTATAGCTTTAATAGATAGAACATGCTCTCCGGTGGCCGTTGTATCGCTAAACAGCTAGTCCAGTTTAACTAAGAAGGGAAGCGGCTTCTTTAGGAATTTCTTCGTACGAGGATAGATAGCAATATAGGCCTTTACGACATCGTCCGGAGCGGTTAGACAGCTACTATTTGGATTAATACCGAAGCTAGATTGAGCTAGCATCTTATGCTACATCTTCTAGTCTGCTTTAAGCGACGATAGCTTATTCTTTATAGAAGCGGCTATAATACGAGCCTTCCGCTAGGCCTATATAACAATAAGGTTTACTACTATTGCTACTGCAACAAACAGGCCCTTCTTGAAGCTAGAATCCGCCCTCTTACTATAGTTCTTACACCTATCGATAGCACTATTTATTAAGTACTGCGTCTCGGCATCGTTAAAGCGCTAGTTGCCTTTAACTTCTACCTTAATAGGCGCTAGATTAGGTGCCTCGTCGAGTGCCTCTTCCTATTACGTATCCGGCAATTGCGAGTAGTTAGGCGGTGGTTCTAGCTAAGAGTACTAAGACTGGTCGATTGCTTAAGAGTCTATTATTTGCTAACAAATTTAGTAGGCAACTAACGACCTATAAGCGACTAGACTAGCAGCAATCTCTTATATCGAACGAGCCGTTATAATAGCCTCCTTCTATATTATTTCTACTACCTAAAGTCTACGGAAGTTACGAGATGCGCTAAGAACGCCTTTACCGAGATTGCGACGATACGATAACCGTACGAGAAGACATACCTCCTTATCTAATTCACTTATTATAGCGGCCGCTAATACAGTAGGTTATGTGCTAATAAACGCCACGATATTAGAGATTAGATTATGGACAAGACAGGCTCTTGGACGCGTAAAGAAGCAGTGGAAAGTAAAAAGCATCATTTCAATTTTCAGCTCATTGAACAGGCCCCGCTCTGGATGCTTGTCATAGCTTGGCAAAGGCTTGGCTATCAGCCATTGCACAGGTCCCGAAGGCTACAGTACACAAGAGACTCCTTCATTGGTACAGTATCGCAACTGATTGGAGTAACGACGGCAGCCACTCCACTCTACGACACGAAGGCTGCGTAGCATCAACTATCGAGCGCCATATCGCAGCTCAAACAGTCCAGACTAGGCACCAGTCCACTCCGTGGCCGAATATGTTTCTTTATCAGAGACGGCCGCGAAAGGGAACACTGTGCCGGCAGAGTTCCAAGGCCGGTAGCCGGGCTAGGGGCTCAAAAAGGCCAGCTCCGCGACTGGTGAAGAGCATTCCTATGACCTTTCGATCATGCTACTATGCATCTGCCAAGCTTCAACCGAGCTGTGAGCATGGTTCCGCCCTCCATGCTGTTCCACGCGACATACCACCTTCATCATCAATGCCTGTTTATCAATGCCGCTGACGTTGGACGGTATCTGGGCAAGCTCTTTTGCAGCTGGCATGCACAAAACATCTGGTCAGTCTCGTATCTCTCGCGCCGAACGTGTACGCCGAAAACTTTCTGAGGGGTGCTTTTGTGAGATTAGCACCCTGGCCGTGTCCGGATCTACCGAGCTGCTTGTTGTATACGAGCAGGTGAATAACAGTAGGTAGATAGGCGAGGCAGGGTGCTACATTTACTGAAATACGCATCATCCCTTCTCTCATTAAGCTCCAGTCTTCCACATGGAGTTTTCCCTTGGCCAGGCTTCTCACTACGAACTGCTGTTAATTCCACCTGGCAGGACGCTGTTGGAATGGCTGGAATCGTGCCGGCCGGTAACTTGGCCGGTGCTGATCCCAGAACGAGTTCTGAGGTTGATAACATTGTAACTCGACGAGATTCCATCGTGAAGGACACGGCGCCACCAGAGACACATGGTATGACTTCGTCACGGCTTGTGCAAAGCTCTCTGCTGATATATTTCATCCAGGTCACAACACCATCTATCTTGACAGCAGCATCACTTTTGAGGCCTACGACTTCTATGCTGCTCGCGCTCGTGAAGCAGAGAAACACTTCGCCACTGAAAACTTCGTCAAGCAAGTCAGCAAAGTCCTTGTTGGCAAGAAAGTCGCCAAGGAGCAGCAACCTATCGATGAATATCCAACTGGCACCTCAGAAAACGATCCCAAGCACGAGTCGGCATCTCCTCCAAGCAATGGATCTGATACGGCTCCCGGCGAAGACCGCTTTGGAGTGACTGAGACAGAGTGGGAGCAAGCGCAGAGAGCCACAAGAACTGTAACATGGGTCACCATCTTTGTAAGGTCATGCGCCACGCGAGGATCAAGAATATGCTTGTCTAATAGTGACGGTAGTACCTGATCACCACCGACATCCTTGGACCTTATAACGTTCCGTGGGCGATCTCGCGGATGGGGTATGGCCCAGGCCTCGCGCTCTACCTCGTATTTGGACTGGTAGGTGCATTCGCTCATCGAACAGTCCAGTCGAAACGACAACTAATGATGTCAAGATGGCTTTCTACTCCGGTCTTCAGCTCTGGAAGATGTTCATTGGGCTTGACTCTCCTCGCTATCCAATGCGTAACTTTGGCGACCTTGGCTTCCGTGTCTACGGCGGATGGGCCAGACAGCTTGTCAACGTGCTTCAGTCATGCCAATTCTTCCTAAACGTGACATTACTTATTGAGAGCAGTGGTCAAGGTCTTCAGCAGATGGCTGCGGGCAAGAATGGCAAAGGAGTTCTTTGCTGTAAGCCTTATCTATTCTCTGCTTAGCCAAGGGACCACTAATTGGCAGAATAGTCGTTGCGGCAGAGGTCATTTTCATGGTTTGTGGTTTCATTTTTGGACAAGTCAGAACACTCCAGCGACTTGGCTTCCTAGCCAATCTTGCGGTCTGGTTGAACGTCTTTGTGATCTTGATGACGTAAGTTTCGTACTCTGATCGCAGGTAACTTCATCAGCTGACCTCAATACAGCATGGGAGTCGTGCCCAGCTTTGGACCCAACTACGACGCATCCTTCGCAACATACAAGACTCCGCCAAATCAACCAGTACGAACCAGCGCAAACTGGCCAGAAGGGACCACATTGAAGGACCGCATCAACGGTCTCATGAACTGCGTTTTCGCCTACGGAGGTGCAACCCTGTTCAACGAACTTATGGCCGAGATGCGAAGACCGATGGACTTCTGGAAAGGGTTAATTTGCGCAGACATCTTCATCTTCAGCATCTACATCACCATAGGAATGGTCGTCTATTCTTACCAAGGACAGTACACTTTCAACCCGGCATACCAGGGCATTCCAAACTCTGCCTATGCTTGGCAGACTGTGGGCAACGCAATCTCCTTTGTCTCTGGTCTGATTGCCGCACTGCTTTACGGCAACATTGGTGTCAAGGTCTTCTACGCCGCCGTCTTGCGCGATGTCTTCCGATTCCCACCTCTGGATGAGAGGAAAGGCAAAATCGTCTGGATTGCACTGGTTCCAATTTACTGGGGACTCGCCTTCATCGTCGCTGCATCGATCCCACAGATAAGCTATTTGATATCATTCGTCGGAGCTGCATTCATACTAGAGTTCAGCTACGTCTTCCCGCCGCTCTTCATGGTTGGCTACAACGTTCAGAAGGATGCAATGCTGCCAGAAGAACACTTCGATCCAGCAACAGGCCAAGCCACGCGTGTCGACAGTGGATTTAAGCGCTGGCTCCGAGGATACATGAAGAAGCCGTTCCTCAATACTTTTGATATTTTATATCTCATCGGCGCGCTGGCGACTTCAGGTCTGGGTATTTATGCTTCTGTCTTGTCGATGCATGAGTCTTTCCAGACTACGGATTTGACGCCCTTCACTTGCAATTCCCCGACCGGTTAAGTAAGGTGAGTGTCGAGTTGTGGGGCTAATGGTGGTGAGGATATTGTTACGAAGCGCCTTAGCTTGTGAATACCTATTGATTTAGGTCCCCACTCACGCACTGTAGTCACATGCTTATGAACACTATAAACACGGGTCTGTCCTTTAGCAGGCGTATGAAGTTACTATAAACACAAGCATATATACTATAAGCAACGCGTATTAGCTTGTTTCTAACTAAGATACGGTTATATACCTAGAGGATACGCTAAGTACGGGCTACTATACAGGTTGATTACGTACCTAGCCTACTAAGGCTATATAAGCACCTTATATACACTATAAGGATAAGGTGTTTATTAGAGCCGATCCTTAAAACACAGTAAACCTAAATTACTATAAATACTAAGCCTAGATCGGACCGACCCTACTCCGTCAAAGTCCTATATAAGAGAGCGCCGAAGTTAAAGAAGGTCGGCTTTAGGCTAATTTCGTAAATTCTAGGGTTTTAAATAAAAGTTAATTAAGCCGCTATAACGTCTACTAACTTTTATAAACTTTTAGCTAGTTAGAGGCCTTCGGCAAGCGGAGCCGCGGCGAATCTATAGAGTACTATATACCTAGACTTTAGCGCTTTCAACTTAGTAGATATAAGGTAAAGGCCGAAGAATATAGTAGAGTAATATAGTAACGAGATTAGAGGACCGAGAAGAGTTTCTATTTATAGCAGCCGTACTACTTCTCCTAAATACCGAATAGAAGACTACTAAGAGTATAAAAACATAATAAAGAGCACTATTATTCTCGAAGGCTAGCAAATAAAAAAGCAAACAAAGAAGTAGACTAGCTACTATACCTAAATACCGAACACCTAGTAAGCGATATACGTCTTACTACTATATTTTAGGACTTACTACGCAAACAAGCAAAAATTAGTAGGCGGCGACGCTACCGCAAGTACTACTATCTTTGCTACTACCTACACTACTACCGTAGCTACTACCGAAACTATCTAGCTTGCGATCTAGGCTCTTCTTAAGTAGGAGCCTAAGCTCCTCGTCGCGATAAAAGCAAGGGATCTAAAAGCAACGAAGTTAGTACTATATCCTATCTAGAATATAATAAGAATGTTATACCTTATAGAGACGGCAGCGAGCACAACTACGACTAGGCTTCTTAATATAGGCCTTAATACCCGCTAAATAACCCTAGTACTTAAGGCCGTCGCGATAGTAGATATCGTACGGGCGGGCGAAACGATAGCCTAAGGTCGTTTTTATAATACGGACGACGTAGCGTAGCTACTCGTAGCGATTCGTATAGGCCGCTATAATATATATTAGTATAATCCTTAATCGCTCGCTCGATTAGTCTAACTTACAGTCGATAGTATCCGGAGACTACTACTCTCCTATAACCTAAGTAGGCTTAGGCGTCGTACCTAGAATAGGCGGCCTAGCTAGCTAAGGGCGAGGTACGCGAGTACCTCTAGCTAGGATAGGCGGCATATTACTAACCTGCCCGCCTATTGTTAGTACTATAGCCGGCGGAGCGAAGAAAGGGACGGCAGCGGCGGTAGTAGTAGTAGGAGGAGGGAGGGCGTCGGTAGTAGTAGTAGGAGAAGGAGGAGGGAGGGCGTCGGTAGTAGTAGTAGTAGGAGGAGAAGGGAGGGCGGCGGCGGTAGTAGTAGTAGGAAGAGGGAGGGCGGCAGTATCGAAGGCTACGGCAGTAGGGCTAATAAAATGCTTATTCTCGCTATAGTATAGTTAGTATATATATAAACACGATAACGGCCTAGGAATATATAACTTACTTATCGCTATCGTCGTTACTACTAGCGCTAGTAGGGTTGTAGTCGTCGCTATAGTATAGTTAGCATCGATTAAAACAGCTAATAGAGCTAAGTAATAACTTACTTGTCGCCGCTAGTACCGAAGTTTATATCGATATTACTATATCGTAGTTAGTATCGATTAAAACAGGCAACGGAGCAAAGTAATAACTTACTCGTCGCCGCTAGTACCGAAGTTTATATCGATATTACTATATCGTAGTTAGTATCGATTAAAACAGGCAATAGAGTAAAGCAACACTTACTCGCCGCCTTGCGGCTACTACTATAGTTGCTACTATAGCGGAGGTCTATAATATATTAGCGCCTAGCGATTATAAGCAGACAAGACTAAAGATATATACGCTAGAGGAGCTAGCAGAGGAGGAGCTAGCGGAAGCTAATAGCTATTCTACGAATTAGTGCTATACCTAAGGATTAATCGACAAGCTAAAAACGTACGTTACTATACCTATAGGGGTTATAAAGAAAGTCGGACTTCGAGATATTAGTATATTCTTATCCCGAGACGCCTAAAACTAGCATACTTCTATAGCTGCTGCTACTACTGCTGCTACTACTACTATAGCAAACGCAATCGAAGGGCGATATAGCGGCGGCGGTTACGGCGGGATACGCGCTATACGCGCGAAGTAGTAGACGGTAGAGCCCGCTCGCCCTATATACGTATTAGCAGTATTCTAATCTCTAAATGCCTCCGAAGTTGCTAATTAATATATATATCTATACTAAAAAGAGGGTACCCCGATAGGCGGTAAAAGAACGGGCTAGCTATCTTTATTACTTTCTATACCGTTAACGTAGTTCTTATATTTAAGGTAACGTTATAGAAGAGGGTAAGAGGGTATATACGATGTCTTATAGAAGAAGAAGGAAGGAAGGAAACGATAGAGAGAGAAGAAATATATATATAAGGCTAAGGGCGGGATAAGTTCTATTATCTATCTAAGAAGCAACGTAAAACTAACTAATAATAGTATATAAACTTTACTACTAGGAAAATATAGGGCAAGTAAGGTAATAGCTCTACGTTTGCCCTATAAGAGTAGAATCGAAGTAAGGGTTAATACTCTGTCCGATATAATCTTCGGGCTCTTATTAGCTAAAAGTTAGTAAAGGTTTCTAAAAGATGCTAAAACTTTATATAGACCGCTATCGCTCGAGGGATTAATAATAGTAAGGCCCTACTTTTTTCCGCTATTTCCTATTAACGTCGCCTATAATATCTGCCTGCTCTAATATTCGGGCCCTCGTAAGTTAGTAAAAGTTTATAAAAGATACTAAAACTTTATATAGACCGCTACTACTTAGGGGATTAATAATAGTAAGGCCCTACTTTTCCCGTTATTTACTATTAAAGTTGCCTAGAATATTAACTAATTGCCCGAGAAAGGTACGGATACGCCTATAAGGTATACTCCCTAGACTACGAAGCATACGCTAACCCTATATAGGCAAGATAAAGTACAATCGCGAAGAGTTGCGTACTTACTACTAAAGGCCTTAGCGGCTTTTATTAGGTCTCCTTTAGCTTTAGCGAACATTCTCGGATTAGCTAAATACGTATATAATCCCGTCGACTATAGTCTTAGAGAGCAGGCCTAGCCTATCGTTTACGGAGCGCCTATCGTCTATAGTGCGCCTATCGTTTACGGAGCGCTCCTTCGCTATAGAGCGCTCTTCGAGAGTAGGCCCGTCCTATTAACTATAGAGAGCTTATCGAGAGTAGGCCTATCCTATCGATCGTAGAGTACTTATCGAGAGTAGGCCTAGCTTAGGGTTTACGCGCGCTTCTTCGAAAGCAGGCCTAGCTTGCTATTTACGGAGCGCTTCTTCGAGAGCAGGCCTATCCTATCGACTATAGAATGCTTATCGAGAGCAGGCCCGGCTTACCGTTTATAGAGCGCTTCTTCGATAGTAGTACTAGCCTTAAGCTTGTACTCGTTAGTGTCTTAGGTAGAGTTCTAAATTCGATACTCTAACTAGCGGCGTACTTCGTTAGGGTCCTAGACCTAGACAGAGTCTTAAATTCGATACTCTAACTAGTAGCGCGCTTCGTTAGGGTCCTAGACCTAGATAGAGTCTTAAATTCGATACTCTAATAAGTAGCGCGCTTCGTTAGGGTTCTAGACCTAGATAGAGTCTTGAATTCGATACTCTAACTAGTAGCGCGCTTCGTTAGGGTCCTAGACCTAGATAGAGTCTTGAATTCGACACTCTAACTAGTAGCGCGCTTCGTTAGGGTCTTAAGCGGAAGTCTTAGTAGGAGTAGCAGCCTCTACCTTCGCTTCTAATGCTTTAATTTTACTCGCTTCTACGCCGTTTGCTTATCTATATAGGCCCGAAGGTTCCCTATCGAGCGTAGTAATACCTATTACGTTAAGCTAGTGTTTATTTACTTAGTAAGGGTATTAGGACCCCTAGTCGCTACCGCCGGCTTAGTGTCTCCTAGACCGGCGCAAGTGTTATAGAAGAAAGGAGAAAGAAATATAGAAGATAGTTGCTTTTATAATAGCTGCTACACTTTACCCTATATAAACTACTTCTCGGCAATAAGCTAGATCTGCCTCTTCTACCTTAGCAGTAACAATAGCACCGAAGGGCTAGTTTGTTTACTTAGTATAGGCGGTACTAAAGGAATAGCATTAATTAAGTTAGAGGTAGCAAGAGTACTACAACCCTTGCTCCCTTAGTAGACTTAGTACCTATCGGGAGGCGTCTATAGCACTAACAAACCCTAGGCGTATATAAATAGTCTAAAACTTGCCGAAAGTTAATAAAAGTTGCCGAATAATATCTAGTCGCTAAAGGATAAACAGTCTCGAAGGTACAACCTTATAGAGAAGCGGGCGCTAGAGCTCTTACGAATCTCGCTAATCTTGCTGCTACCGCGACTAATAGTATAGCCTACTATATTAGCCGGTATGCTAAAACTTTAAGTTTAGATATCCCCGCTATCTTTAGATAACGACCGCTTTGCAAGCGGCTTAAAGCTAATAAAACTTAGTAAAAGATATCGGCTATATTAGCCGATATGCTAATACTTTAACTTTAGATATTCTCGCTATCTCTAGACAACGACCGTATTGCAAGCGGCTTAAAGCTAATAAAACTTAGTAAAAGATGTCGGCTATGTTAGCCGATATACTAATACTTTAACTTTAGATATTCTCGCTATCTCTAGATAACGACCGTATTATAAGCGGCTAAAAGTTGCTAAAACTCGATAAACGATATCGGCTCGTTATAAATAACTAATATCCCCGAGGCCGATCGTAGCGCTAAGGGCGGTAGGGAGTAACGAATTAAGTATTAAAGTAATAATAGCAGTCGGATAGTATTATAAGGCGTATAGTAAGGGTATAATACCGAAGTAAGATCGATATAGTGAAATTGAGCTCGATAAGAGAGTTGCTTATAAATTAGACTCCTCGCCGACCTTCTTCTATTCTCTTTCTTCTTTACCGATATATACTATCCTTGCCTTTAATACCTCGCCGTCGCAGTCGCTACTATATCTAACTAAGAACTCGACGAAATTGTAGACTTTGCGCTAGACTTTCTATCTCCCGGGGCGTAGGCGCCTCTACTATAATAGTAGCAGTAGTAGGACTAGTAGGACTAGTAGGACTAGTAGGGCGGCTCGGTTTAGGATATCGATACCCTAGACGAGTATGCCTTCTATCTTCGCCTTATATAAGGCTATAGCTAATGTATCCTAGTATCGTTAATATAGCGGCCTTAGCGCTACTAGCTCTAGTACTATCTCGGCGTTCTAGTCTAAGTATATAGGCGCGTCGATAGCAAGACCGCTCTCGCTAAGGCCTGCCTCTTGTCTCTCTACCTCCTCCTCCGCTACCTCTAGCCTCGACTTTAGTACCTAGGGCGCTACTACCGCTAGCACTAGCACTAGTACTAGCACTAGCTTAGGCTTAGAAGAAGAAGAAGAAGAAGGGTCTAAGTAGCCTACGGATTGCGCTACGCTACCTATAGGCCGATAAGGCCTACTATTCTAAGACTATAAAGCTATAGATAGAGAGTTCGAACGAGATATAGATTAGATTAACGTATATCGGCCGCATCGAAGAGACAGATAAAGGAGAGTTACGTACGCCTACCTATAAGCGCTATACCCGCTTAGGCTATACCTATCGTATATATACTAAGGAGGGCAAGCGGGTATACGATAGTAGTGCCGGCAATATAAAGTGCGGCCGCTATTAATACCGCAGAGTCGGCAATTCTAAATATATAGATTCTTAAGTTGAAATAATATCCGTACCTATATGCCTGCGATATGCCTCGTTTTCTACCTCTTATTATTTGAATCTTGCGCTCTAAGCGGCCAAATCCGATCGTTAATATCGCTGTCGTCGTTCCTCTACCGATATATAAGATCGTATAATCCTCGCGCCTTAGCTACTATATTTTCTTCTCGACCTAAAACTCCTCTTCTAATCGGTTCGAATCTATAGCGTAGAGGACGATAAACCCTATAGCTCCCGAGGACCCGAGGTCCTATAAACCCTACTTACAAACTTTGTAGGTTTAAGGCGCGCGGATAATACTCGAGGGGTAAAAATTAGTAGCTTAGACGGAGGGTAGGCCCGTCCGCGGCCCTACCTCGAACGAACTTTTAGCAACTTTTATTAACTTTCGGCTAATAAGACCTAAGAGCCTCTTAGTAGCGGGTGCTATACGTTAAGAAGCCCGTCTCCGAAAATTCTTATTAACTTTTAGCATTAATAACGCCGCTAGTCTAGAAGTATACGTCGCCTAACCGCAACCTTCTTAGCCGTAAGATATACTATATCTTAAGGGCAGGGAACGTAGCTAAACATTCTATAGGTATAAACATCTAGTAACTCGACGACTTTACCCGCTAAACACGATCGCTAACGACTATCGCCTACGATATACTAGCTCGTATTGCTCTAATTAAGGCAAAATTTAAGGGCACTAGAGACTAAGCTAGTCTAGTCGTTAAGAAGCCTACAGATTATACCGGCGTCGCCGCGATAACGGTTATACTAGAATCCCGGAGCCTATAGGCTTAAGGAGCGCGGATATTACTTCTATATTTAAAGAGCTAAAAAATGGATATTAGGTACAAGGCTTTAGTATAATAATAAGACTTTAGCATAATAATAAGACTTTAGTATAATAATAGGACTTTAGCAAAAGAAGATAGCGAATTATATAAAGGTCCAAAAAGATTAAAATAGTTATTATCTAGAAGAACAACACCTCTATAAAAGGCTAACACCTAAGTAAAAGAAGATAGCCCCTCCGAGATTCGAACCCGGGTTACTCTAGTATAAAAGAGACATTCTCGATCGAGTATAACGCAAGTATATAGATTGTAACCGCTCTCGGATGCCTAAGTAGTGCTACCTCCGGCCCTAGGAAGTCTCTACGAGTAATATAGAGCTAAGGCTAGAGGCATATAACTGCTTAATAGGCGATCTTCGAGCAATTACGCTCCGTTACTATACCGTAGAGCGTAATTAACTACTATACTAAAGGGCCTAATTAGATAATAGCAAGGCTATATAGTGCCTATATTAATGTCCCTTATCTACGGCAATATCGACAAGTTAAACAAGTCCTATAGCCCTAAGGAGATTAAGGGATTAGGTTAAGGAACTTACCCTAGGCAGCTTCGGTTATTACCTTATTCGCCTTATAGAATAGGCCGATATTAATTAGTACTTATCTACGAGAAGTTAAATAATAACCTTAAGTCTAAAACAACTAGCAAATTCCCGTAATAGATTATAAGAAGGGTATATTAGTAGGTAGATAGGGTAGTAGTAGGTATAGGTAGTATTCGATAGAGATCTAAGAGGAGAGGGAGGAAGGTAGGCTAGTTAGCCTAACGCTAAGCGCTAAGCCCTGCCTAAGGCATTAAGACCCTAGCTTTACTCGAGCCTAGTTATATACCAATTACGTGTAACCTCTTTAGTCCTAACATACGCTTCCCTTCTAAAGGCCGCGCCCTCGTAGCCGGTCTATGTTCTATTCTCAACCTCTATCGCTACTAACTTAGCGGGTCTAGTAAGCTTCTTAGTCCGCGCTAACTTAAATACGCAATTACCGATTATATAACTATATTAAACCTTACCTCTAACACAATACAATGTCTAACTCTAACTGCGCTATCCTCGTATACAATAAAGTAATATATAACCGCGAGAATTAAGGGCCTTCGACTAATTATAATACGAGCGCGTCTTCCCTGCTATAATAGGTAGACGTACGAGGTATTATAGTACTACCTCCGCTCTAAGTAATATCGTTCCGAGTTCTTTGCGTCTACTCTAAAAGACCTAGCTATGTCCGCTTCCGAGGGTTGTTCTTATTATTCCGAGGGCTATTATTGTTCGTAGTTTCGCTAGCCCTAATTAGTTAGGTTTAGTAGCCTTCAATTGTTAATCTTATCTTATCTTTTCCGAAAAAACACAGCTCGTCTAGTTTCTATAGGTAAAGGCTATTATAAGTATAGTAGTAGAGGTTCGCCTCGCTTAAAGGGTTAGATAGATCG